GGGATTTAGAGGAGGGGGGGTCAAATTGACCCCCCCCCGCATATCCAGATAGGGTTTATCGATAGAAGTAAAAATTTTTAATTGGTCAAATGTTTTTTATAAGTCTAAAGTTGGAATCTCTAGATTTGATTATCTTAGAAATGGAAGTCACCCATCACAAAATGGAATTAATGGATCTGGAAATGGTATACCTCCACAACTAGATGGTATCCCTCCATCAGAAAATGGACTTACATCCTCCAATGGAATTCCACCAATGGCGTTTACAAGTCAGCAAGGGTTAAAACATGGATTAGGACGAATGTATCCCCAACCGCCATTGGACAAAGGAATTTTAGTCAACGGAACCGGAGGCTACAAAGGAAAACAATCTTTATATTTTCCTTGAAGGAAATCCATATTTCTTGATTTCCTGACTTCTCATTTTCATAAATTGGAAATGAAAGGACAGTTTAAACGGAACCCTTTGATGTTTGAAGTATTTCCAAATTGAAAACTGATTGATTTTAATCTTTGGTAATATACTGCTGACATCAAACCTGTTCAATATTTATCTTACTTCTAATTTTATATCTTTAAAAAACAATAATTTTATTTTCTTAAATGATGGTGTTCACATTAAATGCACAGCTTAGTTTCAAGTGACCCTCCATTGAAAGAGGTAAATGGTCGATGTTCAAAGTTACCTTAAAGCCTTTGCTTCAAGTTTAAAAATATGATTGTGTGAACTTGTCGAACATCACTTGTCTTAAGCTGTAAATTCAAGTGTGCGCTATGTTGAGTTCAGACTCCACGCAACTCAACACATTTGAGTTTGCAGGTGAATGCAAGCAGGTTTAGATAAGGGTCACTTGTAATTACTCTCACAATCCCTTTGTAATTTAACACCAAGTTTATTTAAAGAGAGAGACCGGCTAGACATGGTAGTTGAGCTTAAAGTGCAGTATTGTAGAGAAAAACTTGAGAATTCATTTGACACCAATGAAACATTTTTACGGTGTACAATTTTTAAACAAGGATGTAAAGGCTTTTGTAATATTTCACCAGTTGTTTCAGTCAGCAGAAGAAACGGGATAACTAAAAGGCCTTTGCACTTTTAAAACTAAAATTCAATGAAATTTAATTCAATATATTCCGCTCTTTATCTACTTCCCTTTGTCTTTATCAATCCTATTACAGCACTCAAGCTCTTTCTGTTATAAACACAACTAGAATAGAGTTAATTAAATGAAAACACAGAATAATAAAACAACTAGAATATAGTTTATTAAACGAAAATACAGAGTAATAACACAAATAGAATAGAGCTAATTAAATGAAAAGTCAGAAATATAACACAGCTAGTATAGAGTTAATTAAATGAAAACACAGATTTTAAAAAGCCATTTACAGATATTTCTAAGTCAGCAACAGAAGTATAATCATAAATTAATTTATAAATTTTGTGGCAGAATAAATTACCTTAGATATTCTAAACTAATTTTTTTTTCTCAATCAAATAATCGACATTTGAAATTCCAAAATTTTATATCATTAGGTTGAAAAGATTTATAGATTTGAAAATTTGAGTTCGTGGCAAAGACTAAATTTCTTTATTTTAGATGGTTTGTCAAGGGTACAATTCCCGATGTTATCATGAGCCTAGACCCCCCTCTCCATGCTGTATCCCTGAACTTGCCAATCAGGGGCTCGGTCCTTCATCTGCACTCAGGAACAGACATAAACATAAATACTATACTAATATTTTGTTAGGAGCGTGCGTAACAAGGAAATGTTTAAAAAAATGGGAATAGATCAAATGCTTAATTTCAAAACACATTTAGCTTTCAGAAAAGCAACAACTAGGTCTTGCTAGGCGCTTCGAAAAGTATTCAGAGATACAAGGTGAGAGAGAGAAAATGTCAAACTAGAGAAACTTTAGTCAGGTGTATAAGGGGGGTATAAACTCCTGCACACAAATGGAAAAGAAAAAACGGAACTACAATGAACATTTAAGGCCTACATTAATTTTTTGACGCTGTATTAACCTGGAGAATGAAGGTTTTTTTTTTACCTAGCTGGATCCAGATTTTGCTACTGACAGCTTTATATATATACTCCTTATAGCAAGTCTGGATAGCTGTTATTAAGTATCCGAACCCGTCAGAAAGACATTAATTCTTTCGATTGAATCTGGTTCAATGTGTAAACATCAAGGGAGCTCTATCAGAACAGTCAGGTTCTTAAACAACTCTCTCCAGCAGGGGCGGATATAGGGATTCTGTAGGGGGGGGGGGGGGAAAAAATTTTTTTNACAATTTTGACTGATACGATCACACTTATTCATGAAAGACTGTTTATTGACCCCAGGATTCTAGGGGGGGGTATTTACCCCCAGGATTCTAGGGGGGGGTATTTACCCCCAGGATTCTAGGGGGGGGTAAATAACCCCAATAACCCCCCTTATATCCGCCACTGCTCTCCAGTTTCTTGCAGCAGAACAGAACCGGCCTGTGTAGAATAAAACATGGCAGTACACCACAGACTACACAGACTGCTCATACACTCTACCTGGATAGGCTGAGCAGGACTATAGTGTCCCGACGGTTCCATGTTCTTTGACTGACATCTCTCGGCCACTTGTTGCATTCAGGGGTTAAGTTTTACAATTATTAAAAAAATGCTCCAATTTTAAGCATAAAACATAACGTTTATCAATATTGTTAATTTTTAAAGATTTTGCATTCCCTATTCAAAGGATCCTTTCCTTAAATATCCCTGAATACAAATGTCTCTTGATTGGTCGTGTACAGTAGTTGTACACAAAAGAACATGGTGTGGAAAATATCGCATATTATAGGTTGACCAGGAAAGGTTGACCACACTCGGAAATTCAAATGTACTACGGTTGCCCTTGTACTATGATACCAGTTTATACTCTGCTGGCTGCAAGGAAAAAATTGCTGTAGACAAGGCCAAATTCTGAAGCACTGTTTCCGAGATGAACTTACAAGAATCAAGAATTCATTTGTCAAAAATATCCACCCCTTTAGTCATTATATTAGTGGAATTCTGATAATGGATCCTGATAATTTTCAAACCTCACTTAGCAGTGACTTTAATTTTTCCAATCTTTTAACAAAACAGCTGGATAAAAAAGCTGCATCATCCATCCTCAACATAACTTGTCAGAGAAATTTGACACCTCTGCATGGAACACACAAAGTAAAATGGGAAATATTAGGGAGAAAGAAAAGCAAAATGCATTTTTCCCTTGTCTACAAGAAATTAGAATGCTTCGATCCAAAAGAGAAGAACAGAATTCAGATGTATGATCAGCTAAAAAGATGATTCAACAGTAAAAGAAAAAAATTCACTGCTCTCATTAAAATTTTGTTAAAACCACATACCACATACTGGGTACACTATTAATGACTACACACACCAAACTAAGCTGGTGGGGTAGGTAAAATAGGCCTATGATAGGCCAGGTACTGTTAAAAAATCTGGCTGAGCCATTCAAAGTTGAAACCAGGCCGACATAGGACAGGGGTGGGCGTCACTTACCGTTCGTTACTATGTCTAGTACGAGGGGTTGACCCGGTTAACTCCAGTCCACCATGAAGGCTGGCATCCTTGTACTGGTTGGGATCATGTAATGTTTAAACTGGTGTGTGCAGTTAAAAATGCACAGCTAAAATATTGGTATAGTTACTAGTTAGATTTTGAAACTTGGGTGAAGAATTGTTAGATCTGAATTAGATCAAGAAACTGGGCCCAAACTTGACAATTTAATAATACTGAGAAACATGGTGATCAGAGCTTTGAAAGAATCCCCCCTACCCCCAGATGGTGGTTTTAGTGGTGGAGGGGTGGGGGCACATAGTCTTATTCTTAGAAGAATGATTCATTATTATGGTTATCTATATTAATTGAATCATAAAATTTGATACTGTCCTCTCGGTTCAGCTACTTTACTACCAGGTATCTCCATTTTACGAAAAAATGAACCTACCCTAATGCTAATTTTTAACATGCTTTTTTTTCTCTTTTTAAATCATGGATAAATACAGAAATCGAATGTGAGCGTAAAAAGTAAAAAAAAAAAAAAATAGAAATCCGAAATAGTGAAAACACAAAACCACTTCTCTATCTTTATTTGTTTACAGGGTAATATTCAATTCAAGATACATACAGGGTGTCCCACATCGGATTGGATAATGCATAGCTCGAAATTGAATATTTTTTACTTAACAGAAGATTCGATAAAATATTGTATCAATTAACATTTTTGTATATGGCAAAAATCCGCGTATTTTGGTGTTACAGCTAGGAGATAATTCTAGATTCATTTTGAAGTTTAGTTCCATACATTTACTTTTTTATGTTTGTGGTTTAGTTACCTGACTATACACTGTCCTTTGCCTGACTGTGCGGATCAACCCTGCCACATGGTTCTGGTTCCAAGGTAAAAACCGGTTTTTAGTTAATTTCCCTGAAACTTAAATCGTCTTATCCTTATATCTTTACACCTACATCTTGTTCTAGCACTTAAAAAAACTAAACAAGAGGAGCATATATTAGATCACAAAGTCGCACCAGAAAACGTTTCGAACTAAACGACAAGAGTTGCTAGGGCAGACCCTGACTTAAATATATACAATATATATATGAATGAATGATTGGCTTTTCAAAAATATGCTTCTCCGTCCTATTACTTGCAACGGTTTTCTGTATTCTATCATGAATGTTCATGTATACTATATACAGGGTGTCCCTGAAAAACTGTATAGTAGGGGTGTTAGTTACTGAGGAAACAATTTTCGTTCAATTTTTACAATCAAGATGATGGTGTAATTAGAAAACTCCATATTTCAGTTATTTCATGACGTACATATTTTCCTTCTAGGCGCGCCTTATAATTTTTTGTTACAACCAACTCTTTGAGCGTAAGTCGAAAATCGATTTCCCGGATTTTTTTAATTTTCGAGTTTTCACGTCTCATTTTTATTCGTTCATAATGTATGAAAAAATTCAAAGATTTGCGTCATGTTCTTTTCAAATCATAAGCTGTAAGTCTACGGTTTCTTTTTTGACTAAAATTTCGGATCAGCGATCTTTACTTTTGGACCTAGAGCAATCTGAAAATAAAATATGCATTAAAAAACGAAAAGTAAGCTTCAGGTATAACCTCCGTACGAACCTTGCCCAGACCACAAAAATATTTTTTCTTTCTCTTCTGTTTGAATTTAGTTGTTACAAAAAATCATAAGTTTAATTAAGAATATTTTTACTTTAGAAATGATGTTTATGCATTTGTTATTAGTCCATTTTTATGATAAGTTTAAGATATTAGGTAGTTAAATAGACCAAGATGTTGTAAGTTTTTTCATGGGGCCTTCTAAGAGACTGTTCACACATAAAAAAACACATTCTCAAATGTAAACTTATGCCTTAGAGAGCACAAGCCGTCCAAGGTATTGTTTTATGCATGTTTCAAAAATGATATTGGTTTTTGAAAAAATTTACCACTGAGGTCATTATCCGTCGAATTTGATTTCTAAGGGGTCATTTTTAGAGTTTCCAATCGAAATTCCGTTGCGAGGAATTGCGCGCAATGGTTGCTTCCGCTTGCGCCATTTCATTGCGCTATAATTGCGAAAAAGGAAGCAATTACATATTTGCGGAATTGCGCGGAATTGTGTCCAACGGAATTGCTTTTTCATCTAAAAATCAATATTTTTAACTGTTTAACTTACAAATTTATGCAGCAGATACATGAATGGAAATATCTCTATAGATTAAAAATAACAATTGTTTCAACAGTTTTCAAATTTTAAAGTTTCTATTTATTTTCTAGTTAATTAACAATTTAAGATGATACATTTTTCATTCGTTCACATTGGATGAACATTAAAAAAGAAACTTTTTTAGGTTAAAATTGTTTGGTTCGTTTAATCAAAATTAGATATTCTGCTACAGTGAGATTCAGAAAACTATGAAACAGAAGGACAACATCACAGTGTATTTGATGTCGTTACAAATTAGCAAAAAACATTAATTAGTATCTTATTAAATCACTTATTCAGTAAAATTGGTCTGCTTGAGTCTAAAATGTCGTCTTCTTATGCCAGAGTTTTCTGGTTATCATGCTGCTAATGAATATTATAAAACAAAAGATTAAGCTTAAATTCACTTATCTTAGCATTTGAGACTGAAATATTAGTGCAGTGCAGTTCAGTTTAGTGTTTGCCACAACCAAAGTTTAAATTGAATTTTTTTGTTGTTGAAAGGAGTTGCACAATACTTAATTGCATTTATTGCGTGCCATAAGGTTAAAATTGAATATTATCAAAAAGTTGAAACACAAACGCAAGAAAGTTGGACGGAATTGCGTGCTGTTGCGTGCAATTCTGTTGCGTTTATTGCGCCCAATTTTTACGGAATTGAACGCAAGGGCTCGCAATTGCACGCAAGTAACATCCACTTGCGTTAATCATTTTAGAAGGTCAAATTATATTAATAGCACACAAACATCGTCATGGGTGTCTTAATAGGGGTGAACGCCCATTCTGAATCCATTTTCAATCTTATTTTAACAATGAAGCACTCATACCGTCGTGGGAACCTAAATAGGGATAAATCCACAAGGCGAATTTTATTTTTGTGCCCAGATGGATTAGATGAAAAAAATTTTGTTAAAAAAGCGAGTTTTGGATTGTACCAACTATTTTCAAAAAGAAAATAAATAAAAATATTTTTGTGGTCTGGACAAGGTTCGTACGGAGGTAGCCGAAGCTTTCTTTTCGTTATTTTTTGAATTCATGTTTTGAATTTAGATTGCTCAAGCACCAAAAGTAGTGATCGCTGATCGCTGATCGAAATTTTAGTTAAAAATGAAACCTTAGACTAACAGCTTATGATTTGAAAAAATATAAAGAGTTTTCTAATGTCACCTTCATTGTAATAATTTAAACGAACGAACGAACTAATACCCCTACTGAACAGTTTTTTTGGGACACCCTGTATATATATATATATGTTGGGATTAATCTTGAATGCTTTATAAGATTATCTAACGGATATTTATTCAATGCAAGCCAAGTAATATCTCAGGAAGTACATGTTTTGTACTCAGGAAATATATTTTTTGTGCTCAAAGCTTGTTTTTAAAGAAAGTACACACATAACAATTCCAATATTTTTCTATTATATTTGTGCTATAGGCAGACCTATGGAAATTATGCATCAAAGGTCGACTTGGGAGTGTTGCAACTCCTTACCCTTTGGTTTAGCCTTAAAACCGCTTCTACACTTTTTCATCTCTATTTATAATTTACTTTGAACATCAATGACCTTTAAATTGACGCTTAAGTTTAAAAGGAGTGATTCGCAAAATCTGATAAATTTTTGCGTAAACTTGTGCAAGTTTTGGGTCACTGGATTGTACCTTGTGCATTTTGTACTGCACCTATTGCATTTAATCAATTATATAACTAATTCGAGAAAAGGATCTCTAATCCATGATATTAGTATTTAGATCAGACACAATATAATCAAGTATGATTTATACAGATTATATGTTAGAATTCGAAAACTACCCTTACACTGTACCGTACTGCAAAAAGAGAGCATTCTGAATCATATTTTATTTACGATAAATCACGTCAAACTAAAGAATATTGAGAATGAAACAAAAGGTTTTTTAATTTATTTAGTTATAGATATTCATAATTAATGATAGTTTTTCTACCATGAACTAATGTTGAAAACCATTTTTATGGCTACTCCTAGAAAATATGTTTTTTGGGATGTGACTCTCCAGTTTTTTTATCTTAAATTACTTTGATATGAAAAAATAGGTTGTTTTTTTTTGTTTGGTGCGTTTCAGGACGGATAGGATAGATGGATTTATTGGATGAATTGGATGGATCGGACGGATAGGATAGATGGATAGGACATGGAATAGATTGATTGGATGAATTGGATGGATTGGATGGATTGGATGGATTAGATGGATTAGATGGATTAGATGGATTAGATGGATTAGATGGATTAGATGGATTGAATGGATTGGATATCATGGATATGATGGATTGGATGGATTGGATGGATTGAATGGATTGGATGAATTGGATGCGTTGGATGGATTGGATGGATTGGATGGATTGGATGGATTGGATGGATTGAATGGATTGGATGGATTAGATGGATTAGATGGATTGAATGGATTGGATGGATTGGATAATTGGATTGATTGGATGGATTGGATTTTTGGATGGATTGGATGGATTGGATAGAATAAATGGATTGGATGGATTGAATATCATGGATTAGATGGATTGGATAGGATGGATGGATTGGATGGATAGGATGGATTGAATATTATGGATTGGATGAATAGGATCGATTGAATGGGTTTAATTTCTTATCTGATTCAATATATTTAAGACAGGAAACGATGTCCAGTATCACAACTAGTTCTACGATTTGCTCTCCACAGTACAGTCAGCCACAGGTCGGAAAACGAAATTTTTAGATACCAATATGTTTGTGAAAAATATTATTTCATTTGGACTGAATTTAATGAATTTGAACTGCAAACCGCCGGTTCAAACTTGAATCACTGATTAAAATCCTTCGTTAAACTATAACTTTGAATCACCGATTATAATCCTTCTCTAGTTTTTAACTTTGGATCAGTAGTTCAATTTTGAACCGGCAGAAGAAAGTTCAGCTACGTAGCTCAAATTCATTAAATTCGGTCCCTGGTCACTTCTATGTTCTCTCTTTTATATTGAATTTTATATTGATGACAAGACCCCCTATATCCCCCCCCCCAAAAAAAATGGAAAGCGTCCTTTTCCTAAATGTTTAGCTCTGGTTCTCCATAGCTTCTTCTTCTTGCAATACACAAACAATATAACATGCTCTCAGATATATACACAGAACATGACTTTAAAAAGAAATTGAGTCTTTGCCACAATCTCTAATTTTCTAATCCTTATATGTTTACATTCTGATTGTTTGATCTAAAGAAAGCTTGAAATCTATTAAAGTCTTTGGGTTTCAAAGTTAAAGAGATAAATTCCCATTAAAAGAAAAAAAAACCATTTAAATCCAGCAAATCTAAATAAGTAAAAATTTAAATCTTTGAGAGATCCAATCATAAACTAGAGGGCTAATAGGATTGCATGACAAAAAAATTTACAATTAAATGATTATTTTAATAAATATTAGACAATCATGAAAAAAAACGTAAAAAATATTATTTTTTTTGCCTCAATAAGTCTTTAAACGAAAATATTACAAAATTGATCTGTATTAAAAGTTTTATTTCTTTGGACAATTTTCTTTTATCCCAAAAATTCTAACTTTTTCTATTGGCAATAAAGTATTATAAACTCAGTTATTACTTTTAGAGTTTTGATTGAAAATCTCGAAGAGTTAAAACCCTAAATAAAAAACTCATACAGGATGTTATTTTTTTTTCAAATACAAATGAAGCGGTATTTAAAAGGGAATTTTAAATGGATTTGAGTATTCATATTAACCCATTAGTGACGAGAAGGTCAATTTTGACCGGGTGAGATTTTTTTTTAAGTGCCTTTTTTCTTAAACTAAATTTTAAAAAAGCGAAATTAAACAAATAATATCTTTGTATTTTTTCCGTTTTCTAAATATTTTATATATTATAGAAAATCTTGTCCAGCACCCCCTTTGAGAAAGTTGTTAGTTATATTGTTTTGTTAAAATACAAATGTAGGAGTATCACTTTTTCAAACCAGATTATGCAGTGCAGACAGATTTCTTAATATTCATGTATTAATCCTGTATTCGGGTTGTAACGAAACACATATTAATGCGACCATTTTATTTTTCTCCTCAAAAATGATTCAGCTGTTTTTTTCCATCTTCTGTAAATATTCATAACGAAACACCCAACCACAGCAAATCAAGGACATTCAAAAGCGATATGAAAGATTCAAATGCATAATTGCATTCTTTGATGATATTTGTAATGGCAGACATTTTTTAACTGATATAATAAAAAACTAGATTTTTAAATGTTTTTGTATTTATTCATGGAGTTATAAGAAGTTAAGGAGTTTTGAAGTTTTGAATCTTACAAGTAATAAAATATATTTTAATGAATGTCTTTTGAAGATAAATTCAAAGAAATAACTCATTTCCTTTTTGATATATAAATAGATAAAATTTAATCTAAATGTACAAGAATTCGGAGTATTCCTCCACCATACTCTTTTCTTTTTTACTTACAGACAGTTTAGAGGAAAATAAAAATAAATGCATTTTCATACTTTTTAAGTACCCTCCAGTTTTTATGAGTACATTTTTACATTTCTTAAACTTTCATTTTGACAAACCATCTTAAGGTATATGGTAGATGAGATTGAAATCTTAAATAATTTCAATTTTAACTTAATTTAAGAGTTTTTAAGAAAAAAAAATTGTTTTGAATTTCTACAATGTAAAGGAGTTCAGTCTCTGCCATAAATTATAATTTTCTAATCCCTAAATCTTTGCAACTTGTGGTTAAACCTTTTCTATTTCAAACTCAGATTTAAAAGTTGTCTTCCCAAAATATAGGAATTAATGATAATAAATTTTTAATTAGGAAATCTTCTTATACTTGTGCATAAAACCACAACTAGAGGACCTACGAGGTCCAAAACTCATATCAGTAATATTGCAAACATTTATCATACTTCTCACTAGTTTGCAGTGATGATAGTTCATTTTCAAGGTTTCTTCTCTGAGAAATGATTCTGTTATTAATGTTGGCATATTTATCTATTGAGGAAGATTCTTGCAAGAACCAAATAGTTTTAATGAATACCATTATTCCATTTACTCATTGAATAGACTTTTCTTAGACTAGGAACTTGTTTCTACGTTTTGTTTGGTTTAATAGAAACCATTAGAAGTTACCAAGACCAGTTGTAGAATAATTATAATAGATATTGAAAACAATAACAAATAATGTAAAGAATAACAAATATTTTAAACAATAACCAATATTGTGTATTCAATAAGAAATAATTTAAACAATAACAGATAATGTAAAAATAACAAATAATGTAAACAATAACATACATTGAAAACAGTAACAAATACTGTATAAAATAACACATATTGTAAACAGTAACAAATTTTGTAAACAATAACAAATATTGTAAACAATAACAAATATTGTAACAATGACAAATATTGTAAAACAATAACAAAAATTGTAAACAATAACAAATATTGTAAACAATGACAAATATTGTAAACAATAACAAATATTGTAAACAATAACAAATATTGTAAACAATTACAAAAATTGTAAACAATGTGAACAAAAAAAAATATTGTAAACAATTTGAACAATAACAAAAATTGTAAACAATGTGAACAATAACAAATATTGTAAACAATGTGAACAAAAGCAATTATTGTAAACAATGTGAACAAAAACAAATATTGTAAACAATGTGAACAAAAACAAATGTTGTAAACAATGTGAACAATAACAAAAATTGTAAACAATGTGAACAAAAACAAATATTGTAAACAATGTGAACAATAAGAAAAATTGTAAACAATGTGAACAACAACAAATATTGTAAACAATGTGAACAATAACAAATATTCTTAACAATAATAAAAATTGTAAACAATAAAAATGATATAAAGTAGACAAATGCTCAGATGGGAAAGAAATAATTATGTTGCATAATTGTAGATTTAGCAACAACAAAACATTAAGAATAATGATTCTTAGATGCACACATACATATTAGTAAATATGCGAAGATACCCTGTTACCATACAAATTAGTAGATACTGCAGTTTAGATTTTGTGAAAATAGACTTTATTTATTGAATTATAAGAAACACTTTATTTGAAGATTTTGTAAAGATATCCTTTATTTATAAAACTTATAAGAGACAATCCTATTTTTAGATTTTGTGAAGATATCCTTTAATTATGAATATAATAAGGTACACTCCAATTTATAGATTTTGTTAAGATATCCATTAAATTATAATAATAAGAGCCACTCCTATTTTCAGATTTTGTGAAGATATGCTTTATTTATAAAAACTATTGGTTACACTCCAATCTTTAGATTTTGTGAAGATATCCTTTATTTATAAAAATTATAAGAGACACTCCTATTTTTAGATTTTGTGAAGATATCCATTATTTATAAAAATTATAAGATATACTTCTATTTTTAGATTTTGTAAAGATATCCTTTATTTATATAAATTATAAGAGACACTCCTATTTTTAGATTTTGTGAAGATATCCTTTATTTATAAAAATTATAAGAAACACTGCTATTTTTAGATTTTGCGGAAATATCCTTTATTTATAAAACTTATAAGAGACACTCCTTTTTTTAGATTTTGTGGAAATATCCTTTATTTACAAAATTTCAAGATTCATACTGCACAAAAATTTTATCAATATTTTGTCGAGATGTCATGATATCATAAATATATCAATATTTTGTCGAGATGTCCGGATGTCATAAATATATCAATATTTTTTCGAGATGTCCTGATATCATAAATATATCAATATTTTGTCCAGATGTCCTTGTATCATAAATATATCAATATTTTGTCAAGATGTCCTGATATCATAAATATATAAATATTTTGTCGAGATGTACTTGTATCAAAAATATATCAATATTTTGTCGAGATGTCCTGATATCATAAATATATCAATATATTGTCGGGATATCCTGATATCATAAATATATTAATATTTTGTCGAGATGTCCTGATATTATAAATATATCAATATTTTGTCAAGATGTCCTGATATCATAAATATATCAATATTTTGTCAAGATGTCCTGATATCAAAAATATATCAATATTTTGTCGAGATGTCCTGATGTCATAAATATATCAATATATTTTTGACATTTTTATTTTTAAGTACAGTACATTGGTTATCATGCGTTTATTCAATTTTTAAAATTCAAGGTTTTTCATAGAAAAAAAATGATTTAGAGATTTTTGTCAGAGTAAAATGTTACACCTAAACTTTTATTGCATAAAAATGTTGAGAAGCTCCTTAAAAGCTCAATTTTTAAAAACCAACCAAAAAGGGATATCCATCTTTACTCCTAAGGTGCATTTCTAGGAACCGGTTTGATCACCATAAATGTTAATATTGTTGGCCAAAAATTATACATTATTCTTGAAAAGATTGAAATCAACAGATTAAAAGATTTAAAAAAATGGTAACCTCTATCTCTAGCCTGACAAAAAATCGTGTAGAATTGCCCAGAATGAATTACACTTAAGAGACGACTGTATAATTAGTTTTTTCTTCAAACCTTTTGTTTTGTATCACTTTAAACTGTTTATTTTCTTGGTTAGATCTTAGTATACCGTTAATAGCCAGATAATTAGAATTATAGAGATGAAAGTTGTCATCTAATGGACTATAAGGTGTTTTTTAAGAGAACTTTAATGCAAAAATAGCCCGGTTACGGTTCCCCGTTAAACCTTTCTCTGATCATCGAGGACAGCAAACTCAGTGTGTTTATCTCACAAATGGTGTTATAATTTCCGCAAAACTAATAACAAATACACTCCCTTTAAATTCGCATCCTTAGTTATTAATCTTGTATATTTAGACACCTGTATCCCGGCATAAGATATAATATGATTTTATATATGCGGGTGGAGTTAGAAATGTTCCAACCCAAAAGAGAAAATACGCGAAACCATCCAAATTTAGTTCAAAATGGAAAATTTAGCAAGTGCTTTGCTTTTCTCCGTCATGTTTGGCTAGCACCCCTAGAAACGACAATCTTTCCGATTCTAGTATTCAAGAATTCAATACAAAAATATATTTATGTCTTGAATTAAAGATATAATTGTAGATTTTAGCATGGAGCACAACTTTTGAAACAGAGCATATATTTATAGCAAAAACCAATACATATATAAACCTGTGTGTTTAGGCCCCTGCATTACGGCATAGATCTTTAGGTATACAACCTGTCTGTTTAGGCACTTGTATCTCGGCATATATCTATAGATATAAACCCAGTGTATATAAAGATATAAACCCTGTCTGTTTAGGCACCTGTATCTCGGCATATATCAATAGATATAAACCCAATGTATATAAAGATATAAACCCTGTCTGTTTAGGCACCTGTATCTCGGCATATATCAATAGATTTAAACCCAATTAATATAAAGATATATACCCTGTCTGTTTAGGCACCTGTATCTCGGCATATCTCTATAGATATAAACCCAATGTATATATATAGACATAAACCCTGTCTGTTTAGGCACCTGTATCTCGGCATATATCTATAGGTATAAACCCAGTCTAAATATAGATATAAACATAGAGAATAGAATATATAGAGAGGAATTAAAAGAATCTCTCGGTATGAACTTTTTTTAGTNTCTGATAAATTGGTTTGTAAGTTCGTTCTGATAAATTGGTTTGTAAGTTCGTTCTGGTAAATTGGTTTGTAAGTTCGTTCTGATAAATTGGCTTGTGCGTTCGTTCTGGTTAATATCTTTATTGGAAATAAACAAACTTATAGAAATCAAACTTTGGTATGCGTTTAACATTTCACATTATTTAAAGCCAAAAATTCCTTAAATGTGCAAAAATGGAACTCAAAACGATATTATCTCTTAAATATTATTCTAATTATTTTATGTTAACATTCATCGCTTTTTGATCATTATGTTCAGCATCCATTTGTTAATATACTTTTTTATTCTTCGATTTTGCCAGGTCACGTTTAGATCATTACATGTTTGCTTTTTATCTATTTATCGAATCACATTTGATAATTTCGCGTTTATCTATCTACATAAAGAAAATTGCGTTCTGAGCATCTCATTGTTCTTCGTTATCAAGTATTGCATATTTGACTATGTTTCAGTTATTTAGATGAACACACTCGCGTTTTCATAATCACATATTCCTGTTCATGTTTTTCTATACAATTGCGACTTGATAATTTTATTCAGAAATTATATCATTTTCCTTTAAGCTTGTCAATAAACTGTTTTTTAAATTTCAAGTTTCTTTTTTTTCTAGAAAATAAAAAGTATTTTTAGAATTTCAAAATGATTTAATATTATATTTTTCATCTAAATCAGTCAAAGAAATCAATTCATTAAAAAAACATTCAGGCAGTATTATTAAGATCAAATCTTTTCTTTATTTAGTATTATATTATCCCATTGTTAACTTCCAAAGATCTTTATTGAATTGAAATAAAGATGAATATGCTTATGACGTCATTATCATTGATAAATTCTTGGACATTCATATATTATTTACTTTACAAAAAAACGCGGTTTGTATAATTTTTCATTGATCTCAGAAATGTTTTAAATATTCTCCATGTAATGAGTTAATCACATAAGCCATGGTCTTTTTTAGAATTTATTCTAATTTATGATATGCTAAATATTTATCTATTATCATTTGTTAGAATAACTGCTTTCAATTGAGAAGCTAAGAAATTAAGTTTTTTTTATATAATTTTAGATCGACAAATGTTTTCAAAAACTTGGTAAGCGCATCCACATTAGATATCGTTATCAATATCGTTATTAATAGCGTTATCAATATCGTTATTACTATCGTCATCAATATCCTTATCAATATCCTTATCAATATCGTTATCAATATCGTTATCAATATCGTTATCAATATCGTTATCAATATCGTTATCAATATCGTTATCAATATCATTATCAATATCGTTATCAATATCGTTATCAATATCGTTATCAATATCGTTATCAATATCGTTATTAATATCGTTATTTGAATTTTTATGGTGTCAGTAACAAAGACTTTGAGTCTTTAGCACATACTCTGAATTTTTAGTCCTTACATCTTTACAACCCAGTCTCCTAGACCTTAGATAATTTTCTGTTAGATCAAATAATCTAAGATTTAAAAACCACGGTTTACACCGTCTAGTACCATCAGGTTGTGAGACATAGGGATTAGAAAGTTTGAGTTTGTTGTAAAGATAGATGGATTAAATCCTCACATGACGTAATGTGATTATAGAGGCGAGAGTTACGTCATATCAGGATTCTATATATCTAAGCTAAGGTGGCGATATTTTCAGAACATTGGAGCGGATTCAGAGTAACCAACCTTATTATACAACCTTGGTTTACTCTGAGTACCTTATTATACAACCTTGGTTTACTCTGAGTACCTTATTATACAACCTAGGCCTTGGTTTACTCTGAGTACGTACAAAAATAAATGCCGACATTGTTTGAAGGATGAGGAAGAGGAGAACTCTGAGCTTCTAGATGGAATTGACAAGACAGGATTCAACAATGATCTTCTCAAGGTTGTATCATTTAGAATAAACAGTGGTAGCTGACTTAAAGCAGATTAATTTTGTCGTCTTTGGTAATACTTTTAATTAGAAATTAATAAAATTAATATTTTTTTTATTTGATGAATTTCAATTTTAAAATTATTATAAGAAACTAAGGAGACAATTTGTCTAATTTGTTTTGGGATTTTCTCTGGTTTTCCTGTTTTGTACCATGAATGATGGTTATTAATACACATTTTTTGTTCTAATTTAATTCATGAAATAGCACTTAACTTTGTCTTTAAAAAATTACGGTTGACCACAGCTCAGAAGCTGCAGCTATCTTATTTTTACAGCATCTTTAGATCTTCTTTTTAAGCGATCATATATTAAAGAACTTGAGTTGTTTGTCTTAATCACAATGATACCCTTAAATCTCTTCATCTAATAATTAACGATACCCTTAAACCCATTAATTCAACAATCAACGAAACCTTTAAACCCCTTTATCTAATAATCAATGATACCCTTAAACCCCTAAATCTAATAATCAACGATAACCTGAAACCCCTTAATCTAATAATCAACGAAACCCTTAAATCCGTTAATTTAATAATCAACGAAACCTTAAAACCCCTTTATCTAATAATCAACGATACCCTTAAACCCCTAAATCTAATAATCAACGATACCATTAAACACCTTAATCTAATACTCAACTATACCATTAAACCCCTTAATCTAATCATCTTCTGTACCCATAAACCCCTTTATCTAATAATTAACGATACCCTTAACCCCTTAATCTAATAATCAACGATAACCTGAAACCCCTTAATCTAATAATCAACAATACCCTTAAAACCCTTTATCTAATAATCAACGAAACCCTTAAACCCCTTAATCTAATAATCAACGACACCGGAGAGATCCTAATTTTTCTTGCTGAATAATGAGTGCAGTGAAGTAGAGTCTATGTGAATTTCAAGAATTATGAGTATGTAATGCCAAATGGGGATATTCAAAACTTGGCCATTATAGTGTCAAATATGGATCTAGGGTAACTTAAAATTACGTCTACACTCATTTTCAAGAAATATGTGGGTGTTAAAAACTTTTTTATGTGGATAATAAATATTAAAAAGTTAAATTAAAAAAGTTTACCAAGACTTTGCAATCGATTCTCTTTTAGATATGAATCTATGTAGGTTTTAAAAAGAATAAGAATTGGTGAATCAAGCATATATTAAATCAGGCAATGCAGATTCACAACGAAACCCTTAGAAAAATTGTCTGATCAAGCATTAATTACATACAAATATTTTTAAAAATTTTTAAATCTGGATATTTCACTTGTACTGATGCCATATTTGCCTGATGGGTGGTCATTTAAAATCACGCATACAGTCCCTTTAAATGAAGATTTAGTTGAGAAATGATTTCGATATTTCCTTTAAGGATGAGGAAAGGAGCAGGTATGTGGATCCTGGGTCGGATGAAGATGAAACATCGGATACCACCCTGAGCATATCCAGGGATACAGTTTACAATACAGTTTACAATACAGTTTACAATACAGTTTACAATGCAGTTTACAACACAGTTTACAATGCGGTTTAGAATACAGTTTACAATACAGCTTACATAACTGTTTGCAATACAGTTTACAATACAGTTTACAATACAGTTTACAATACAGTTTACAATACAGTTCACAAAACAGTTTACAATGCCGTTAACAATACAGTTTACAACACAGTTTACAATTCAGTTTACAATACAGTTTACAATACAGCTTACAATGCAGTTTACAATACAGTTTACAATACTGTTTAGAATACAGTTTACAATACTGTTTACAATACAGTTTACAATACAGTTTACAATACAGTTTACAATACAGTTTACAATACAGTTTACAATACAGTTTACAATGCAGTTAACAATACAGTTTAAAATACAGTTTGCAATACAGTTTACAATACAGTTTACAATACAGCTTACAATGCAGTTTACAATACAGTTTACAATACTGTTTAGAATACAGTTTGCAATACAGTTTAGAATACAGTTTACAATACAGTTTACAATACAGTTTACAACACAGTTTACAATACAATTTACAATACAGTTTACAATACAGTTTACAATGCAGTTAACAATTCTGTTTAGAACACAGTTTACAATTCAGTTTACAATACAATTTACAACACAGTTTACAAAACAATTAACAATACAGTATACGATACAGTTTACAATGCAGTTAACAATACTGTTTATAATACAATTTAAAATACAGTTTACAATACAGTTTACAATACTGTTTTCAATACAGTATACAATACAGTTTACAATACAGTTTACGATACAGTCTACAACACAGTTCACAACACAGTTTACAATACAATTTAAAATACAGTATACAATACAGTTGACTATGAAGTTTACAATAGGGTTGACAATTCAGTTCACAATACAGCTTACAATACAGTTTACAATACAGTTTACAAGCCAATTTATAATACATGAGTATACAATACAGTTTACAATACAGTTTACAATGCAGTTTATAATACAGTTTACAATATTGACTTGAGAGAATGCTACATCGGAGTACAACAATCTAAATATGAACCAATTAACAATTTTGTTACAAATACTAAAGAAAAAATATGCTAAGACTAAACATTGTTAAATCTGAAAGAATACCGGCCAAAAAAATATTAATTCCTCCCTCTAACCCCCCTTTCCCCTTCTGATGACTAAAGAGAGATTCAAAATAAATTCAAATTCTTCTGGAAATGTTAATTTCTCAAAGAAATGTTAAACTGTTTGGTTCAGAGGGTGTTCTAAACCAAGTCGGGAGTTCAAGTCTCCAACGTCAAACCAATCTATTCAAGAACTCATCAAGAAGAGAAGAGAAAATATACAGGTTTTAGTTTGAATATAATTATCTTTTCTTATAAACAAGAATTTTGGGAGGTTTGTTCCCCTTTTCCTTTGCAACTACTAGGGACTTTTTTCTTTGCCTTTGTCTATGAAATTTTTTCAAAGTAATTAGTTTTTAGACAGACATAAATTTTCTAATTCATATATCTTTTCAACCTGATAGTTTAAACCTTTAGATTATTTGATCTAGTAGAATTCATATTTTGATATATCTAAGGTCTATGACATTGGACTGCAAAGATAAAAAGTTTTGTGGCAAACGAATAAATTTTTTTTCTGCGTTGTTTGGGAATATCTATAGACACATATAATACTCCAGGTTTGACTTTAACATTTAGCTGCAATTTTCATGCATTTTTAGATATATTTTTTTATTTTGATATAAACTGTAGAGCCTGCAACTTTTAAGTTTTGTAATCTGTAATTAAAGGAATTGAGTCTTTGCCACAAACTCTGCTTTTCTAAATCAGCTATATCTTTGGATTCCAATGTCGTAGACCTTATATATTTCAAACTATGAATTCTGTTAGATCAAATAATATAAGTTTGAAATATCAAAGATTTACGACATTGGATTCCAAAGATATAGGGATTATAAAATCAGAGTTTGTGGCAAAGACTCAATTCCTTTAATGAATTGCGAGAGATAGCTAAACTACAAAGTTTAAGATAAACTATTTTTCTTGAACTTGAACCGACCACACAAGTGGTTCAACTTAAAGTACGTAGTTTACCTTCTTCTCGATATTCATTAAATTTGATCCCTCAGCGTTTATAATAGTCTGATCTTTTCTAAAATCTAAAATGTTCTGTATTTTAGGAAGTTTGCAACGAGAATTAGATAGCCAGGAGAACTTTGCATATATTGTTTGATTTAGTTAGCAAAATATATATCATATAGACTAAATGGTATTGTTTATAATATTCAAAATTCAAATGGTCTAATAATATCCCAACCAAGGAGTATAGAATATAATGGAGAAAGGACCGACCCGGCCGGCCCGGTACCATATGATTATGCCTTGCAGACGGTAATACATTTGAATAAGAAATATGCTTTCCTTATATCGCGTACATGTATTCAGAATTGGTTATTGTATTCATTACACGAGGAAAAAAGTAGGCTGAATAACGCCAAACAAACACATTTTTTTGAAATGCAAAAATATGTTGGCAATACAAACACATTTTTTATCATATTAAAAATAGTTTTTATTTGAAAAAATAGTTGGTATAGTAAAAAAACACATTTATAAAATTAAAAGTCGACCTTTCAAAACTCTTTTTCAAATGGAGTACCGTCTGCAAAGCATGTAATCATGGTAGGGCGGGCCGGGTCGATTCCATCTCCATCATTTTCCATACTCCTGGATGAAAATTTATTAATGTATGGAGATAATTAATCATTCATTAGAAACGACTTTATAGATTAAAATTTGTTGTCTTCAACAGAACGATGCAAATAAAGTAAATTTAACGTTAGAATAAAATCCAACATCATAACTTCTATCATTACAGAGAGTAGAAAAGAACCAAAATGGTTTGAATTTCTAGTTTGTGACCAAATAAATTTGCTTTTCTCATGTTTAGGCTTAAAATATAATAGAGGTTTGAATTTCTAGTAATTAGCTTTTCTCGTGTTTAGGCTTAAAATATAAAAGAGGATAGAATTTCTGTTTTGTGACCAAATAAATTTGCTTTTCTCGTTTTTAGGCTTATAATATAAAATAGGTTTGAATTTCTATTTTGTAACCAAATAAATTAGCTTTTCTCATGTATAGGCTTAAAATAGAAAAGAGGAATTTCTATTTTGTGACTGAATAAATTTGCTTTTCTAGTTTTTAGGCTTAAAATATAAAATAGGTTTGAATTTCTATTTTGTAACCAAATAAATTTGCTTTTCTCGTTTTTAGGCCTTAACAAGCAAAAGAGAGGAGCTACAAGTACGAGGTCGTACTGCTAATGTCGTATAAATTGACCTTCTCCTTCTATCTAACTAGATGAGCGCAAAGGGTATGACGAAACGAAAATACCGAATCTAAAAACAGTTATAAGTGCCTAAATTCTAAATGGATTTTCGTTTGTTCAATAAAATTTTTGATCTAATTGTACACACAAAACCTTGTTTCATGTTTGTAATCAAATATACACATTTAAAATTTGGGAAATCCTATGATACACTTTACTGCCGTTTCAAAGTATAGTTGATGCCAAAGTCATTAGTTTTTAACTGATTTTCTTTTTTTCCACTTATAAAATTTCCATTCTAATGAATAATGGTCCAAACAGAATCCTCGTCAGATGTAAAAATAGTTGGTTCCATATTATTTACATTGTTTTACTTGCACCATCAGATCGAATAATCTTAATATATTCTTAATATTCAGAATCAGATTAAATCAAAAATCAATTCAAAATTTAGGCTCTGACATCAACATTTTAGAGACACCCGGTATATTATATCTTCAAGCTTTCACGCCAACATACGCACAGAATACTCTAACAAATTAGTATTTATTCAATTTTAAGACTTTTAAGAGGCTTCAAAAGATCCTGAATTGTGTAACAATACGGAACAAAATTAGATCTGGGAAAAATTTGACACCAACCTTACAACTCAATTTGAAGGTAAAAGTTAGTTTTAATCTTATATAAGTCATATTACAGAAAGAAACATTAATATAACTTCAGTTATGAATAATACTGAGCACTGAATTATGAAGAAAAGCTGCTTTCTTCTTTAAAAATGTTGAATATAGCTGGACAAATTTGATATATCATGATTTATTTTTATCGATTGCAAATGTTATAATATATTATTATAATTGCACCTCTGTATGATTTATCTGTTTAAAGACTATGTATAAACTTGAACAAACGACCGATGTTTTGAACTCTGGAACATATCTCGGAATCTGAGCAGTTTTGAATACTAAGTGTATTTGATGCTTTTATGGGGGTTTAAATTTTTAGAGCATATAAATAGTTATATACCAGAACCATGTATATTATAATATATGTAAATAATAAACATACTATGTAAATTTGACCTGAATTTTGCAAACTGGTAAACCCTCCATATTATAACATTGGCAATCCATAAAAATAAATCATGATACGAGCTCAAATGAATTGAGTCTTTGGAACAAAATCAAATGTTTAAACCCTAATAACTTTAGAACCCGATCTTGTAAACCTTTGACATTTCAAACTCAGATTATTTGATTTAAAAGAATTCATAATTTGAAATATCTAAGGTCTAAAATTTTTGGTTCCAAAGATATAGTGATTAGAAATTCAGAGTTTGTGGCAAAGACTCAATTCCTTTACCCAGAAAATGTTAAAAGAGGATAGAATTTCTGTTTTGTGACCAAATAGGAAAGGGTCAGTTAGGATCAACATTTATGATTTATTTTGTTGAAGCATTGTTAGGGGGAGGCCTTCAGAAAACAATAATTTGACAATTTGAACAAATAACCCCCCATAGGTAGGATGAGAATAGCCTATGATTAGTTATATGAAATCTTTAGCACACCCCTAGAGACATTTTAGTAAAACAAAAAATTTCCAAAAAGTGTTCAGTCCTTTTGAGAGAGAGTCTAAAATCGTTCTATCATTCTATATTTGTAGATTTTCTTGTATTGTATCCTTAATGTAGTGCTTTTAATGGTTTTGGTCCTGTATTTTTCAGGTATTTTCAGGTTTGAGGTATTTTCGTCAAATACGTCTTTATAGTCCAAGAAACATAATTGTTTTCAAAATTATTAAATGCAAAATTTGACTCTGAGAGAAAATATGGAAAATAACGAACCAAAAACTAACCGGTCAAAACGATAGTTTTTTGCTTCGTTTTCTTTTTTTCTTTAAGGGATATGAATATTGCAAAGTTTGAATTTAAATTTCATTTAAAGTTTTTAAAATTAATAACAACTATTGACAACGTTTAAACTATATATCAAGTTAAACCCTCGTATTTTAGCTGATTATCCTAAATAGCTGATGCTCATTGAGATTTTGAAATTTTCGATGAGTAGTATATGGAACCCAATTTTAAGGAGAATCATGATTTGGAGTTCCTACATTAAGAACCAGAAAACTGCGGAACAGTAAGACGACATCTAAAAGTCGTCTTCTTTTTCCAGAGTTTTCTGTTTTTCCTGATGAAAGCTTATTTAATGGGTGATTTAGTAATATCAATGCTAATTAAAACTTTGTTCTATATTTCGGCCCGAAGTGAACGTTCTAAAAAACTGATTGAACCCTGAAAAAATGAAAACAAATGAAAAATTTTCAAACATGTCCAATAGGGGTGATTGATTTGTGACTTTTTTTAGAAATCGCCCAGCCGCCCACTTGAGGTAGCTGCGTTTTTACTTTATAAAAAATATTGTAATCAAAAAAAATTTAAAATCGTCCATAGGGTTGAGAATTGACAATTTATTATTGGAGAAATCGCCGTAAGGCCTAAAAAAAATATTTAAAAAAAATAAATATGAAACATATCATTTTCTTGGAAATTTCATGCTGAATTCAGATTCGAAAACCATTTTTAAAAATATTAAAATCTAAAGAAGTTATGGCCAAATAACGATACTAAATTCAGGTTTTTTAACTTGTTAATGTTTTTGATGAGTTTTTTAGCTCTAACTCACTCAATTTAAAATTTTTTTAAAAACGCTTCTCTGATTTGAATTCGGCATTAAATTTCCAAGAAAATGATGTATAACATGAAAATAAAAATTAACATTTTTTTTTTGTGGCCATACGGTTAATTCTCCTTTATTAAATCGTCAAATCGCAACCTTCTGGACGATTTTGAAAATTTTTTTAGTTGCAATATTTTTCTTATGTGAACACCCAGCGACCTCTGGTGGGCGGTTGGCTCAATTCCAATATTGATCACCCTTAATGTCCAACTTACAGCAATAAAGGAACCGCAAGTTTATGAGCTGATTTCAGATATTTATTTGTAATTGTATATCTGGATATGCATGTGTATGATTAAACCTTTACTCCCACCACTTGTACCTGATATACTAAGGTTACATTGTACAAGGAGGATCAAAAAACATAATACACATTATAACCCTAATCAATAAAGCAGGCAAAACAATTTTAAATCTTAAAAATAAATATAATAATAATATAATAAATATAAGAAGAGCAAATTTAAACTTGATCAATTCATAAAATACATTAAAAATTGTTGCATAATTCTCACGTTGATTATCCCACCCTGTACCGGTTGGGGTTACATGATATATATATATATTGTACTTGATAAAGATTTAACTCAATGCTTCAGTGCTAACAATGATTATCTACCATACACTGATTATTATATTTATATTAGGCATCAGAAAACTTCAATCTGAAAAAAGATAAAAAGTTAAAAACTCAAAATACCAAAATTTATTGAATGAGATAAATCAATACATAGGTGCAGAGGAAATAGGGGACTCTGATCGTAGTTTTAAATTGACCTCCTATTTAATAGGGGGCATGTCCGATTCACAACGGTACCCTTGACACCTTAATCTGATCAATAATCTGGAAGATGTTTTTTTTTGGCTTAATAAGTGAGGGGTTCTCATAATTTCTCCATTTCTTTTTGAAGCAAGAAATGCTGCTCCGGTCAATTTTGTTGCAGAAACGCAAACACAAACACAAACATGAATATCTAATACCTACTTATTAGACAAATCTTTTATGGATACCTTTGTGAATCGGACGATCCACTCTCTATCATGGGTCACTTCAAATTACGTTTACAGTCCATTTAAATATAAAAATGAAATTGTTTGACGGCATCATAAAGTCTAGCAGTGAGATCTAGACAAATCTAAAAGTTATTTAATGTTTAGACAACCTAGACTTTAAAGTGTCGCAACGCCGTGACTCAACAACTCACTTATACTTTCAGCATATACAGTATACAGTATACAGTATACAGTATACAGTATACAGTATACAGTATACAGTATACAGTATACCTTTTAGGTTGGCAACGCAATTGTTTTTAACTTAAGTTTAAGTGAAGTAATTAACAAAATACTGTTCGATTTGTGTGTGTGAGCGGCCACATTCTTGGTTAGCATTTCAAACAGCAGTCTTTACAAAATGGAGATTTTAAAAATATATTAATTTTGCTTATATTGAAGAAAATGCTTCATTTCTTGTCAATGTAATACAGTGTGGCCGAACTTTATATATGGGGAAGGTTTTATCTATGCGTTAAACTTAAACTTGAAGCATTATTTTATACATTAATGTTAGTAAAATATTTACTAAAGATGAGATGAGGAACACAACAAATAATCCTGATTATGAATTTCATGAAAATGTTTCTAGTTCACGACGACATTCAAAACTACTTTATCCAACGATACATTTAATTTTAGACAACTCTAAGTCTCCTGAAGTTTGCTAAATCCCAGATATGTGATACAAAATTATATGTTTAAAAGTTGTGCCAATATATTTTGTATTTGTAAGGGCACTTTTTCATAATTGAAAAAAAATTGGGAAATTTTCAAAAATCATAAGTAGACAAATATTCTCATTTTTTGCTAATAAAAACATGAACAATTTTGCAAACTTTTTGACATAGGTTTTTTAAATAGATAAAAATTGCTATTTTCAACAAAACCTGAATATAGACTAGTTTGCCACGGAAGCTAAAATAAGTACCCAGTCAGTACATATGCCGGAGGACTCAGGCGATTGGTTCACCTAGTTTTAAGTCTGAAGCAAATTCTAGTAAATTGTACAAGCATTTATTTTTCTGTCCTTTATCTTGAAGTTTCTGATTGTTTTAATAGTGAATAAATGTTTGAGTCAGACCTCTAGAGATGTGTTCAATGATTAGTAAGTATTTTGTCTGTATAGTAATTGGTAATTATTTCATCACTTTGTAAGTTATGTATCTGCAGTCCATAGTTTGCATTTTGTTAATTTGTAATTACATTTATAACATATTATAACGTATTTTTTACAAAACCAAACTTTATTTAAAGGGTTTAAAGACGTAATTAATATACAAGTAATCTCCAATTATAAAGATTAACTTTTCGACTGAATATTAGAAATTTTCAATTTCAATTTAAGCAATAATGGCAATTTTTAGAGATTTACAATTACAATCTTAAAGGGACTGTAAAAGAAAAATGAAAGGGGGTATAGACTGAAACCTGAGAATCTCAGGAATTAAACGATACCTATAAGACATCTATCTGAATTCAGGGGCGGATACAGGGGGGTGGCGGGGGGACATTCGCCACCAGACCCAACTTAAATCCCTGTCCTAATCCAATATTTTTGTTCCTAATTCCTGAACAATCTTTTTATTGTTCCTAAATCCCTGTCCTAATCCATTATTTTTGTTCCTAATTCCTGAACAATCTTTTTATTGTTCCTAAATCCCTGTCCGAATCCTTCAATTTTGTTCCTAATTCCTGAACAATCTTTTAATTAATCCTAAATTCCTGTCCTAATCATTTATTTTTGTTCTTAATTCCTGAACAATCTTTTAATTGTTCCTAAATTCTTGTTCTAATCCGTTAATTTTGTTCCTTAAAGTTAAAAATCTAGTTTTTTAGTCTTTAGTCATTAATTTTGACTCTTTTTGAGTCTTTTAAGTCAAAAAAAAATTCGCCTGCGGCACAATTTCTTGTTCCTAATTATTAATTTTTTGGTTCCTAACAAATCTTGCCCCCCCCCCTTACTTTAATCCTGTATCCGCCCCTGTATCTGATGTTCCTGTCTCGAGAAGTTGACATAAAACTGTGTTAAAATCATACCAAAACGGATATACGTTAGATATATGTTCGTAACACGTGACCAGAACTCCTTCAATGGCGGTGCAGTATACTGGTCACATGATACAGAAGGAGACACACGTGACAATAATACTGAACTGCCATTGGTTGGAGTTCTTGTGACATGATTCGGACGTAAATATGACATTATCAATTATATCTATTAAAAATGAAAAATTATTAAATTCAAATAATGATCACTCCTGTATGCCGAGTCCATTATAGCCTGATCCAATCAGGATTCAGTCATGTGTTTGTTGTCTATTCTGAACCAATAAAAAAAGTATGGCGGTAACATCTATCTTTCTATCTATATAATTATCCAATTAGAGTTATAAATCCTTCAATCGGCGCTATCAGTAAATGGAAATATTTACTTCTACTGAAACTAAAGTTTATCAGGCTCCTCTGGGATATCGTTGTTTTCAGATTGGTTGCGTATTTGTTGAATATGATCTGCTTAATACTACAACTCTTTATCTTACATATATACGTTTTGGTATAATTTTGACACAGTTTTATATAAATTTCTCGAGACAGGAACATCAGATAGAACTCTTATGTCTCAATCAACTCCTGAGATTCTCAGGTTTCAGCCTATACCCCCTTTCATTTTTCCTTTACAGTCCCTTTAAAGATAAAACAAAACCATTATCATATCCTCATTGTCATTAAGATAAATGTTAAAAGGGTTCGGTTGTGAATTAGAGATATCACTCTAATAACTCTAGATGGAGGATCACTTGAAACAGTCCCTTAAAGACTCCACTTATCTATTCTATTAGTGCCCGGATCCGAGTTGAGGGAGGTACTCTTATTCTCCAGTCTGCTGAAAACAAGAATATTAGCTTCCAAACTCAAGGATCTGGATTAGTTAACATCAATGGAGAAGATCTATCTAGGATTATATCTGGGTAAGATAATAGTTTCAAAACTTAGAAGCAGTTAACATGAATGGGTAAGTTCTATCTATGGTTTTATGTCTGGGTAAGTTATTAGTCTAAAGGCTAAGAAGTAGTTAACATCAGTGGGTAAGTTCTATCTATGGTTTTATGTTCGGGTAAGTTTAGTTTATTAGTTTAAAGAAGAAGTTAACATCAGTAGATAAGTTATAATATAACCTATGGTTATATGTCAAGTAAGTTATTAGTTTACAGGTTAAGAAGTAGTAACATCAGTGGGTAAGTTCTATCTATGGTTTTATATCTAGTTAATGTATTAGTTTCAAGGCTAAGAAGAAGTTATCATCAATAGTTATATGTTGTAAGTTATATGTTTCAAGATTAAGACGTAGTTAACATTAAAGTGTGTTTATGTCTAGCTGGGTAAGATATTAGTTTCAATACCTAGACAAAATATTAATAAATTAAATTTTTTGAAGGCTTTAATGTATTGTACGAAAATTGTATTCATGCATTGAAGATGTCTGCTTAATGGCATGCACTCCAATTATACACATGCCTACCCTCTGCTGTATGTAGAGAATATCGCATATTCTTTGCTCTCTTGCCTCTGATCAATTGATCATGAAACCTCATTCCTAGAACAATTTTCATAAAAACAGATGAAACAAAAAATCCCTTGCCAAAGTTGAAAAAAAAATAATTGATAACTTTTATTAGGGCAAGGAATCAGACCTTTGAAACTACAAATACAAGATTGGGAGAAAGACTTCGTATTATTGAGGACAGGATGGGAGATCAAGATATAAATATTCAGGTAAGTCATTCAAAATTTATAAATTTTGGTTAAATTAAAGAAATTGAAGAAATTAGAACTGGGACAAAGTTCTCGAATTCTCCATCACTTTTAACACAGTTAGTTAAGTAAAAGCCAATACAACGACTGCTTCAAGGTTATAATGCAAGGAAAGTATATTGCAGTTGCGTATATTCTGCGTACATATAGGAAACCAGTCTCTCTTTGCTGAATTTGTAAACAGGAATAGATACATCATCAGTGTTCGTTTAGAATCTAAGGAGGATAAAAGCTTTGAGTTTTGAAATTTTTGATAATTTTGATAGTTTCCTGTGACCAGAATATTTCATTGATTTTTTTTTGAAAGATGGATCCCATGTCAGGCTGTGACATCCGTCTTGTGTTTAATTAACGCCCAGAGACAGCATACTGCAGTACAAAAAGATGCTTACACCTCTGAAATAACTTTCCTTGCATTATAACCTTGGACTGCTTATTTTAGTTTTGATTTCTATCAAGGTATAATACATCAGAGACATAAGAAAAGTAAACAAAGTGAAGCTGTCAATTTAAAGTTACAAGGTTACCCAGACCCACAAAAGACTTTTTAAGATGGCCTGAAACTCTTGAAACATAACAATCTGAAGATTGAATTTATGGATTGATTTAAGTATTGTCTTTTAAGATATATTAAACTATTTGGCCGAGGAAGAAACATGTTTACAGTTGCTTGTATTTATGAATGCTAGAACAAATTCTGTACTACAGTCGCATCTGAAATCTCATTTTTTGTAAGTAACCAATGCATGTATATAGTATATACATGTTGACACTCAATTCCAATGTTTATATTGGGACACCCTATACTAAAATTGTTTAAATATTACCTAAATATACGCTGTGGGTTAATAATTTCTTCAGATTTCAACTCTTCGCCAATATGAAACTTATTCCATTTATTCCTGTAGGACCAGTTTGTTCTACTTGAGAGGCGGCTTTCCTTGTTGGAGAATAAAACCTCTGGTGACATTTCAGGCAACTACAACAAGCTCAAGAACAAGGTAAAGAGTATAAAGAGGTTTAATTGGTTAGTTTATATCAATGATTAATGCACCAAGCCATCAAGGACAACATATTATTCTAGCTTTGAAACCTAGCTTTGCCTGGAAACTAATTCCCGTGGTGTGACCGAGTTAGCCCATCAAAATTTAAGGCAAATTGGTCAAAGGTTTCATGCCTTTTGATCGTACGAACAAACAAACATAATTTCAAGCAATACCCGATTTACAATAATACCCTTTAAACCTTTGACTGTTCATCGAGCACAGAGACCTGTGTGTGTAAATCTTTAGAATAATATAAAACCTAGTCTACGCTGCGTGCGTACACTGTAAGCTCAACACAGCTGATATGTTACTTGCATCTCTCGAAAATATGGAATATTTGAAAGCATTAAAAACTTTTGATATTTTGTTCAATAATTACAAGTGTCTCTGTAAATAATGAAGCCACCCTTGACCAGTCAAAAGTTTAAAAGGTGTTGTTGTGATTGTGAATCGTACACACCCCTAAGTAAATGTGAGGTCACTTGAAATTATGAATGCAGTCGCTTTAATTCTGTACTGAATAATGTATTGCAGGTGAAGAGGTTGAAGGGACGCATTGATGAGCTTGAGGCCCAGTTGAACCTAGATTCCTGTTCTTCCAATCCATGCAAGAACGGAGGCTCGTGCATAGATACTTACCAAGGGTTCATCTGCCAGGTAAACGCTTCTCTTTTCAAATTTCAACCACCTTTCTACAGTTTAAAGTTGAACCAAATCACAAAACATGGAAATAATCATGGGACGACTTAAAATTCTCCATTGATTTTAATTGCGTCTAAAAGTATAATGCATTTCATAAAGCTTTATGATGTGTTAACATGTATTTAATAAGTTAAGCTTGAGGAGCTAGTTTTGATATATATCCTAAACTCTAAACTTGAGGAGCTAGTTTTGATATATATCCTAAACTCTAAACTTGAGGAGCTAGTTTTGATATATATCCTAAACTCTAAACTTGAGGAGCTAGTATATCCTAAACTCTAAACTTGTTTATAGTGTACTGAGAGCTGGGAGGGACCAACCTGTGAGGTTGATGTGAACGAATGTTATCAGTTCGCAGGAACAGACCTTGGTTGCCAAAATGGCGCTAGTTGCCAAAATCTTCCAGGAACATACAGGTTAGAAACATACTAAATTTGGTGCATAGAGGTTCCGGTGGAATACAAAGATCTGATGCGCTTCTATGCTATTATTGATATATTTTAGTTTAAAACTATCGAACAATAATTTTACACAGAGCTGTTTTTTGGTAGTTTTGGTATTTTCAGGGGAATTCAAATAGCTGACGAGGTATCCACTGACATGGTATTAGTCTTAGTCTTTCAGTAGGTTCGTTTCGTTGGGACTTTGTTTTGCCTGTATTTTCTTTCAAGGTTAAAAGTTGGCATAATGTAAGAACAGCAAATGTTTTTCTTACACCATGTCAAACTTTGACCCTGACAGACAATTTATGCGAAAAGTACCAAAAATGACACAAAAACAACCATGTTGTAGCGATTGCTTTTCGATTCTTTTTATGAATAAAGATATTGCTAAGTTGAATAGAGTTGAATAGAGTTGAATAGAGTTGAATAGAGTTGAATAGAATCAAACTTTAGCGTAGTGCATGGTTTAAAGTCTTGGGAGTTTTATTACTGAGGTTCAAATATAGCCTTAAAATATTTTATGCCTTGGTCTCACTTGTGCTTATTACTCGCTCATTAATTAGCAAAAACGTCGTATTTTACGAATAAACTCTAATTCCAGATGTCACTGTACGCCTGGGTTTTACGGAATACACTGTACAAGGAAAACAAACAGTTGTAGCAGTGGAACTTCACAGGTTAGAGAATATATAAAAGTCAAAAAATATTTTTTTAGCAACTAATAAAACTAAAGGGATAGTTAATAGACCGTGTGTTTATTGGAGAACGATGATAAATATCCTTTATTTTGCTGTGTTACATAAGAAAAATCTTTGCGTGCAAATTTTTTGATTAACCAAAAAATCGCAAGCAAATATTTGCATTTTAGTGCAAAATTTTGCTTCCGCTGAAATTTTATGCATACACCATACATAGCAATGGAGTAAAAAAGAAATATATTTATCAAAACTAGAATTTTACAATAGATAAAACCTTTATATCTCTTTTACATGTTCAGGAACTATGCGGTCATGGTTTATGTGTGGACGGATCCGGATCAGATTCATACACTTGTATTTGTGATCAGGTTAGGATCATACACTTGTATTTGTGATCAAGTTAGGATCATATACTTGTATTTGTGATCAGGTTAGGATCATATACATCTATTTATAATTAGGTTAAGATAAAATACTTGTATCTGGTATAAGGTTAGGATCATACAGTTTTATCTGTGATAAGGCTAGAATCATCCACAAATATATGTTATATTAGGTTAAAGCCATATATCTTGTATCTGCGATCAGTTTAATGAACAATCAAATCAAAACTATGATATATTTAATAACAACAGCAGAAACATTACTGTACAGAGGAAATAACACAACATTGATTGCATTGTACTTTTTGTTTGTTAAAAATGAGTACAAGTATAAGTAAGTCTAATTAAAGGGCTGGACCAAGGATAGTTCCTCTGCTGCCTGTAATGTTGATATCAATGAGTGTACTGCACCCAACCCTCCTTGCTCCAGGTAAAACTTCAGTTTAAATTAAAATATTAAATTTTTTAGAATTGTTTTTAAAAAATCGTTTTTTTTCCATCTTTCATGCAATTACTGGCTTTTAAAGATTGATAATTCTATTTCAAATCAACTATATAATTATATAAGTTTGACTGAGTATAAATATTTTCTGTTCTGTTTCTGTTAATGTTTTTCATTACTACTTTTTAAATTATACATAACAATTGTCAATCGGTTAAAAATTAATTTAAAAAGGATGCAAATATAATACATTTTTGGTACTTTTTGAAGTTTTGAAAACACATGGAAGTGGTCTTTATTTATTAATGTTTAAATAAATTTTAGATTATTATTATTATTAATATTATTATTATTATTATTAGTATCTAATTTCAGAAGTCCTGAAGTTTTGTGCATCAATACCCCTGGTAGTTTCCAATGTGGACCTTGTCCCCAAGGATACAGGTTAATCATCAATCAATCAATCGATCAATTAATTAATCAATTTATAAATCAATCGATCAGTCTCTTTAATCTACAGGGTGTATCGCTAAACATGACAATTCCTTGCTGAGAAAAGCGAGAAAAGCATTTGTCCTTTTAAAATAAATTGCGGCAAAACTTTTCTAAAGAGTTGACAGTCCCAGTTTTGATTACCATATACTGTCCCACGAAACATGACAGTTTGTGAATAGTTTTAAATGTCTTCTTCCATAAACTGTATTAGATGTTAAAGACTTTTTCAGTTTATTTAGTTAAAAAAAAATTTTACTTATTATTTTACTTTGAATCCAATTTAACTATTAAATGACTGCCATGAAATATTTTTTTTTATTCTCTATTTGGTATCAAACAACTTAACAATTTATGAAAGAAGACATTTTAAACTATTCACCAACTGTCATGTTTCGTGGGACACCATGTATGTTAAACTTAATCACTTCAAAACCTTAACTGGTCGTTTATAACCTGGTAAATGTTTACTGTTTAGTGGCACAAGTGGTGTACCGTACGCTGCTTCTTTTTCCAATTATTTTTTTTCAGGGTCGAAATTTGTCATAGTGTTAGAAATATGCAATAGTTTTCAATATTGTTTATTTTAAACATTTGTGTTTCTTATACAATGCCAAAAGCTTATACAATGCCAAAAGTATAGGCAAAAATTAACAAAACACGAACCATTGCGATCCAAAAATGAATGTATTAAAACGATCGTTTTTCCATTTTTGGGGGGAATAAATATATTTTAAGATTAATGAAACAAAATTTATCTTAATACAATTAAAATTTTGGAAATTTATTTGAAATTCTGTTTACTAAAACAAAACGTTCAAAACCACTTATTGGGACACACTGTACAGAAAATAATGGAATAGGAATACAATATTATATCAATATTTATGTAATGATGTTGATACAAAGCAAATAATTTACTAGGCATTTATTAAATGTTGTGAAATGGGTCTGTTTATGGTGTACGATTGCTGTGTCTCAAGCTCATTGGACATTTTAAAGTTATATCTTTATTCTCAAAGTCGTCTTCCTATTCCAGAGTTTTCTGGTTATCACTGTAGATTAATTTATTTTTTGATTTAGTGGTAATGGATTTTTCTGCAATGACTTGGATGAATGTAGACTAAACAATGGTGGTTGTAGCATCAGCCCAATAGTACAATGTATCAATACACAGGTTTAGAGTTTTTCATTCAATATTTATTTTATTATTTTAATTGCACCCCCCCCCCCCCCCTCCCTAAGGATTATATGTGGCACCTGCTTCAGGGGTAATTCCATGGAACTTCTTCTTAAATTGATATGATGGATTTCTGGACGGAAGAACAAGCCTGAAGATATGAAAAATACATACTTGACATTTTTTTAATTTAAACTCCAAATAACAATTTTTTTTTACAAATTTGGTATTTTTTACTTTCATATTTTTATAATTATAATTTTTCAGGTACTAAGAACTAATAACGCAGATAATCTTTTTAACTAATATTCTTCTTTTCTGTCCACTTTATTCAACTATGTTGCATTATCATGAATTCTAATCCAAAATATTACCAAGGGTTCAAGAAGTTGTGGTGCATGTCCATCAGGGTATTCTGGAGATGGAGTTGTGTGTTCATACTTAGGACCTTGTCATATGAACAACGGGGGATGCCATCCTATGGCAACATGTGTTGCAATGTCAGGTTAGACATACCATGATTAAAGTATTCACTGTAAAAAGTGTATTTTAATTCAATATATGTATTTATATAATATAATAATAAAATCTTTTTCTTTATAATATTGCCCTTAAAAGGAAGGATATGTTATTTACTGAAACATAATAAACATGTTTGTGTTGAAAAGCATATTGTTTTCAGAATAAAAATGACTTAATATTTTTTTATGTAAATACGAATAAGTAGCCCTGAACTTTGCTGAATTAAGTTCTTTCCTTTTTTTAAGAATGTTGCTAACCACCATACTTCCTGCAGTATATTGCGTACTATATGTAAACATACACTGAGCTTCCTTACAGAGAAATAATCAGAAATAAACTGCCTTTTTAAATTAGAAATCCTTACTAGTAAGTACGGCTTTAGTTAGTAGAAATACAGGTTAGTTGAGCTAGAAACAGCTGGTTCAACTCAGTCAGTGTTTAAATCTACGTTGTGGCTTACTGTATTCTTTTTAAGGAATTGTGAGATGCTTCTGTGCTCCTGGGTATGGAGGATCAGGAATTGGACCATTTGGATGTCAGCCAGGTGGTCAACAGATACCTGGACCTCTCCCTCCAACTCCAGAGGTTAATATCTATCGTATCTTAATAGAATGGCATTTTCCCAAGAAAGACTTCTCAAGTTTCAATTTCCCAAGTGGAAACCTCCAAAATTTGCAATATTCCATGAGGCAACTTCCCAAAGATCAGGTTAGGCCTTCAGAGGCTGCTATGGGGTCGGCCGCTGCGGCAAAGATGGGAAAGTGGGCCGATCACCAGGGCTAGAACAGGTAAGGGGGCTCAGTGCTGCGGCTAGGACAGACTTAGGAAGTTGTAGCTTGGGGAATTGCACATTAAGGAAGTTGTCACTTAGGAGAATATCCTTGGGAAGTTGCATCTTGGGAAAAGGCCTTGGAAAAGCTCCTAACACATAATAGTACAATTTTTCCATTTTAACAACGAATAGAGACAACTATAAGATCGATTTTTTGCGGTTTCCCGTTGAATTCGTCCAGATTTAAATGTGCAGATCTTACCTAATCATTTACAGATATGTAGCTAATCTAATCACTGCTGTATTTTGAAATATTTCATCAAAGTTGATTGTTTACATGGTGTTGTAATAATAAGTCTTGATTACATGGTGTTGTAATAATAAGTCTTGTTCACATGGTGTTGTAATAATAAGTCTTGTGTACAGGGTGGTGTAATAATAAGTCTTTTTTACAGGGTTGTGTGATAATAAGTCTTGTTTACAGGGTGTTGTAATAATAAGTCTTGTTTACATGGTGTTGTAATAATAAGTCTTGTTTACATGGTGTTGTAATAATAAGTCTCGTTCACATGGTGTTGTAATAATAAGTCTTGTTTACAGGGTGTTGTAATAATAAGTCTTGTTTACAGGGTGGTGTAAAAATAAGTCTTGTTTACAGGGTGTTGTAATAATAAGTATTGTTAAAGGGTGGTGTGATAATAAGTCCCTGTGCCTCCTCACCCTGTAGAAATGGTGGAACCTGTTTACCCAGTGCTGCAGGTAATTACGTCAACTATACACTGTGCAGAACAAAATCACGTGTAACCTGTACATTTACACTTAACTTACACTGGACGGTGAAAAATAACATGAAACCTGTACTTTTACACGTTACCTTCACAGTACGGTGAAATTTAACATGAACCCTGCGCATTTACACTTTACTTACACTGTACAGTGAAATTTAACATTAAACCTGCGCATTTACACTTTACTTACACTGTACAGTAAAATTTAACATGAAACCTCCGCATTTACACTTAACTTACACTGTACGGTGAAATTTAACATGAAACCTGTGCAATTGAAAACCATTACTTCAGGTTTTACCTGTCAGTGTGCTTCCGGGTTTACTGGGTTAACCTGCATGGAAACATTTGACCCTTGTGCCTCAGCTCCTTGTCAGAATGGTGCCACATGTAGATCAACTGGAAATCAGGTAAACCCATGGAGCACACAATATAAGTATTCAAATAAAATTAAGATTAAATAAAACTGTAGAAACTTAACCTCGATATCGATTTCGTTTTCATCCAAAATGGTTAAACCTTTGCCTGGTTGTACACTGTTCAAGTTTACTTTCAGCTAAACCACTAAAACAACAGAAACATCTTTCTGACCTTAACTCAGGGAATAGGAATAAAGGGAAAGGAAATGGCGCTGGTCTGGCATGAGAAAGCCAGTCGCGCTGCTTTGCAAACGAGTTCGGTATTCCTTACACACAGATCTTTTGGTACAGACACACAACATGACTACAGTCAAGGAAATTGCAAAACAATGTCGTCAATTATAATTAAGCTTGAATGACGACGAAGTTTATTGTAAACTTTAATCAAATTATATTCTTTGCATGAAATTTTGGCTTATAGTGTTGACTTAAAAGTTATAAATAATAAACTACATGTATATTAAACTTATTTTTAAGTAAACAATTAACAATAAACAAATGACGACTAGTTTGTTGTAAACTTTAATCAAATTATATTCTTTGCATGAAATTTTGGCTTATAGTGTTGACTTAAATATATAAATAATATACTACATATGTATATTAAACTTATTTTTAAGTAAACAATTAACAATAAACAAATGTACTCTCCTAGAGTGTACAAATACCGAGATTCGTATGTACTGTATATACATACAGTACACTCCTTTGGTTCGGTATTCCTATACACCCACTCTTTTGGTACAGACACACACACATGACGTTTCCGCCCCCTACATTAACTACTGGATTTGATATACAGAAAGTAAACCTTTTAATTGATGAGCATCCACCAGGATTTTAATAAGAAATGATCCAGAGAAAAGGAAAGCTGTATTAAACGACTTAAATTAAAGGGACTGTAAGCGTTTCTTTAAATGACCCATCCATGCAAAGATTGTAATGCCTGATTTACAACACCTGATTTGAAACCATAATCTTATCAAAAATGTGAAAGATACCGTCAATTTTCTGACTCGATAAGATTTTAATTCTGATTATTTTTTCCTGCTTCTTACAAGCAAGAAAAGTGCATATTTTGAATTGAATAAGTTTCTCGCCTCTTTTATTATAAATTATCCTAGATGTTTCAATGTGAGTGTGGGTCTGGGTTTTCAGGAACATACTGTGAGGAGGAAATACAATCCTGTGGAGGAGAATTCTTTGCTAATTCAGGTTATTTTAATTTGGTGATTAGTAGATATTTAATTAGATGATTAGCATTTAGGGATTAGTAGATAATTAGTATTTGGTGGTTAGTAGATAATTAGTATTTGGTGATTATAGATAATATTGTCAACCATTAACATTAAGACAAATATGTATTTGGTGGTTAGTGGATTAATAGCATTTGGGGATTAGTAGATCATTATTATTTGGTGATTAGTAGATAATTAGTATTTGGTGATTAGTAGATAATTATCATTTGGGGATTAGTAAATAATTAGCATTTGGGGATTAGTAGATAGTTAGCATTTGGGGATTAGTAGATAATTAGTTTTTGGTGGTTAGTAGATAATTAGTATTTGGTGATTAGTAGAGAATTATCATTTGGGGATTAGTAAATAATTAGCATTTGTGGATTAGTAGATATAATTAGCATTTGGGGATTAGTAGATAATTTGTTTTTGGTGGTTAGTAGATAAATAGTATTTGGTGATTTGTAGATAATTAGTATTTGGTGATTAGTAGATAATAAGCATTTGGTGATTTTTAGATAATTAGCATTTGGTTATTAGTAGATAATTAGTATCTGGTGATTAGTAGATAATTAGTATTTGGTGATTAGAAGATAATTAGTATTTGGTGATTAGTAGATGATTAAAGTATTTGGCATGATTAGTAGATTATTAGTATTTGGTGATTTGTAGATAATTAGTATTCGGTAATTAGTGGATAATCAACATTTGGTGATTAGTAGATAATAAGCATTTGGGGATTTGCAGATAATTAGAATTTCAGGATTTGTAGATTATAAGCATTTGGGGATTAGTAGATAATTAGCATTTGGTGATATGTAGATAATTAGCATTTGGGGATTAGTAGATAATAAGCATTTGGGGATTAGTAGATAATTAGCATTTGGGGATCAATAGATAATTAGAATTTGGAGATTAGCAGATAATTAGCATTTGGGGATCAGTAGATAATTAGCATTGTGATTTGTAGATTATTAGTATTTGGGGATTATTAGATAAATAGCTAAAGGGTCCAGCGTTTTCCGTGGGAAAAAAAATTGAAAAAATATATATATATTATATATATAATATATATACACGAATGTCTTGTTTTGTTACATAGATTAGCATTTGGGGATTAGTAGATAATTAACATTTGGTGATTAGTAGATAATTAGTATTTGGTGATTAGTAGATAGTTAGTATTTGTGATCGGTCGATAATTAGCATTTGGTGATTAGTAGATAATTAGCGTATGGTAAATAGTAGATCATAAGAATTATTGCAAATGGTAAATATTTTGAACTTTGAAATTTGTCGATAATAATCAGCTCATGCGCTTTGTGCAGATAGCTGATAATTATTAATTAATATGTAATTATGAATTGTCGAAATCTTAATGAGTGATTTTTGGGAAATACGGAACAAAATTTTCAACGAATGAGAAGATTAGAGCCAAACCATGTAAAATAATGTTGTCACTGCACATTTTAATGACTGCAAGTATAGTTTAGTTTAATCTATTTTGTTTTAGGACATATTGACTTTCCAACAGGAGATGGGGTTGAATACGGACATGAACTAACTTGTAATTATCTGATAGGTGTTGAATTTGGACAGGTATAGTTTATCTTTTCCATACAGGAATTGTTGTCCCTGTCCTCTCGTAGTTATTTTGGAACCTCACCACCCTTCTACATAGGGTTTATGTGTGGACGGATCCGGATCAGATTCATACACTTGTATTTGTGATCAAGTTAGGATCATATACTTGTATTTGTGATCAGGTTAGGATCATATACATCTATTTATAATTAGGTTAAGATAAAAAAAAAAAAAAATATGCAACCCCCATGATTATGTTATTCCAGGAAAAGATAGCTTGCATTTGATACAAAGATATTCAGTTCTAAAAAGGGAAGTTTGTCTTATCGTTCGTGAACGAAATGAACATAAACGATTACCCCTTTGTTGTTTTCCGTTAGTTAAGACACGTTGTCCTACCCTGAACGAGGAATATATGTTAAGGTGGTGAGACTTAACTTCACTGAGTTCCACATGGAAGGATCTGGAGCAGACTGTTATGATTGGTTGGTTATCTATGACGGATCAGATCAATCTGGGAATAAGATCGGAAGATACTGTGGGGTAACTCTTCCCGGGGAGAATGGAACTATTTACTCAAATTCTAACCAAATCTTTATGTCATTCAGATCTGACCATTCAATAGGTAAATATACAATTTCTTTAAAGATTAAACCAAGGAACTATTTTAGGAACCCCAAACTCAAATGTGCGCAAATTGTGTTCCGTTCTCACTGTGAGTAATGTAAACAAACGCAGGATCCTGCTCCCTCAACCTTTGGAAGAGAAGAACCAATTAGCTTTAAGAAACTCCAGTTATTTTCTTTAACTTGTGTTGTGACAGACTGCCAATAAATACTCATAAAAATCATTATGAGCTTTGTTTTTGTTCATTATTAATCCTCTTTCCTGCATTGAACGCGTAAATTTTTACGATTTTCAGCCTTAGAATTTTTTTTTTGTATCCTACCGCACAGTTTGCTTTTTGTTGTTGGCTTAATTTGAACAGACTCAGAAAAGCATAAGAGGGTGTTCCATGCTAAGCCCAGGTCCAACAATCATTTTGCTGATAATTGTTTCATAAACTATTGAGAAAAAGAGAAAACAAAGAGCCAACAGGCGTGTGTGCAGAGAAATAAAATTAAATTAAATTAACCTTGCCAATACTTGTATTCTTGTCCCATTCCCAGGGATGGGCATCGTTTTGAGATACGTTTTGAGGTACGTTTTGAGGTACGTTTTGAGGTACGTTTAGAGGTACGTTTTGAGGTACGTTTTGAGGTACGTTTAGAGGTACGTTTTGAGGTACGTTTAGCGGTACGTTTTGAGGAATGTTTAGAGGTACGTTTTGAGGTACGTTTAGAGGTACGTTTTGAGGTACGTTTTGAGGTACGTTTTGAAGAACGTTTTTCAAGGTTTTTTTTTAACTTTTTGGGAAGCTCCACATGAATCTAATTTGTAAATTTTATTTCCAAATTTATGTGCTTGATAAGTTTGCTTTCATTTCATTTCGCAATATTTTTACTCTGGATGAAGCTTCACCAAAACTATTTTTCAGAACGTTTTGATGAATCGTTTTCAAAACCTTAAAATAATTTTTGGTCAGAATTTTATTTTTGCACAATTTAATAAAAGTAACTTAAAGAATTTAAAATTTGCCCAGGGGTTATTTTTTTAGCACCTTCAAAGCCAAAAAACCTTGAAATAAATTTTAGAATAAACCTCAAAATTATGCTATTAGCACTAACACTAACTATTGTGTAAAAATTAAAAAAAAAAAAACTTGCTAAAATCTATTTATTTCTGTTCTGTTCTAGCTGGGTATGGGTTTAAAGTCAACTGGAATGCATCTCTTCCAGTCTGTGGAGGACTGTTTACTGGGTTATCTCATGGATCAATTAAATCTCCAGGTACTGATTCAAACCTTGTAGAAAATAGATAATGAAGAAGTAAATTGGTTGCTATCAATATCATATTTAGTGAAAATCTAGTCTCAACCCTCTTTTAGTTTACGACGACAGTCCCTTTAATCCTTCATACTAGGTTATCCTGGGCAGTATCCCCACAATGCAGACTGTACCTGGACTATCTCTGTAGAACCTGGAAAAAGAATTCAGTTTCATTTCGCTACCCTCAGCATAGAAACACATTCAACCTGCGAGATGGATAAGGTTGAGTCGGTGTCCTTCAGAAGTTCATTCCCAAGCTACAGTATATCCCCTGTCGACCGTTCATCCCTTGTCGTTAGTAAACCCTTCGACAGTTCATCCCTGTCGACAGTTCAATCCCTGTCGACAATTCATTCCTTGTCGAAAGTTTAACATTGCTTCTAAGTCTGACATTATGTTAAACTGGTCAACTTTCTGGAAGGATGAACTGTCGTAGGGCGGATAAACTGATGCAGCACACCGGGTTGGGCGCGAATAATCATGATACAATGCTCCTATTTTCTATAAGTATAGCGGATGGAATCAAGTTGTTGGCGCAATTTTCAGTTAATTGAAAATATTCTATTTGCAACCAGACTCTCATGATAATTCCTACACGAATGTCATCTATTATATGATAAATTAAAAATAATATCCATATATGTTCTATGCTACTAAGGAATTGTTACAGGAGGGTGGGGCTTCATTTTTTTCCTTTTCAGGGGGTGCTCAGCACCCTTCGTGACCTGAATACCCCCAAAAGTAGTATCAATAATCAAAAGTAGTATAAACTTCGCCATTTCAAATTTATTTTACTGTTTATAAATATTAGGAACTGAAAATGAAAATAATCATAAAAAAACAATTTTTCGTTAAAGGATTTGAGTCTTTGCCACCAACTCAAATCTTATGATCTCTCTAAATTTGCAACCTGATGGTTTGAACCTTTTATATATCAAACTTAGATTTTTTTATCTAACAGAAATCATAGTTTAAAATATCTAAGGTCTTTGACAGGTGGTTGCAACTGCAAGGATAGAGGGATTAGAAAATCGGAATTTGTGGCAAAAACTCAATTCCTTTTCTGTTTGAAACACGTCTTTAATGATTAGTTTGTTTCTAGCTTGAGATATCAGAAGGGGATGCGGGTCATGTGATTGGTCAATATTGTAACTCTACTCTTCCTCCCCCGATCACATCATCAGGATCAGAAGTCTCTGTCAGGTACATGATTAGCAAGGCGAAGATTAGTAAAATGTATGGTTTCCAGGGGAATTTTCAGTCCCAACGGGTTCTGAGCCCCTTCCTGGAAAGAAAAAAATTAGCCTCCCAAGGAGAACATTCTTGTGTTCGCCCCAGTACGTTGAGAATTCAGAAAGGACGGGATTTGATATTTTCTTAAATTCATGGTTCCCTGCGGCTGTAATCTAGTTTGTTGTAAAGAATAAAAGCATATATATAACCAGTTGGGGTTTAAGACCATGAACACACGTAACCAGTTTGGATTTAAGACAATGAGCACATGAAACCAGTTTGGTTTTAAGACAATGAGAATATGTAGCCAGTTTGGTTTTAAGAATGGAGCATATGTAACCAGTTGGGTTTAAGAATGGAGTATATGTAACCAGTTGGGGTTTAAGACAATGAGCACATGTAACCAGTTTGGTTTTAAGAATGGAGCATACGTATAACCAGTTTGGGTTTAAGAGAGCAGCATATGCAACCAGTTTAGTTTTAAGATTAAGAGTATATATAAATAGTTTAGTTTTAAGATGAAGAGCATATTTGCCCAGTTTGGTTTTAAGATGAAGAGCATGTATGTATACCCAGTTTGGTTTTAAGAGTAAAAGCATATACAAGCAGTTAGTTATCAAGAGTAAATTGATACAAATCTAGTTTTGTATTAGGAGTAAAAGCATATAACCAGTTTGCTATTACGACTGAAGATTCAAAGATGAGTTAGAGAAAAATACTCTCAACTTCAATTTGATTTAATTATACCTGGCAGACCTCTGGCATAAATCAAATTGTACAGTTTACCTGTAGAAGGCATAATTAACGGGAAAGTACGCCGAGAGTGAGACCATGGAATGGGAAATAAAACTTTAAGGACATGACAGTACTAATTTAAATAGACATTTGATGTTAAAAATTGTAATTTTCACTGAAAATCAAAATCAGGGCTTTTAGAGCCTGTTTATTTCAGATTTACATCCGATGCATCTCTAAGTGACAATGGTTTCTTGATCACGTGGTCAGCTGTTCCAGGAGTACCAGGCTGTGGGGGTCTTTTATCTCAGGTACTAATAAAATAGGACATGTTCTTAATTTCTGAATTATTATAGGGCTGAACATGTTCTTGATTTCTGAAATATTATAGGGCTGAACATGTTCTTGATTTCTGAAATATTATAGGGCTGAACATGTTCTTGATTACTGAAATATTATAGGGCTGAACATGTTCTTAATTTGTTAATTGCCGTTTCATTAATATTTTTTGATTTAAAGAAATATGACATTTACAACCTGATTTTGTAATTGTTAAACGAATATATGAAAATGTTAAAGGGCACATTTTATAAGATATTCTTAGCGACTTTACTCCTCCCACTGTATAATATAGAAATATTATATCAAAATAATTAAGTATATATGCCACAAATTTAGATTTTTAAATCATTATATCTTTGCAAACCGATGTCGTAAGCCTTTGATATTTCAAACTATAAATTCTGTTGGATGAAATATTGTAGGTTTGAAATATCAATATTCTACGCCATCAAGGATTTGAATATTTGAGTTTGTGGCAAAACTCAATTCCTGTTAGCATTTTATGCTTCCAAAGAGGTCTTTATGGGGACAGGCATAAAATAGACACTATTCAGGAGATAGATGACACACATTGAGACTTGAGAGTGCACTTTGTGTTTATTAAATACTCTTTTTTTATGTTTTTTGACGTTTTTTCCTTAAAATAAATATTAATGTTGATTGTACAGGCTAAAGGAGAGTTCCGGTCACCCCGGCACCCAGAATCCTATGATGTAAACCTAAACTGTCAATGGATTATCAGAGTTCCACCCGCCGACAAGTAAGCTCAGTCCAGACATTAAATTTAAAGGAGTGTTCGCAAACTTTATCAGGGGGGTGTAAGGGCAGTTATATGGAAATACGCCGTGTCATGTAGTTTTCACAATTTCTGATAATTGTACAAGAATACTTTTTCTTTATTCATACTTTCCGCCGAGTCAACATCTTTAATCTAAATGTAAAAGGCATCTACATTCTACATATATAAAATTGTCATCTCTGTTTGTCTATCTGTTTGCTTGGATGAACTCAAGAACCCCTGGAAATATTTGCCTCAAATTCTGACAGGGGAACTCGGGAGAACCACGGGAATGTTCTATAGCTTGATTTTGTGATTTTAAATTGTGGGATTCCACTTTTAAAGGAAAAATAGATCAAATTGTAATTTACGACCAAGTGCGGGTAAACGGCCGAAGTAACTCATGAACACATGGTCCAATTCGTCTCAAATTTTGATTGGGGAACTCGGGAGAACCACGGAATGTTCTTAGCTTGGTTTTGAGGTATTAAATTTGGTGGGTTCACTTTTATAGGGAAAAATAGATCACACTGTAATCTACGGACCAAGCGCGGGTGAACGGCAGAAGTAGCTAAGAGTACCCAGGGCAACGCTGGGTTCCCAAGCTAGTCATTTCTTAATGAATTAGAATATTTCCTTTAACTCATGCCACAATGAAACAGTTTTGGTTTAATTTTTGAAAGTGTAAAAGATATAAAACTGGTTTAGAAACTATAGAATAGGAATAATGATGTACAAAGCAAAAAGCTTTACTAGTAAGTAAAATGGGCCTTTTAACACTGCATAACTGCTGTGTCTTGTGTCATTATAGACTATTTAAAGCCATAACTTGAGTCTAAAAGTTGACTTCTTATTCCGGAGTTTCATTTTCAGAATTGTTGTTGAGTTTGGTCAGTTTGAACTTGAGAACCAGGCAACCTGTGAATTTGACTACCTGGAGATACGAGATGGAGGATCAAGGAATTCTCCGCTTATTGGACGGTAACATAAATATATTTGTCTAGGGACAATTATGCGTGTATTCAAGGTCACATTCCATTTATAAAAAGAGGGGCATGCCCGGATTCATCCTGGTACCCTTAAAACCTCTCCTGAACAAAAATAATCAAAATATATTCGCTTCATTTTCATCTTAAATTTAAAAATTTCTTGTTTTGGCTAACTACTTTTGCGAATAAAAAAAAATAATGTTCTTTTATTGGATAAAAAAAGATGCACTGTTAAAAGAATATAAAGGTTTGCAAACAAAATTTTCAAGAAAAGGTTAACATTGTCACAAGGAAAAGAATATTAGACTTTAAATTGAAATATCAAATTTTATAAAAGCACAATAATAGGTTAAAATATCATGATCTTTGACAAATTTAACAATTTTATTTATTTTTTTTTATCCCTTGAAAACGAAACTTTTTTATTCATCTCGAAATCAACTTTTTACAGAAATATTTGTATAATCTAATAAGCTTTACTATTATAACAACAACTTTAAACCTTTCTCTCTAAACCTTTTATTCCATCAAAAATTGTTACATTTCTAAAACGAGCTAGAAAATTATCTTGAGAAAAAAGTGTTTTTTTTTATCTAATCTATAGATATAAAGTTGTAATCTCTGTTTGTCTGTTTGTTTTTCCGACGATAACTCAGAAACCTCTTGACCGATTTGACTCAAGTCTTTGATTGGCGAACTCATGAGAATCCTGGCTATGATCGTAGCTTGGTTTTGAGATTCTAAGTTGATTGGGTCCGGAAAAATAGCTAAAATCGTGATTTACGACCAAGTGCGGGTAAACGGCGGGAGTAACTATGAACACTTTTCTTAAGATGTGTTTGGGGACTTTTTCTTTTCCAGATTTTGCCAAAATATGTGTACATTGGACACATACATATATTGTATTCCATGGTACATACAACATGAAAAACTAGGTAATAATACATGTACTGTATGTAGGTACTGCGGTACAACGCCTCCTCCAACAATAAAATCTACAAGTAACCAACTGTACATACAGTTCAGATCAGATTATTCAGTCTCACACTCAGGCTTTAGAGCATCGTATAAAACAGGTTGGTGTGTTAATCCATAATCTAGACCAGCAACGTTTTTTTTTTGAAATTCATTGGGAATTATCAAGTGTTGGGTTGGAACATGTTGGGGTTTAGTTGAAACATGTTGGGGTTGGGTTGGAACATGTTGAGGTTGGGTTTTGGATTTCAAAAATGTAGATTTGAAAATAAAAACTTGATCAACAACTTGATTTTACTGAACAATTAACGAATTGGCGTGATAAGTAAGAAAAATAAAATATCTCTAAAAAGTGTAAACATTTTTTTAACATACTTTTACGACTATTAAAAATCTCATCCTGCTTTTTTAAAACGTTTTCGTAAAATGTAAACAAATAATTAAATATAAATTTATTATTTTCTTAATTAAGTTATACATATAAATGCGATCGCAATTTGTTGTTCTGAAACTTTCTTCTAACCTGAGCTATAATCCCTCACAGTTACCTGGGTTATCCTTAAAAAGTAAAACAAGTGTACAGTTCTGGTATAAGTCTATATAATAAAGCTCTTCGCTCATTTGTATATATACGTTAGCTATAGCTGTCAAACGGCTGAATCAAATTAGCCTGACCTTTTTTGAGGAATTCCTTGGACACCCAAGGGGTAATATAGGCCAAAAAATTCGACTTTTTTTAAATCCGTTTTTTTAATTCCACGGGCACTTCCGCTAGTTTAAAATAAAAAGTTTTTTCATCAATATAGATCATTGTAGATTTCTTTTTCAGCTTAATTTTTTCATTTAGAATCAACAATTATAAACTGTCGAAAAAAACTCTAACATTTATTTCTAATATAAACTTAAAGTGACTGTAATGTGTAATTTCAAGTGACAAGTGCAAAGATGGCAACACCCGATTTACAACGGTACCCTTGAAACCTTAATCTAACCAAAAATGTGGAAGATACCGTCGTTTTCATGACTCGGAAAAGTGTTTATTTCTGTTAGTTTCCCCATTGCTTCTAAAAAAACAAAAATGCGCAATTCATTTACGCAGAGAAACCACAAATGAAAATAAATAGTTTAAAGAAAGAAAAACATTGATATCTTATTAATACTTGATTAGACAAAGCTTTCAAGTGTGCCGTTGCATTAGGGTCACTTTTAATTACGCTTACAGTCCCTTTAATAAAACTCTAAACCGGAAAAGGAATCGAACACACTGTTAAGAACAAAATATGATCGAAAAGTTTGAATCATTAACAAACTGTTAAGGATTGTCTCAAAAATGACAATGCTTATTTAATTGAATTGCTAGAAAAGATTATTTTTTTTTATAAAGTACCTTGTTTCGACAATATTTCTGACCAATTAGTATATTTTCCTTGTCTGACCAATCTGCATCTAATTATTAGAAAAGTAGGTAAACAAATATTTCTCAAATTAGCATAAAGTTAAGTTTGTATTTAAGTTTTACAAAATTTGAAAAAGGGCTGAGACCTTTTTTTTCTAAGTAACTAAAACTCTATCATAGGTTTATCAGAACCTATCAATCGCTATTTTTAAACAATTAACGAAAATGGACAGTAGACTTTTCAGCCAGATCACTATCATATTTGTACTCTAAATTTCTTTAATAGTTTTTTACAGGTCGAATTTTCTTCGGTCCTCTAAGGTTAAATACAATGATAGCCGCGCTAACAAGGTTTGTGACACAGACAACGTTGTTTGTTAGAAACCGTAAAAAACGTAAAAATAGCTAAACCAATCAGGCCACCATTTGTTGTTACAATCATCTGACATGATCTCATGGAAGGTTTACTAGCAAATTGACAGATTTATCCTAGAAAATGTTCCAATTTTAAAATTTATGTAAACAGAAAACTCCGCAAGTTATGACGTCCGAATTCAAAATGGCGGCTTGACGAAGCGCTACATTTGAAAAGTAAAATTGTTATTTAAAAATGGAACGCGGAGCTCTCTAAAAAGCTAAGTATTATATAAAACTAGATTAGATAATATTATTCGTTTTTACCTAGTGGGTGGTCTACAATAACTGAATCAGGAGATTCTTTAACTGAAAAATAAATCAGAAATTAATTTCAGGTTTAAGGGAATACAATTGAAGAACGTAATAAATGATTAAGAAAGAATAAAAAATGTCATCATTTGATATTGAATATAGAGTAATTGAGTTTTTGCCACAAACTCACATTTTCTAAACCTTAATTCTTTGCAACCTGATGGTGTAAACCTTTGATATTTCAAACTTAGACAATTTTATGTTACAGAAATCTTTTGAAATATCAAACGTCTACGACATAGGGTTGCAACTACAAATTTGTGCCTCTACTTTTCAGAAAAACATCAATCATTTCACAGTTTTCTGGTTACTATTTGTATACTATAATACCCATTTTAATGTTTTGAAAAAAATGACCGCCAAGAAAAGTTCTTTAATCATGTCAAACATAAAGGAACTGAGTTTTTGCTACAAACTGTGTAATGTAGAGGTATTCAGTTCACCTGTGTACTTCCAATTAATCAGCTTTATCTTATTATTATCAATGTATTCCAAGAAGGCAGCAGTAAAAAACTGAGGCCCTGTCTGAAAATATAATATTGTATACTTTATCATTCATGCTGCACTGCATAGTGTATTTCATTATAACAGTGTTATACAGGCGCGTAGTGCAGGTTTAGCCTAGGGGGGTGCACTTTTGCCGATTTTTTTTTGTGCACCCCCCTAAAAAACCGGTATTAAGTAAAAAATAAAGTTTAAAATCTATATTAATCCACCTGAAGGCTGACTATTAGTCATCTAACCATAATTACCAATCATACCATTATAAAATCTTGTAGTAAAAGAGCAAAAACCTTAAAGATTTGAATAAAACTCTGCGTCAATCATCTTGCTCTGAGAGACAGAAATGGATTTTAAATTAAACCCCGCGAAAGAAATATTATAAATAAGATTAAGATACAATTAAAAGAAATTGAGAAATAATCATAAAATGGACAAATTGTGACATTGTCGAATAATAAGAAAAGTAAAAAATCTGAATATGTATGTAAGTTTACTGTTTACTAAATTAGAGCCTGCCTCTGGCTCTAGGGGGGGGCTAAAGGGGTGCATGTCTAGGGGGGCACAGGGGTACCGCCCCCCCACTACGCGCCTGGTGTTATACAGCAATGCTATAATGCTGAATTAGCTATGCGTTTTAGTACTTAACTAAAAACTTTAATTGGTTCCAAGATGTTTTCCAAAAAAAAACATGACACTAGCATAAATTTACAATTTCTTATCTATTAATTAATTAAATTCTTTATATGTAAAATAATTATAGATAAAGACAAGTTCACAAATATTTTTTTATTACCCTTAACACGATTATTTTGGTATGACGTTATATAAAGATTTTTGACTTATAATTTCTCTAGAAGATTCTCGCCTTTTTAGATCATACTTTCTAGCACTGTGAATAGGGTTGTTTAATCGTTTTTTTAAAACGATCCAGAAAACGATAGTCTTTCCTTTTTTTTTAAAAACGATCGTATCGTTCTTGGAAAAAAACTTTTTTTGAGCTTTCTTTTTTTAAACACTATGGGTGTTTCAAAAACTATCGTTTTTTATCGAAAAACTACCTGCAAACATACATAATAGTGTTATAAATAATCGTTCTTATCGTTCTTTAAAACAGATTCAATCTTTTAAGAGGAAGTGTTAAAGAGTTGTGCTTACCTTTTGTAGGGTAGGTGTGTGCTTAAAAAAGTTTTCTTTTAAGCACCCCAGTATATACTTCATAAATTTAGAGCCCTTTAACAATTTGAGCAAATATTAAAAATGGCATGTTAAACAGTTTAAAATACTACAATCCTATTTGTTTGAAAATGTAAAGGGACTGTGAGCGTAATTGTATGTGGCCCTCCATGAAAAGATCGCAATGTCTGATTTACAACGTTACCCTTGAAAGCTTATTCTGATCAAAAATGTGGAATATACCGAAGTTTTTCTGACTCGGAAAGTGTGAGTTTCTCCATTGATTCTTATAAGCAAGGAATGCGTAAGTCACTTTCGCAGAGAAACCGCAAATGAAAATAAATAGTTGAAAGAAACAATAACATTGATATCTTATTCAAATTTGATTAGCCAAAGCTTTTAAGGGTATCGTTGTAAATCGAACAATGCCATCTTTGCATTGACGGTCACTTTAAAATACTGTTACGGTTCTTTTAAACAGAAAGCAAAGATTACAAAACTAAACCAAAAAGCTTTTTTCGATATTTGTCCAAATTCCTTCGGCATTCCCAGCTGAGCATTTTCTATTGAAGCCTTGTGTTCAGCCATAACTATTGAAAACAAAAAGAAGTTATCAACATAGATTTAGTTTCCTCACCATTTACATTTTAATTATATTTTCTATTGAAGCCTTGTGTTCCGCCGTATATATTAAAAACAAAAAGAATTTATCAACACAGATTCAATTTCCTCACCATTTACATTCTAATTTTATTTTGGGTTTCTTGGATTTACATCCAAACATAAAACCTACTATTTTTTCGGCGAATGTCGACTGCATATTACTGCAGTACAAAGCTTTGTTTATGATGTAAAATTTAATGCTTTTTGTTATCACTACCTTGGGAAACCAGCTTCACCTGGAAACTAAGCTTTTTCATAAGAAGAAACGCACTCAAGTTTTTTTTCGGAACAAAAACGAACCAGTAAAATAATCTTCTGTGAATTCAGCTGAAATTAAACACTTTCCATGGAACAAAGTAATCAATATTTATTATTTATTCCATTCAAATGCTATCCGTCCAAAATAATTTTCGTGTGTTCTGTTGATTTGCATTTAGGCATTTCAGAAATCTGCGGAAACTTTTTTTAAAAAAGATTTTGACGAAATGAAAGAAATGATTATAGTTTTTAAAGTTTTCATTTTCATCATTTCTGCAAATTAACCTGAGCTGGAGTATTTTGTGTTAGATAATCTCTATCGATTTAAATTAATTTGAGGATAATTGCATAATCTTTACAGTTCATTTAATCCTTCAGGATACAATTACACTGCGGATACAATATAAAGATTAAATTAATCTGTAGATGAACAAAAGATCTAATCAAGCATTAATCTCGATATCCACAATAATTGATCTCAATCTTGTATACAGATCTGCAGATTAATTTTATTCCTATTCTATATTTCAAGGTTGCATGGCCTTCATTCATTTAGGGATCAAAAATGAATCCTTAAATATTTAAAAGTCCCAATGTTGGATATCGAGATCAAAAGGTCAAGATTAACAATATCCACACAAAAGGTGCGATCTCTGTTCGTGGACAAAAATAAGTTCAAAGCAGAATTTTAAAGAAAGTTATTTTTAAAAATCCAACAAACCTCCAGACTTATGCATCCAGTCAATATCCTTGTAATAATCATGAGGAGTGTAGGTCACAAAACTCGTGGAAAACACGGGACCAAATCTTCTAAATAAAGAGAAACATAAATAATAATAATCTTAAATCTTAAAACCATTAGATTATTTTAAATTTAACAATTCTAAATACCTTTTTACTAAGGAATCCATATCCAAGTATATTCCCCCATATCTATGGAGAATATGAAATTATTATCATTATTATTATTATTCTTTTTATTATCATTATTATTATTATTATTATTATTATTATTATTATTATTATTATTATTATTATTATTATTATTATTATTATTATTATCATCATTATTATCATTACTTGTAAAGAATATCCATTCTAAGTATATCAGTGAACATTGCAAAGTTTGTGCACTGATCCAATAAATCCTGATTCAACCAAACATCTTTGAAAAAATTTAAATATCAGATTAATTTTTAGGATAATAATTTAGATTTTTATTTAAACTTTAAATTATTCAAAATGCTTATCCATTGTAAAATATTCTTACCATCCTTGATATTTTTTATTTTAATATTTGGATGATTCTGAAGATCTTCTTTTACAGGTGTGTGTTCATCTAACCACAAAAATACTTCATAGTCTAAAAATTTCATGGAAAGATTAAACATTCTTTTTAAATGTTGGATCATTTGATATTACGCCTACAGACCCTTTAATTGAGCCCGAAATTTAAAGAATATCGTTGAACGAAACTCCCGAGTTTCCTTTTTGGGGTTTTAAATTTGTGTAGATTTGGATAAAAGAGATTCGAAAATATTTGAGAATACAAAGAATTAAGAAACTAAATAAGATAATATTTCATAACAAAAATATTGATATCCACAGAACTGTCTGACCCCATTTGTGAAACCCGGGTTCCAAAACTGATTTACATAACGATACCTGTCTTAAGTTTTGGGCATTGGGTTTATACAGTACAATACCTGGATTGTACTGTACAGCAGACAAGGGTCCCTTGTAGTACTCCAAGGGTAGAGACGATCCAACCCAGACCATGTGGATTAACTTTGGTACGACTAAATCTGTAAAGAAATAACTGTTCAGTAGGACCCATAAACTGTCAGACACACAGTATGTATTTAAAAAAAGATTGCATATTTATTTCATTTTTTATTATTGACATCATTTTTCAAGGGTACAATTAATGGTATTTTTATCTTACCTTCTTCTGGTTCCATATCTACAGAAAACCTAAACAAATATGGAATTACTTTAATTCACAAAATGATGTATTTTTAAATTATTACCTTTACCATCTTGAATACAAATCTTACCTTTTTGTGTCGGTTTGGTTTGGAAAATGCTTTCTTGTCATGTTTATATACTCAGGAACTGGTTGATCAAACTGATAATATAAAGAGGAATCAATTGATCAAACTGATAATATAAACAGGAATCAATTAATCAAACTGATAGTATAAACAGGAATCAATTGATCAAACTGATCTAATTGATAATATAAACAGTAATCAATTGATCAAACTGATAATATAAACAGGAATCAATTGATAAACTGATAATAAAAACAGGAATCAATTGATCAAACTGAAAATATAAACATTGATCTAACTGATAATATAAACAGGAATCAATTGATCAAACTGATAATATAAACAGGAATCAATTGATAAACTAATAATATAAACAGGAATCAATTGATCAAACTGATAATATAAACAGGAATCAATTGATCAAACGGATAATATAAACAGGAATCAATTGATAAACTAAAAATATAAACAGAAACCAATTGATCAAACTGATAATATAAACAGGAATCTATTGATCAAACTGATAATATAAACAGGAACCAATTGATTAAACTGATAATGTAAATAAGAACCAATTAATGAAACTGATAATATGAACAAGAACCAATTAATTAAACTGATAATATAAACAGGAACCAATTGATTATAATGATAATAAAAACAGGAACCGGTTAACATAAACAGGAACCAATTGATTAAATTGATAATGTAAACAGGAACAAATTGATTATAATGATAATCAAAACAGGAACCGGTTGATCAAACTGATAATGTAAACAGGAACTAATTGATTAAATTGATATTATAAATTATAAATCAAACAAAAATGAATTAAATTTGACATTGCTTAAATTGATTAATTTCTATATTTACCTCCAGATCTGGGTCATCTTCAACTTTAGAACATTTTCCCCTTAAACAATTTATAATTAGAATTGATAAAAAAAATAATTTTAAATGTCGCTTAATTTACTTATCTTATTGTAATTCAAAAATTCCGTGTTGAAAGTAAAAGTTTCTTTTCTGAATGAAAATAATCTAAATAGCATTTAAATATTAAATACACAGAACAAACATCAGATAGCCTTATATAATCGATTCAGTAAAGCAACACAATTTACGCAATTAGAAAATCACATTTTACACATTTTTATATCTATTCATATGTATACTGTAGTTTAAAAAATCCATTTTTGATTGGTTTAATTGAAACTTTTATCATGAGCCGTATGATTTTTAACATATTAATGTTTAATTTTTTAAAAATGCAGGATTAGTTTTTTGTTTTAGTTCTTTATTTAACTTGAGTAAGTCGGCATTTTTTTATATAGGCCGCGTATATGACACCAAAAAAGTTGATTAATCTTTGTCTAATACACCGCTTCTTTTAAATGAGAACCCCACTGAGGGTGCTATTGATTGATTCAACTGATATTATCTTTGTATTAACGTTCAGCGCACATTTTCATTTACAAAATTACAAAGTATTGAAGAATTTAATTTTGTTATTTATTGTCAATTCCAAAATTAAAAATAAAAGAAAAACTTTAGAATGTCACTTTTATTTTAGTTTTAAAACAGAAAAGAAAAGATAACCGGCCGGGTTCATTTTTCTTTTTTTCAGTAGTATTCAGGATATTCAGCATTGTTTTCGTAGTAAGGGGAAGGAGTCTTTTTACCTGAAACACTGTACATATTTGTTGCAATCTCCCTGGTGAAGAAGGAATGTCACTGATAATTTTACCATTTTTTTCATTTGAGCAGATTTATTTGATTTATTTCCTTGCAGATTCAGCAGTTTGGTCCTTATCCCAGCAAGATATGAAATTCGATCACAATTTGTCTAATTAAAAATAAGTTAAATGTTGTTAAAAACACGATTAAATTATGATAGAAGAAGCCTTTATGTAAAATAATTTGGCAAAAGTCCCTAGCAGATGTTGAATAATAAAATTTTGCATCAAACCATTTTTCATTTTTATCATGCTGAAATTACAATATATACATGAATAAGAAAACAATTGACAAGGCAGCTTTTAAAAAACGGTGTTCAGAATTTACTCAAAGATCAACTATTTTTTTTTCTATTTTTAGGTATCCATTTTTGCTTTTTAAATTTATTTTGTTTCTACAAAGTGAAAGGGCCGTTTTGAGAAATTAAGGGTTTTTTGACGCAAAAAAAGTTTCACGAAAATGTGAGTAATTAGTTTAACTGCAAAATTGTATTCTTGATAAGTTTGGTACGATTACATTATGCGAATTTTTTTCTCTGGTCAAAAATTTTAACCACAACTATTTTTAAAAAGAAAAATAATTTTCTAATCATCTTGAAAAATATTATTGGTCAGAACAAAATTATTGCATAATGTAATAAAAGCATGCAATTTTGAGGATTCACGTCTCAGATTTTTGTGGAGCCTCTTATAAGTTTTATCGAATATCGAAAATTAAAAAACGGGCCACAAAACGATGTTCAAAACGGGCTTCAAAACGATTTTTATGGTTGCTGCTTTAAAATTATAAAGCTCTAAAGTGCTTAATTTTATGTACTAAAATATCACATTTAATATCATTTTAAAAAGCATCCTATATTGCTAATTTTCTCTCACAATCTAACATCACAAAATTGCGGATAATGTACAAAAAGCATTTGCTTTAATAAAGATCAGTAATGACACTATAGTGTACTTTATCATTCTTCCTCACTTCATCGTGAATTTCATAATGAACGTGCTATAAAGTAATCATCGTGCTATACATGTTAAATTAGCTGTACATTATAGCAGTGCTATAATGTTTTGATTGGTTCCTGGATTTTCTCCAAAAAGTTTAGGATATTTCCAAAATATTTTTTTCAATTAAAATTAAAATAAAATTGAAATTAACTTTATATTTTGACTTCAGCTTTGTTTCAAAGCTTATTTGATCTATAGAAATAGCCATTGAGAAATAAAACATGTACAGAAACGTTAATTTCATAAAATACCTATAACACTATTATTTTGGCACGACGTGCTATTAAATCTGAAAAGGCTTGAACCTTCTCGACAAGTATTGGTGTAAACTGCCCCAAAATCAAAATTTGGATTATATGTCAATATATCCGTGCGTTTGTGCGTTATCTTTTCTTTTATTTGTGATAATCTTGAATCAAAATAAAATCAGCAATCCATGTTTTTCCTTGCGCCAGTGCATTTTCAATCAAAAACTTGTTTTATTTAATTTTGGAAGGCGCACAGACGCACGGAAAAAATGACATATAACCCAAATTTTGATTTTGGGGCTATTTACATCTATAGTCTCGACAAAGAGAAAGTTTCTGTATAAAAACTTTATAACACTGCGAACCAAAATTGCAGCTGTTATAAATAGTTATAATGAAGAGCAAACAGGAAAAATTATATTTTAAAATTACTTTCTCTTACTTATCCGGGGTGGTTAAAACAAACCCAACTTTGCCATCTTAAGTCGCATTCTTTGTGGGAAACCCATAACGATACAATCAAATTAATATTTAAATAAACAGTTGAACTCTGTAATCACGAAGCCGACATGAGGGTCTTAACAGTATAATGATTAACAAACACTAGTGAGCAACTAAGCGTAAACTACAGGTATAAGTTGAATGCAGGATTGCGTATACGTATTTACAATTTATTCGCGCTTCTAACCTGGAGAATAACTCATAGGTTAGTTACTAGATACTACTCGGCTCATAGGTTAGTTATTAGGTACTATACCCTACTCATAGGTTAGTTACTAAGTAGTAACCAGCTCATAGTTTAGTTACTAGATACTACCTTGCTCATAGGTTAGTTACTAGACACTATAACTAGGCTCAAAGGTTAGTTACTAGAGACTACCCGACTCAAAGGTTAATTACTAGACACTGCACTGCTCATAGGTTAGTTACTATACACTATCCGGCTCATGGGTTAGTTACTAGATACTACCCGGCTCATAGGTGAGTTACCAGACACTACCCGGCTCATAGGTTAGTTAGTAGGTACTACCCCACTCATAGGTCAGTTTCTAAATACTAACGAGCTCATAGGTTAGTTACTAGACACTACTCGGCTCACAGGTTGGTTACCAGAGACTACCCGGCTCATAGGTTAATTACTAGACAATACCCTGCTCATAGGTTAGTTACTTTACACTATCCGGCTCATAGGTTAGTTACTAGATACTACCCGGCTCATAGGTTAATTACTAGACAATACCCGGCTCATAGGTTAGTTACTATACACTATCCGGCTCATAGGTTAGTTACCAGAGACTACCCGGCTCATATGTTAATTACTAGACAATACCCGGCTCATAGATTAGTTACTACACAATATCCGGCTCATAGGTTAGTTACTAGAATCGACCCGACTCATAGGTTAGTTACTAGACACTACTTGGCTCACAGGTTAGTTACAAGAGACTACCCGGCTCATAGGTTAATTACTAGACAATACCCGGCTCATAGGTTAGTTACTATACACTATCCGGCTCATAGGTTAGTTACTAGAAACGACCCGACTCATAGGTTAGTTACTAGACACTACCCGACTCATAGGTTAGTTACTAGAGATACTAACCGGCTCATAGGTTAGTTACTAGAGATACTAACCGGATCATAGGTTAGTTACTAGAGATACTAACCGGCTCATGAGCTATTTACTAGACACTACTCGGCTCTTAGGTTAGCTACTAGGTAATTTAACAGACTCATAGGTTAGTTACTAGGTACTATACCCAGCTCATAGGTTAGTTACTAGATACAACCCGGCTCATAGGTTAGTTACTAGGTACATACCCGGCTCATAGATTAGTTACTATATACTACCCCGCTCATAGGTTAGTTACTATATACTACCGGGCTCATAGACTAGTTACTAGATACTACCCGGCTCATAGGTTAGTTACTAGATACTATCCAGCTCATAGGTTAGTTAATAGATACTTGGCAGCTCATATGTTAGTTACTAGACACTACCCGGCTCATAGGTTAGTTACTAGATTTTACTCGGCTCATAGGTTAGTTACTAGACACTACCCGGCTCATAGGTTAGTTACTAGATACTACCTGGCTCATAGTTAAGTTACTAGACACTATCCGGCTCATAGGTTAGTTACTAGATACTCCCAGGCTCATAGGTTAGTTACTAGATATTTTCCGGCTCATAGGTTAGTTATTAGACACTACCCGTTTCATAGGTTAATTACCAGACACTACCCGGCTCATAGGTTAGTTACTAGATTTTACTCGGCTCATAGGTTAGTTACTAGACACTACCCGGCTCATAGTTAGTTACTAGATACTACCTGGCTCATAGTTAAGTTACTAGACACTATCCGTCTCAGAGGTTAGTTACTAGATACTCCCCGGCTTAAAGGTTAGTTACTAGATACTATCCGGCTCATAGGTTATTTATTAGACACTACCCGGCTCATAGGTTAGTTACCAGACACTACCCGGCTCATAGGTTAGTGACTACATTTTACCCGGCTCATAGGTTAGTTACTAGATACTACCCGGCTCATAGGTTAGTTACTAGACACTACCTGGCTCATACGTTAGTTACTAGATACTATCCGGCTCAAAGGTTAGTTACTAGATACTACACGGCTCATAGATTAGTTACTAGATACTACCTCGCGGCTCATAGAAAGAGGATGTTTTCACATTTTTAAAAACAAATTTTCACATTTCACGTTTTAATGTGTTGTCGTTTTTTTCAGAAGATCAAAACGAACCTGTCTGTCAGAGTTACGCTGAAAGGGACAGAACCGTTTAAACAATTATTGACAAAGCAAGATCAAATCTGGAAAAACTCGTATTAATAGGGAAACCATAAAATTGAGGGCTGAAAGAGTATTGTCATTCGTGAAGAGTGTCATATCCGGACTTCACTAAATTTGATTGTAATTGTATGTTTTTAGACAATGTTATTATCTGATATCCGCCCCTCCTGGCTCAGCCATTCAGCTGCACTTCAGGTCAGATTAAATATAATAAAAACATTTTTTTTTTCTTCTCCAATTCGTTATTTTTCAGAGATTTCGACATAGAGGGCGTTGAATTCACTGATTACTGCTATTTTGACTACTTAGGTGGTTTTTTAATATCTCTATTTTTGATTGATATCAACAATATTTTCGCATAATTGCGTAAAAACTGCATTTTCGAGTAAAAAAGTATAAAAACATTAAAAAAAGTTTTTTTTATACAGTGAAACCCTTAATAACGAATACATCCTAAGAATTTATCAAATGTCGTCTTGACAAGAAAGTGAAGAATACGACATTTGATGAATTCTTTCGATGTATTCAATATTAAGGGTTTCACTGTATATTTTTTTAATTTAATCCGTAAATATTTAAAATCAATTAACTTGGGGGGGGGGGGGCATGGAGGAGGATTATTTTAAAATATTGAATAACATGGATAATTTTTGTTCAAATCTTTTTCTTTTTATTAAAGAAATAAGGGATGGAGACAATAGTAATTCATCTTTAATTGGAACCTATTGTGGAGATCCAACTAGAACACCAGGTTAGCGTACATTGGGACCTACAATACTTTGGAATAGAAAGACTACATTTAAACAATCTGATGTGTATTTGATGTTGTTTTGAAATAATAATTAATTATCAGCATTAAAATCAGCTTATTAAGTAAAATTGGTCTGGGTATACTGCACTACTCCAGTTTTTCATGTTTATTGAACTATTTAAAACCATTGCTTGATCGCAGGACATTTGTCTTTCTATTCCACATTTTTTTTAGTCTTACTCAATTAATTTTATGTAAAAAGCAGATCATCTGTTTATTTTATTTTGAAGGAACTGAGTTTTTGCCACAAACAAAAGTTATGTTATAAGGATTTCAAGTTCACAACGATCTTTCATTAGTTTATACCGTTAAAACTATATTGAGCATAAGCTATTAAAAATATCTGTAATTTTATTATTTTCGAATTCATTGATTAAGAATGTGTAGACTAAAGGTTAAGAAAGTTTCATAAACTTTGTAGATACGCCATATATCAATACATAGATGTAAATTTCATTTCAACCTCATATTTGTCAAACCTATTTATAGTGTAACTATAATGTTAAGGATTTATTTGATCAAAATCCAAATTTGTTTAATTTACCATATATATTTTTTTATATATGGCCAACTACATATGTTTAGAATCTATCTTAATTTGTTGTATGTTGGTTTAGAATCTATCCAAATGTGTTGTATGTTGGTTTAGAGTCTATCTAAATGTGCTGTATGTTGGTTTAGAACCTATCTAAAGTTGTTGTATGTTGGTTTATACCTATCTAAATTGTTTGTATGTGTGTCTAGAACCTTTTTAAATTTGTTGTATGTTTGTTTAGAACCTAGCTTGGGTGTTTGTATGTTTGTTAACAACCTTTCTAAATTTGTTGTATATTTGTTTACAACCTTTCTAAATTTGTTGTATATTTGTTTAGAACTTATCTAAATTGTTTGTATGTTTGTTTACAACCTTTCTAAATTTGTTGTATGTTTGTTTAGAACCTATAATATCAATGTACAACTACCTCTGGATGAAGTTTGTCACCGATGGATCTGTACATAACAGGAATGTACAATTTTCATAAAAAAAATCTGTTTATATTTTTTTTGCGGATTTTTTATTTATTATCTTTCTATTTATTAAATGTTATACATATCTCTTATATTTTTTATGTAATTTAAATTCACATATTTTCAAAATAAAATTTTTTACATTTACAGGGGATTTCTACTTAACTACACAACAGGAAAAAATCATTAAAATATTATGGTTCGTGGAGGGTGGTTTATCTTAACAGAGAGAAACAAATCGATTAGAAATGTTTATTAAAGGAATTGAGTTTTATCCACAAAGTCAAATGTTCTAATCCCTAAATCTTTGCAACCCGATGGTGAAAACCTTTGATATCTCAAACTACGACTATTTGATCAAACAGAATTTATAGTTTGAAATATCTAAGATAAAGGGATTAGAAAATCAGATTTTGTGGCAAAAGCTCAATTCCTTTAAACAGATCAATTCAAAATCTAAATGTGGTTTATCCCCTTTCATTTATTAAAAACCATTTTGGAATTTCTTTAAATGGACTGGCATTGAAATTTCTATAAACTGCAGGGATATAGAATACTAAACATGTTATTGTTCTGTAAAAACAAATGAAAATGTATCTAACATTCTTCCCCGACGTGTTGTTGCCTACCAAAACACAAGAAAATTGATAGAACTGGGGGGGGGTGGGGGGTGCAGGGGTTAAATCCAAAAGTTAGCAAGAAAACAATCAATTGTGAGCTGGATATAACCCCCTGGTTTGATATGATTTAACCCCGTGGTTTCTAGTTGATATATCCTGTGGTGGAATTCTAAAATCTAGATCTGGAATAATATCCTCCCCTGTAAACTCAGAACAGTATCCACATGGAGCCAACTGCAGGTAAACTTAAAACAGTATTTGGCCGAGATTACGCACCTCTGCCCCTTTAGTAAAAGTAAATTGAACCTATATGAAGCATATGTCTGACCTCGTCAACCTTGTTGCACCGGCTAGTCCTGTCCATAGAGCTAGGTACAGTACAAACTTGTACCGGAAAGGTTGACCCGGCTCGGAAATTCAAATGTACTACGGCTGCCCGTGGGATAGGCCACTGCTGTGTAGGGTTTCCAATTTTTTGTCTTACAAAACCCTTCTTGAAGCTGTTAAGAATTATAAACAATCAAGACATGAATTGAGTTTTAGCCACAAATTTAAATGTTCTAATCCATAAATTTTTGCTACCCGATGGTGTGAAGATCTACGACATCGGGTCGCAAAGATATAGGGGGTTATAAAATCAGAGTTTGTGGCAAAAACTCAATTCATTTGGAAATTAGCAGCGGAATCTTTCTTAACTGAATGAAGGGTAATTTTTACTTCTGATGATTCAAAGAGTTTGTTGTGATCTGCTGAAAAAATTTACGGGACGATTATTTCAGACCAACTTTATATGGAATAATCGTCCCGTAAACTTTTTTACAAATTTCACATCAAGCTTTGTTTATTATCTAAGGAATAGTTTGATTTGAAAATCAGTTCCGTCGTTGATTTCCTAAAGATTTTATGGTTTATAATTCTCAATAGCTTCAGGTTCCATGAGGTCTTTAGAGTAAAGATGTTTTTGTGAAACTTTGCTCTAAGTGTCCAAATTGGGAAGAAAGCGTTAAAATGTGGGAAATAAGTATAAAGCAGGACTTTTATGAAATAGTCACGAATAAATCAAACAGAGCAAATGATTACCATGGACGGAACCTCTGAAATATAAAAACACGCAGTTTTTAAGAAAACAAATGTATCATGAATTGTTAAGATGGATTATATCTAAATAATGAACTAGTAAGATGGATTATATTTAAATAATGAATTATTAAGATGGATTATAACTAAATTATGAATTATTAAGATAGTCTATATCTAATTTATGAATTATAAAGATGAATTATATCTAAATTATGAATTATTAAGATGGACTATATCTAAATAATGAATCATTTTGACGGATTATATCAAATTTATGAATTATTAAGATGGACTGTATCTAAATAATGAATTATTAAGATGGATTATATCTAAATTATGAATTTTTAAGATGGACTATATCTAAATAATAAATTATTAAGATGGATTATATCTAAATAATGAATTATTAAGATAGATTATATCTAAATTATGAATTATTAAGATGGATTATATCTAAATAATGAATTATTAAAATGGATTATATCTTAATTATGCATTATTAAGATGGACTATATCTAAATAATAAATTATTAAGATGGATTATATATAAATAATGAATTATTAAGATAGATTATATCTAAATTATGAATTATTAAGATGGATTATATATAATGAATTATTAAGATGGATTATATCTTAATTATGAATTATTAAGATGGATTATATCTAAATTATGAATTATTAAAATGGAGTATATCTAAATTATAAATTATTAAAATGGATTATATCTAAATTATGAATTATTAAGATGGATTATATCTAAATTATGAATTATTAAGATGGAATATATCTAAATAATGAATTATTAAGATGGTTTACATCTAAATTATGAATTATTAAGATGGATTATATCTAAATTATGAATTATTTAGATGGATTATTTCTGCTCCGTCTGGAATGTTGATTCGTATCTCTTGGCTGTCATTTCTACTGGAGGAGTCCCCAGGCTGTAGATTTGATCATGTTTCAGTTTATGATAATTCTTCTCTTGCTAATACAGGTAAAGAAAACTCTCTCCAGTAATTACAGTAATAACCAGAAAACGCTTGAATAGGAAGTCGACATTTAGACTCAAATTGTGATTTAAACAGCTATTCTGCAGCATTAACAGACCCATTTCACTTGATAAGTGATTTAATAACTTACTAATAAAGTTATTTGCATCGCAACAACATTAAACACACTTCAGTATTGCAATAGTGTCTGCTTCCTATTCTTCAGTTTTATGGTTATCCCTGTATAGGAATAAAATGATTTTCAACAATGATGTCTAATATGATAAAATAATTGGGTTTTATGGATTTATTAACTCATTGAGCCATGCCAATTGAACCAGATTAAATAAAAAAGTGGTTGAACCATTTCTGTTGTACCATTTTTATTTAATTCGTTAATACTGAATCCGTTTTTATTTTTTTTTTAACTCATTTGATTAATGATTTGATTTGCTACTTTATAATTTTTTGAGGTACAAAAAGATTTCATCTTTTTGATAAAAAGTTTTACCCATATTTGAACGTAGAAAAAGGTTATCAATTACACCGTCATTAATTCAGAGAATTGAGAATATGTGATAAAGGAACAGCCACATACACAGATTTTGTTATTCTTAAAACATTGCAATCCTTTGATATATTTCAAACAAAGAATTATGTTGGATAAAAAGTCTAAGTTTGAAATATCAAAGGTTTTGCACCATCAGATTGCTAAGAAATGAGGATTAGAAGATTAGAGTTTGTGGCAAAAACTGAATTATTTTATTAATTAGGTGGGTTGGTTGGTAAATATTGTGGATCTGTAAACCCTCCTGAGATAACCAGCTCAAGTAATATCATGTCTGTCATTTTTACCAGGTATACTTTAGATTTAGATGTAATTAAAGGGACTGTCCTAGTAATTTCAAGTGCTCTTCCATTTACAATTGGCAACAGTACTCTTAAAACCTTTATCTGATCAATATTATGGATGATGACATCGTTTTTTTTAACTTGTTTAATTCTTACATTTCCAACATTGTTTTCCTGCAGCAGAAATGGGCCAGTTATTTATGCAGAAAAATAACAATTGAAAATAATCAGTATTTAAAATTTTTTAACATGGATATATCTAACTCATACTTGAGCAGACAAAGCTTTTAAGGGTGTTGTTGTGAATCAGATATGCAACTCTATAAATAAAGGGTCCTTTTAAATTACGTCAATTACATTTAATAAGAAATTAACTTTAGTTTTAACAACAGTTTTAGATTGATTTAAATATTGATTTTGCTTTGAGCTATTATAAAAAAACTATGGTTTTTGATCTTCTTATTTTCCCAGTGATTCTTCAATATCCCATGATGGATTCACAGCATCCTATATCATGCTCAATTCTTCTACATTCTGCGGAGGAAACTTTTACACACAGACCGGGGTTATCAGATCTCCAGGTTGGCCGGCAGAGTATACGCACTCCAGGTACACCTTTATACACATATATCACAACTCCAGGTACACCTTTATACACATATATCACAACTCCAGGTACACCTTTATACACATATATCACAACTCCAGGTACACCTTTATACACATATATCAGGACTCCAGTTACACCTTTATACACATTTATCAGGACTCCAGTTACACCTTTATACACATTTATCAGGACTCCAGGTACACCTTTATACACATATATCAGGACTCCAGGTACACATTTATACACATATATCAGGACTCCAGTTACACCTTTATACACATTTATCAGGACTCCAGGTACACCTTTATACACATTTATCAGGACTCCAGGTACACCTTTATACACATATATCAGGACTCCAGTTACACCTTTATACACATATATCAGGACTCCAGATGCACCTTTATACACATTTATCAGGACTCCAGGTACACCTTTATACACATACATCACAACTCCAGGTACACCTTTATACACATTTATCAGGACTCCAGGTACACCTTTATACACATATATCAGGACTCCAGGTACACCTTTATACACATATATCAGGACTCCAGTTGCACCTTTATACACATTTATCAGGACTCCAGGTAAACCTTTATACACATTTATCAGGACTCCAGGTACACCTTTATACACAAATATCACGACTCCAGGTAAACTTTTATACACATATATCAGGACTCCAGGTACACCTTTATACACATATATCACAACTCCAGGTACACCATTATACACATATATCATGACTCCAGGTAAACCTTTATACACATTTATCAGGACTCCAGGTACACCTTTATACACATATATCAGGACTCCAGATACACCTTAACAAAGGATCAATTATAATGGATCACTGACATATGGTCAAACGACTTAGGGTCAAACGACCCAGGGTCAAACGACTTAGGGTCAAAACTACATAGGGTTAAACGACAATCGGTAAGAACATGACAGAGGATAAAACAACAAAGGATCAAAATGGAAAAAGACAATTTCTGGGCCGAGCGCTGCGGCTACTAGTTCTAATGAACATAAAAATGGTTCAAATTTATCAAAAATAGTCTAAATGAAATTTTGCCCGTTTGTTGCACTTTTTGACCCTATGTCGTTTTACCCTTTGTTGTTTTACCTTTTGTCGCGTTTTTGACCGTTTGTCGTATGACCCTAGTTTAACCCTATGGCATTTAGCCCTATGTCGTTGAATCCAGTTCAAAATGATAAATTTTCTGCTTGGAAAAGAATGGTTTCTCTTTTATGCAATCAAAATTATCTGAATATCTAATTCATCTAATGGCCAATTTAAGACAAAAAGAATTTGATTTCGTTTTGATAAATTCCTGATTTTTTGCCATAACCTATAATTTACCGTGCGTTGAGTTATTTTCAAAACTGTAAAAAAAGAATAAAAATTTTATTATAAAATTTAAAAAATCAATTGAGAAATTGTAAATGATAAAACTTTTATCAGGAAATTAATTAAATTAATTTAAGGATTGTAATTGATAAAACTTTTATTTGGAAATTAATCAAATCATAAACAAAAAATTTTTTATTAGGAAATCCATTAAATCAATTTAGGGATTGTAAGTGGATTATTTCTGTAGCAAATGGACAGCAAATATTGCTCAATGTGACAACCTTCCAACTTGAAACACATAGAGATTGCCGATATGATTTCCTGGAAGTAAGGTAATAAAAAAAACTAATCAAATTTTGCATATTTAACTATTCACTCAGCATTTCCAGTCACTACGAGGTTGAGTTCATTAAAAAAGATTTCTTTTGAAAACACACTGTATCTTAAACACGTCCATAATAGACATGTTTGTGCGCTTTTCAATCCATATATTGATCCATTCTCTGCAAAAATAAAAATCATTTTATAACCAAATTTTTGAACATAACTATATTTAGCCCATGTCACCCCCTTGTACAGGAACGTATAGGTTTCCTTAAAAAATCAGCCAAATTAATTTGGCCGTTTGACCACAAGCTAAAACGAATAAACATATATGAGCGTTGAGCTTCATTAAACATAAAAATGTAAAATGTTCTTGATTGAAATGGTAATTTTACTAAAAAAATCTAAAAATATGACGATTTTTGGATTCTGCATTCAATTAAGTGTTTTGACTGTTTAAAAGACGTTTCCTATTCCACAGTTGCCTAGCTTTTGCTGTATTTTATCAAAATTTCTATTGATAGGAATGGTGGTACAGAGAACTCTCCTCTGATTGGTAGATATTGTGGAAACAGAATACCCTCCTCAATACCTTCCTTTACTAATCAACTCTTCCTCAGGTTCAAATCCGACAGATCCATGTCAGCCCAAGGTGATTATATTTATAAATTGAAAACTATAAAAAAAATACTATTAAAGATCAAGACGTAACTAAAAATAACCTTCTACTTACAGAGTGGTATGTATAATTCACAACAGTACCCTTTAAGCCTTGATCTAAGTAACAGTGAGAAAGAAATTGTCGTTTTTTATCTTGAAATATTTCCTTAATGGTTTATTCAGCATAACTCCTTTATTTACTTTTACAGAGGAACCACAATTGAAAAATAAATTTGAGATAGTAAAACAAGGATATACATGATAAATGTGCTTGAGCTGTACTGTTGCAAATTTGACATGACATAGAAATTTGCAACTTGAAATTACGTTAGACATTCTCATTTGTTGCAAATAAGTAGGGAAAATATACAATTTGCAATATTTTCTCCAGGATTTGAGATTTTGTGGGATGGAGCCAGCACAGGATGTGGGGGGCGTTTAACAAGTCCAACTGGTTCAATAACAAGTCCAAACTATCCCCAGGTAAGATCATTATAAAAATAAAGTTGGGCTTCGCTGCTAACCGTTTTTTAATCAGGCAGCTTTTTTAGGCTTTCAAAAGACTATATTAAAATCTGAAAAATTTAAACTTATCCTAAATTGTATTCTTTAAAAGTTTGCTTTTATCATACTATGCAAAGTTTTGAATCTTGGCGTAGATATAAGCTTGCTTCGTCCAGGTATATACATATCTTCTGTCAGATCGTCCCAAATTTGCAGAATTTCGTAAAAGAAAACTGATAGAAAAACAAGTGTTTGTAGAATTTTTACACAGGCATAGAAGCCAAAATCTAAAAAAAAAACAGATAATAACGATACTTAGCTCTAATAAAAATTCATGTAAAAACGTTGAAAAAATTTACATTGATCATTTTACCAAAAACGCCTTTAAAATAAAAAGTATTAAATTAAGTCTCCAGAAATGAAAACTTTTAACTGTTTTCATTTTCTGCTCGAGAAGAGATTAACTGATTTTTCATTAGTCCAATCCTGGAAGTTTGGATCACAGAGAGAGCAATACAAATTTAAGTCAAATCTACTGGGCTACCTACGAAGAATAAGACTTTTAAAACGACTGTACCGAATTTATTGAGTACCTTTTTTTACATTATTCATTAAAAACTGTTTTTTTACAAAGCATAAAAATTCTCGATTGAAGGCAGAATACCAAGTGCAACATTTTCTTATTCAACAATTTTTGGGTCTTATCTCTCTTGGGTAAACCTGTAAGTTTAGGGATGACACCGTTTTTTATATCTGTGGTACAATTAATCTTATTTAAGAGTTATCACCACATGGCTGAATGCTTCTGGAGCATACATGTGAGCAAGGGAAGCAGGATTCAGATCACTATTGCAGATATAGATCTAGAGGCGGGATCATGTACTGCTGATTATATCAGGATTTATGACGGAGTAAATTCAAGAGCAAATAGCTTAGGTTAGTGTGTTACAATCACAGAGTATATTTACATACAATAGATATGCAAGAAGGTAGAAATTTTGAGGTCTTGGAATAATTTGAAAAATTTGACCCCTACCTTATACAATATAATTTTATTTGAAAACTAGACCAAGATAGCAACACTTGAAGTAGAGAATTTAAATTATCAAAAAGCGTATTTTCTACTGATGGAAGCAGAAAGGAATATAGAAAGTAAACAATATGCTATAGCTATGTCTATTATTTCTCAATGAAGGAGAGGTACAAATATTATGTTTGTTCTTCAAGCTATTTCTGAGTTCTGAAATACAACATAAATCTACCATTTTAGGAACATATTGCTCTGGTGCTCCAATCATTATAACTTCAACATTCAATATTGTTTACATCAAGTTCAGATCAGACTTCTCATTTGCAGGCAGAGGCTTTCAATTGACATACTCAACCCTTTGTAAAAATGAGGTTAGAAACACTTCAAAAATTATTCAAATAATAATTCATTTATGTTTTATCTTTAAGGTTTCTGGTTTTTCTGGAGTTATTGAAAGCCCAAACTTTCCGCTTCCGTATCCTCATGATCGTAACTGTTCCTGGACTATATCTGCTCCAAGAGGAAGCAAAGTTAACATTACATTTTCTAACTTTGAATTGGAAGATCACGCCAGAACTGGAAATTGTTCCTATGACTACTTAAAGATATCTGAAAGATCCTCCACAAGTATGAATGAAGAAGGTCAAAGCTTAGGAAGATTTTGTGGGACTGAAGTTCCATCCAAAATCAGCTCAGCATTGGATCGTGTTACCGTGGATTTTGTCAGTGATATAAATGTTTCTCACAATGGATTTAGACTTGAATGGATTGTTGATGGCTGTGGTGGTAAACTATCTAAACCTTCAGGAACATTCTCAACACCAAACTATCCACAAAACTATCCATCAGGCATTGAATGTATCTGGAGTATTGAAGTAGAATTTGGATCTAAAATAGAATTAAATATAACTGATTTTCAGTTAGAAGCCCATGACAGTTGTGAATTTGACTTTCTGGCTGTGCATGGGGGAGCCGATGAATCTTCAACTCAACTTTTGAAATTGTGTGATTCCCATACTACCAATACTGTAGTCACTAGTTTTGGAAACAAAATGTTTGTAAAGTTTTCCAGTGATCAATCAAGATCATCTAAAGGATTCATTGCATCTTATGCCACAAGACCTGGCGGTTGCGGTGGATTATTGAGAGGAAAACAAGGAGTTATTCTTTCCCCCAATTATCCGAACAATTATGATCCTCATGACGACTGTGGTTGGTTGATTGAAGTTGACCAAAATCATGTTGTCAAACTTACCTTTGAAGATTTTGATGTGGAACCACATCAGAACTGTAGCTTTGATCATGTTGCAGTGTATGATGGAAACTCAACAGATTCCCCTCTTCTTCTTTTGCATTGCGGGCAAAACTTACCAGATCCCAGTGTAATATCCTCTTCTGGAAACCAAATGTATTTACGTCTTAAAGCAGATGATAGTATTTCGTCCAAGGGCTTTAAGGCAAATTTTACAAAAGGTTGTGGAGCAAGAATCATAACAGATGGTGAGGGTGAACTAACTTCTCCTGGCTATCCAGGATTCTGGGCTGAAAATGGAAACTGCAGTTGGATCATTCAAGGTTCTCAAGAAACAGATAGAGTTACACTTCACATAACATACATGGATTTAGACCAGCCAGAAAACTTTGGAAACTGCTCTGATGAGGTTGGTAATCTGGAGGTAAGAGACGGAGATGACAATGAAGCTCCCCTGATTGGTCGATACTGTGGCATGACGATTCCCCCCAGTATAACATCTCAAGGATCTACTATGTATATTCATATTAGGAATAATGTTTGGGGCCGAAGCATTCTGTATTCACAGCACAATACTTTTCAGCGATTCAGAGCAATTTACACAGTTGAAGATACTGCATGTGGAGGTTCTATTTCATCAACAAGTGGACGATTTGCATCGCCCCAGTTTCCTAACAGCTATCCTTTAAGTGTAGAATGTATTTGGACAATAAATGCACCAGCAGGCAACAGAATATTCCTAACATTTAATCAGCTTGATTTAGAGGAAAGTGAGAATTGTAATAAAGACTATGTTGATGTATTTATTGGCAGTCCTGATGGGGAGCATGTTGGAAGGTACTGTGGCACATCATTGCCTTCTGAAATTCCACCTGCCAACAAGTACTGGATAAAGTTCAATTCTGACGATTCTGATGTGGGTCGAGGTTTCATAGCAGAATTTCATACCCAGTATGGAGGAAACCTAAATGGTACATCTGGAGAAATTGAATCAGTTGATTATCCACATGTTTATTTAAATATGCATGATGCCATTATACCCTGGACCATAACGGTTGCAGATGGAAGTATAGTTGAAGTCTCTTTTCTTGATTTTGAGATGGAGTCTTACTCTGAAAACCATTGTACTAACACCCTTTCAGTCCTTGATGGCTTGACAGTAGATTCACCAGTGCTCTACCAAGGTTGTGGGTCTATGCTGCCAAATACAGTAAGATCATCATCAAACACAGCCATTGTTGTTTGGTCAATATCTAGCTATGCTATGTTTGGCTCAAAATTCAAGTTGAGATGGAGGGAAACAGCATTATCTAGTAGGAGGCTTATTTCAACTGGTAATACTTCTTCCTGTGGAGGGAACATTGTGTTAGATCCAACGGGTAATAGAACTATTCTGGCTAGTCCAGGGTATCCGGAAAATTATGAAAATAACCTGAATTGTGACTGGGTTGTTCAGACATCAGAAGATATGAGAATAAAGATGACAATCCTCTATTTAAGCTTAGGTAAACAAACACATTAATTAATACTTAATCATGGGCTCATTGTGGATTATAACTTTCAGAATCCTCTACAAGATGCTCATTTGACAGACTTGAAGTATATGATGGTATGTTTGGTCTTCAACGATGGAACAAAACTGGTGTATACTGCATGTAAGAGTTTTTTTTCTTTCCTGGAATTAATTGTATTTTAGGATTATAAATTTTATAAACATTTTTTGATTTAGGCGTTCCCAAATGAGGACAGTTTATTCCACTGGTGCTTTTATGAAAATATCCTTTAAAACTGATAGATCTATTGGTAGAAAGGTAAAGTAAATAATTTACTGTTCTTTTCTAAACAATCCAGAATAATATTAATTGATTGAAGACTTGAAAGTCGTCTTTGACCTTAGAAATAGTTTGCGGCAATCATCATAGGAAGCCTTATCTTAGCGATATTTTATTATGAAACAATAATGACAAATTAGCCCTACTCATGGATTTCCAAAATGTGGTTATTCATTATTTTGCTTTTATAAATGCCGGGTATGTGAATTATTTCATTTAAAATTAGACATTTTCATGGTTATATTAAATAAATTAAAACAAAATTCTTGATATATCTGATATTTGAAAAGTAAAGAAATGGCATATGTATAAATATTCTGTTCCTTGACCCTGAATGTTGATAATATATAAATATTCTGTTCCTTGACCCTGAATGACAGATATAATCAAATTCAGGGATTCCGAGTTAGTTTAGAATCTGTTTGTGGAGGATATCTGACATCTCCTCGGGGTAGTTTAATATCTCCAGGATACCCAGGAAACTATCCGCCGAACCTCAACTGCCAATGGATTATCAGGTAAAATGAAACTCTAGATAACAGGGACTGTAAGCGTTATTTCAAGTGACACTCTATCAAAAGATTGCAAAGCCCAATTCACAAAGGTACCTTTGAAAGATTTGTCTGATCTTTGATTAGATATTAATATTTATAATTTTGAAAACTGATTGTTTTTAATTGTGGGTTCTCTATACAACATTGACTAGTATTATCAGAAATAACCAATTTTAAACACAGAAAAACAACAATACTGAAAACAGTATATTTCAGGAGCAAAGAAATTTGAATTATTTTTCGAATTCGCGTTAAGTAATATTTAAAGACTCAGTGTATTTCAAACACATACAAGAGTTGACAAAAAATAATTGTATGTTTCACTTTCTTTTGAGGACTTCTATTCTAACTAATTCCTAATAAAAAGTTTAATGCTTTATTTATCAATAATTTAGAAAAAAGTATAAATGAGTATTCTATTATAATTCTTTGAAATGAGGAAAATCCTTCGTGTCAAAATTATGTTTATGTAATTTCTATACAGTTAAACCCTAAATGAGCCATACATCAAAGGATTTTATCAAATGTCGTCTTGACAATTTTTACGTAAATCTTAGTATTTGCAAAAATAAATAATTAGCCATGAATATGCGGGAACAGTTTTAAAGAGCTCCATATAATCATTAAATTAAAAAAGTAAATATCTGCAACATTCCATTATCAGAAAGTGATGAATACGACATTTGATAAATTTGTTCGATTTATGGTTTATTTAGGGTTTAACTGTAGACGGCAGATTAATAAAGCAGAGACCTTTCAAAGATAAATAAATAAGCATATCAATTTCTTACAAATGAGAAAAACTCTCCAATTGTTAAAATAATTTTAAGTAATCCTCAATTCACAAACCTTTCTTTGGTGAAAACCGAGATATTTTATTGAATTTCTATCTGAAAATTGATTATTCTTAACTAAAGTCTTAAATTCTATATAAGTGAATTACAGATTTATAAAGATTAGACAAAAAAAAGATTTTATCTGACTTTAAGAATTTTCTTGAAAGAAAAACGATAACATTGATTGCGCAGATGAAATGTTTGAACTTGAAGTCAAACCTTTTCAATCTGTTATGTAATTCTTTAAATGGGGGTCTATTGCAGTTTTGGTGATAGTCTTTTCTATGGCACATCTTTGCTAGTTTGGGTGACTGTTTGTTTGTGTCCAATAAACGTCAAAACGACTGAACCAATTGGGCCCAAGTTTATTGTGACATCTCACATGACCCCCAGGAAAATGTTTATGGATGGTTAAAGATACAAAATTTGTCCTGAAAAATGCCTTCTTTTATTATTTTTGAAAATCTGCAAACGTTAAAAGAAAAATCCGCAAAATACGATTTACAAAGCAAAATGAAATAGTTTGACAGCAGCTATAGCGCCCTGCAGAAGCTTAGTAAGATATGTTTAATGTATTTAGAATGCGTCCCTCTACCCTAGTGCAGTTCCAGTTTGTGGATATGCAGGTTCTCAGTTCTACAGATGAGTGCGGAGATGATTATCTTATTATAAGGAATGGAGAGAGGAGAACCTCCCCTTTCTTTCTTATAAACCCACACCAGGTAGGATTTATATATCCATGAAAAATCATTTTAGGGTTTATCCAAGGTTTCTTCCAAATTTTATCCATTTTGTAATGTGAATCATTGATCTCAATATTATGCAGCTATTCGTATTAATATGGATTAGTTAAATTATTTTAGTTTTTAATTAAGAGATCAGGCATTTATCCTCAAATTTAAAAGTGCCAACATTGGGAAACGAGATCAAGTGTCCAAGCTTAACGATACTCCAGACTAAAAAACCTTTTGTTTACTCTTAAGCAAACTGACGGCTGATGTGTGTTGCGGAAAAAATATAAAATATCCATCTTCAAAAATTCAAATTTTTATTTTCAGGGCACTGAACAGAACGGCCATATTTGTGGCAGTTTCCTTCCTGCTACACAGAACACATCTTCAAATTCACTTTTTATTCAATTTATTACGGACAGCGCCACAAGCGGGAAAGGTAAATGTTCTAAAAGTATGACTGGCGATGAAATAGTTTTTTTTATTTTAAGTAAATCTGAAAAATGAGATATACTTTATAGATAAAGATATTATTATTAAGTATTTAGAACAACTATTTCTCTAAAAGCAAATTTTCACCAAAGAAATTTAACCCTTTTGATTTAATCATGATTATGTTAAATAAGATTTGTTAAAAAATAACAATTTAATCATTAATAATATAAAAGTTAACTTGGACACAAAATTTAAAACTGAATTTTTTGTTTGCAATAATGAATAAATATATGATAAGATAAACTGTTCCAATATCAACTTCAAAAAGGGATTCTCCATGCAAATGTGACAATGCCCGATTCACAACGGTACAATTAAAAGCTTTGTCATTAAGCATGAAAACTTAACAAACTTTTTTTTTAGATCTAAATATTTATTTTGTAGCAGAGATTAAGATATTACAATTGTATTACAAGTTTACAACTTTCATAAATGGAAAAACTACATTATTTATTTTCTATATAAATGATTCATATGATAGACACAGATTAGACTTTGAATGCCAGTGCAATATTTCGCAGCTGAGACTGCACTTCCTTCAGAGGGGACCGCACTTCCTTCAGGTGAGACTGCACTTCTTGCTGAGGTAGTCTCACTTCCTTCAGAGTTGACATCACACCTCTGTTTCTTCTCCTTCTCCTGTTGACGGGTCGAGAAACTCTAGAAAATGAGAAAAATTCTTCTCCATCTTTAGTCCACAGGTTAAGCTTGATATCCAGTCCTAGATCCACTCCTTCCCTATACAACTCCAAGAGTTTATGTACAATTCTCATTGTTTATGTTTTAAACTCCCCGCCATAGCAACAGCTAGCTGGGTCAGCTGGTATCTGAAACTTAACAAACTGAAACAACGACTTTCTAATCAGAACTTTTGTGTCTCAGGATTAAACATTGATATCCATCTAATGATCTAATGCACACTTCCAGTTCAATTCAATTCCCATTTCATATCCTGTGGTGGTCGTATCACTTCAGTGATAGCTAAAATGTATTGATTAAACATTGATCTAAAATTTAAAAGTACCCACAGTGGATACCGACATCAGATGTTCAAAATTATTTAAACCAAACACAAAAGTTCCGACCTAAGAGCAAGTAACTTGTGTATGGAAAGCGCTGATATAGATCGTTCAATGTCGATATCCATATTGGAAACTTTTAATTGTTAAACCCATGAAAACAGCACTTTCGCGTCCTCTCATCTTTAGAGATATCCAAATGAAATTAACTTGATCCTCCAGACCTCGAAAGATACGGATTAACTGTTTCTAAAATGATGAACAAAACAAATCCTGACCCCTAAGTTTAGTTCCTGATTCAGGGTTTAAGCTGAGATATCATGAGCTTGCTAATGGCTGCGGAGGAAGGATTCTTCTAACCGAAGAAGAAAATCAAATCGGTGAGAAGATGTTTAAACAAAATTTATTACTGTATAATGATTCCTTTTCAGCATTTATCAAATTCTTAAACCCTTTAGCTTTGAAATACATTTTAAAACTTCAGATTTCTCCTAGTTCACGTGAAATATTTGCAATAATGATTTCCACCAAACTTCAGCTTGAGACCAGATTTAATAATTAGCAAAAAAGTAGTTGAACCGTGTAGACGTAACTGAGCCTGAAAAGGAGTTAAACTAAGTCTATGCGGTTCAACTCTATATCGATATAGATTAAATCTCTTATGTTTAGATATATCCTCTCCTAACTATCCTAACGTGCCTCCAGCGCAAACTGAGTGTATATGGGTCATCTTGGGCCCAGCAGGTCGCAGGATATTCATGGATATTAGTAACCTGGATACACGGCCTTCAGTAAGGTAGGATATCTATGGATATCGGTAATCTGGATATTCGTCCTCCATGTCAGTTAGGTAGGATATTCATGGATATTATCAATCTGGATACACGCTCATCAGTTGGGTAGGATATTCATGGATATCAGTAATCTGGATACACGTCCTTCAGAAAGGTGTAAGAGAATGACAAATCTTTTAAATTCTAGCTTAACCTTTCAATTCTAAAATAAAAACTGCTCGACTATTGACTACTGTGATTCCTTATATTGCCTGAAATAAAACTGAGCTCAAAGTTCTGGTCTCAAATAAACAAGTTAAAAACATAGAAGATATTTTATTTATCTTTGAAACTGAAACAATATAAATCCTTAAAAACTAAGTACTAGGGAGAACATACATGAATATGAGCCTTCAGAGTAAAAGAATCAATCTAAAAGAACCAAACTAAACTTGGAAATAGAAAAGGGGAGCAAAAGCAAAAGTAATAAAGAAAACTTCAAAACCTGAATAGACGGAATCACACGCAGTTTCACTCTGGAGAAATTTCTGTTCTGAACTCAGGCTTGGGGAGAAATCAAGCCCCTTTTTATACTCCCAAGGGAGCAGGAACTGCGCGCGATAATTAGACTATTCAGATTTTGATTGGTTATTGATATTTATAATGATACATAATTGGGTAGTAAGGGTTCCTATTGGTGGGGATAAAAGAGTAGGGTGACTTTTTGATTATCTTAATTATAATAATTGCGTTGCATGAGATCTGATTGGCTCTAACAGAGAACAGGGGTTCAAAGAGAGGGGGACAAATTTCACCATGGAGTAATTATAACTCGTTTAGTTCTAGAACTTTCGGTTTAAAACAACATAATACGGGTAAAAACAGACGCTTCATAATTATGAAAAGAAGGGGACGTATCTCCCCCTACAGTAATTATAAATAATTAACTTTAGGAATGTGGTAGAACTATGGATACATACAAAGGTAGACTTAACAGTTAAACTATATTTGGGTATTCAGACATCTTTTTCATATGTTATTTTTGTGCACAGCATTAAACCGATCTACATGAACCTAACAGTACACTGTTTTCATAATCTTTTCATTTTCGAGAGCTTAAATCATAGAAAAAGACAACGAAGAGTTAAAGCTTATCCCATAAGCCCCTCATATGTACGTTGTGTAGCCTACAGCAAAATTGATAGGATTGTATACATCGCAATATGTTTACGTATGACACTGTGATTATGAGATTAGCTTTAACTCTTTGTTTCCTTTTACTATGGTTTACTAAATAAATAATTTTCTGGAAACTATTTTTAAGTCTATCATCCTTGTAATATCTTTTTCATTTTTTAATGATAAGCACTAAAAAATAGTCTTTCCAAATTTACGACCACCTTTGTACCTAATACTACTTTTGGGGTGAGGAGGGAAAAATGTCGCATCCCCCTCAACATAAATTATACTTTTTACGCGATTTCTATGGCTTTAAGTTTGATAAAATAATATAATTAATTACATTTATTTTAATTAATCCAATTAAAATGTTTAAATGTGTTTAAAAATACTTTTCACAAATCTCGATAAGTTTCCTGACCCCCACCACAGATACATCCACTGCTCCAATTAGAACTGTCATGAGTGAAGCCCCAATGTATAGACCCATGAAACCTCCGAAATCTGATAACAGATCGATTTCTCCGTACATGACAACAACTTTCTGAATCCGTAGGTTTACTGGCAGCTCTAGAAAAATACATATTTTTTTGAATTCTTAAAAATTTTTTTTGAAAGGAATTGAGTCTTTGCCACAAACTCTGATTTTCTAATCCCAATATATTTTGATTCCAACGTCGTAAACCTTTGACATTTCAAACTATGACTTTTGTTAGATGAAAAAATATAAGTTTGAAAAATCAAAGGCTTACGACATTGAGTTTCTAAGATATTGGGATTAGAAAATCATAGTTTGTGACAAAGACTCAATTCCTTTAGAAATATCCCAATTAAAAACTTGGTTGATGTTAGTTCTGAAACTTAACGTTGAACTATTTTAAAAGGACTGAACAGATACTGGTAAATTCAAGACCTAGTAACCTTCTTTTTAAAAAGTGGCATTCGATTCACAACGATACTCTTCAACCCTCTATCAAATTCAAAGTAATAATGAAGAAGTATTGTCGATAATTCTCCCAATTTCCTTCATTTTCTCTGCAGCTATAAAGTCGTAGAAGTCAATTTTACAGAGAAACCACTATGTTCATAGAGGTTGGAAAACAATGCCATTTTCTCATTCATCTTTAATAAAGGTTTAAAGGGTACCACATCTTTAATAAAGGTTTAAAGGGTACCACATCTTTAATAAAGGTTTAAAGGGTACCACATCTTTAATAAAGGTTTAAAGGGTACCATTGGGAGTCGCACATTAATCCACTTTATAAATAAAGGAACACAAGTGAAGTTTCTTCTACAGTTTCTTTCAGATATTGTTTATAAAAAAAAAAAGTGTTTTCTGGAAAAACCTCTTATATGATAATGATGATAATAAATAAGCGAACAATCTCTTAAAATAATTGATCAATCCCTTTAAATAGGTGAAAAATCCATTTAAATAGGTGAACAATCACATTAAATAGGTGAAAAATTCCTTTAAATAGGTGAACAATCCCTTTAAATAGGTGAACAATCCCATTAAAGAGATGAAAATTCCCTTTAAGTAGGTGAACAATCCATTTAAATAGGTGAACAATCCCTTTAAATAGTTGAACAATCCCATTAAAGAGATGAAAATTCCCTTTAAGTAGGTGAACAATCCATTTAAATAGGTGAAAAATCCCTTCAAATAGCTGAACAATCCCTTTAAATAGGTGAAAAATCCCTTTAAATAGGTGAACAATCCCTTTAAATAGGTGAACAATCCCTTTAAATAGGTGAACAATCTCTTTAAATAGGTGAACAATCCCTTTAAATCGGTGAACAATCCCTTCAAATAGGTGAACAATCCCTTTAAATAGCTGAACAATCCCTTTAAATAGGTGAACAATCCCTTTAAATAGGTGAACAATCCCTTTAAATAGGTGAACAATCCCTTTAAATAGGTGAACAATCCCTTCTTCAGATATTTGTCTTACCTAACACTATTGTATTCTTCTCCATTGTACTTTTAGGGTCGTCCTAAACATATTTTCAAATTTCTTATAATTAAGGAATAGAGTATTGCGGAATCAGGTTCAGGTAGATCAAGATTTTTAGAGACGCTTTGTCCGCTATGAAGTTAATACATGCAGTACCCTTTAAAAGAAAGCAAGCGAATCATGTGTATTTTTATTAGCTTTTTAAAGACTAAGTGACATCAACGCCTGAATATTAATTAAAATGTACACATAACAGTATGACCAGACTCCAAGGGGAGGAATGCGATAACCTGAAGAATTAGTAAACATCAAATTAAATTGTTTGCGCCAATTTGGAAGTTAGTTTCGCCACCGAAAAAAAATATTTAAAAGCGAAAAAATATAAATGTATATAGATAAGGATGGAATATAACTTGGGTTTTTTATGTCACTTCTAAAGATTTTGGACTTTTGAAAGATTTGAAAGAAATTTAGCCTTTGCCACAACATCAAATGTCCTTATCCTATATCTTATACCTTATACTGTGAACTTTTGATATTTAAACCTCAATTGTTTCATCTAACAGAATCCATAGTTTTAAATTTCTACGACTTTGTGTTAAAAAGATAAACGAAAAGAGATTATAGAAAATCAAAACTTGTGTATAGACTTAAATTGTTTATTTTAAACCCTGGTATTCCTATGCTAAATGTTGATTCTAGAAGAAGAAAACGCAAAAAAACGAACCAAAAAACGATCGTTTCAAAAACGATAATATTTTCGTTCAATTTTTGCTTTCACATATTTCTCTTATAACCCAGTTTTTGCAAGAATAAAAAACGTTAACAAACTACATAATACATATTTGAAATGTTTCACCTTCACTAGTTTACAGTATTTAAGGGTGGTGCCTTTAAAAAGTCCAAACCAAGTTACAGTAAACCAAGTTACAGTAATAACCAGAAATAGGAAGACGACTTTTAGAATCAAGTTATAACTTTGAAAAGTGGCTATGTAGCAGAATCATTTGCTTTGTAAGAACATCAAATACATTTCAGTATTGCCATAATGTCGTCTTCCATTGCTTTCTGGTTATCATTGAATATCAAATTACCTCATAATATATAGTTGATATCCTCGTTACATTACAGGGCTGTCCACAGTAGCTCTCACAATTATACAGCATTTCATCCTCAAGATCTGTCAGGGGGTCCTGAAAGGGATTGTTCATAAATTGAACGAACAAAAAGTGTCCCAATTCTTTTCAAGATGTCCTTGAGGACAGGAATGATCATATACGTAATTAAAACTATCCGGTTAACGAACTGTCGCGCTTTGCAATGGAATCTTTGCCACAAAGTCTTATTTTCTAATTCCCATATCTTTGACTCAATTTCTTTGCGGCCGACGGTGTGGATATTTCGATCAAAAAGTACTTTATTTATTCAGGGCATTTCATCCTGCTATTTAGGGATTCACATTTTAATTTTGTCTTCATTTTTTTAATGCTCTTTATCAGCCAACTATATACACAATTGTTTTTTTAATTGTTAATTAAAACAGTTGACGTTCAAGCCCCATTTAACAACTTAAATTTTTTATTTTTGGTTTTTACCTTCATTATTAAAATATATTTCCTTTTATTCAATTTTTGTATTTTGTCGAAAAGAAAAAGAAATAAAGCCTAGTATAGTTTAATAGAGCTGAAATAAATGTATGTATGAAGTGACGTAAACTATTTTTATCATGCAAATATAATGCTATAATATAAATAAATATATATGATAAAAATATTAATCTAAAGAAAATGAGTCTTTGGCACAAACTTGAATTTTCTAATCCCTTTATTTCCTACAGATGGTTTAAACCTTTGATATTTTAACTTAGATTATTTGATCCAACAGAATTAATGGTTTGAAATATTTAAGATCTCCAACATTGATTTGAAAGATAGGCATTAGAAAATCAGAGTTCGTGGCAAAGACTCAATTCCTTTAGAAATATATAAACGTAAAATGTCTAGTTTACGTAACTATATTTATTATACTTACATTCATTGACGTGTTACAGTAGGTTACTTGTGTGTCATTAAACCAATTAAAGAAAGGACTCTGACAGGTGTGCTCAGTCCTGAACAAAAACATAATATTTCTATTTTTTCCTTAACCCTATCCTTATTTTGTCTAAGATATGAGCTATGATTAAGCCATTAGAGTTGAGATAGGGGAGCGTGATACATGTCCCTTGTCAAACTTTTCAAGGCCAGCTTATTAAAAAATTAGACTTCTAACTTTTATGGTTAGGTAGCTAGGTAGGTTATAAAAAAACGTTCAAAAAGGAAGTCGGAAAAATGTCGAAAAATAGTTCTTTTTACTTTATTCAAATATAAACATACGTGATAGGGTTAAAATAAATATTTGTACTTACAGGAGCTTTTCCATTCTTGTTTTTTCAACGCACTTGTCATAATCAAACATATTAGAACAAGAAGTCGGGTCTGAAAAAAAATATATTTAAATAAAATCGAAGAGGATACACAAAAACATGAATTGAAATTCTTTTATACCTAGCATTCACACGTACTGGCAAGCTAAAGTAACACTGGACTAAGAAGAGTGAGATACGTACGGTTTCTTTAATTTGAATTCAATCACGTTTTAGTCTATACCTCAACAATATTCAAGAACTTGTTATCTTAGTCGAGTGGAGTATCTGCTGGCAAAATATGAAAGAGATAAAGTGAAAAATGTATGTTAAAATTATGATCTAAAGTCACAGCTTGCTAGCTGGGATATGATCAGCGTGGATCTATATGTTGGCCCAAAAGTTTCTAAATAATCGTTTACATTTGTCAGTCAAAATCTAAACAAGATTTAAATAGAAAATATCCAAACCGTACCCTACCCCCCCCAAAAAAAAAAAAAAAAACTAGCCTGAATTGTATATTTAAAACAAAAATGAAAACATTTTACACAAAAACACACAGTGGTCAAATTTTGTTTAACTCTGATGTATACATTTTTAGCAATACTTACCTCCTGGTTTTACGATGTCAAAGAATTGTTCCACGTCTACTCCAACCACCTATTTAAACCCATTTCATACAAATAAGACCTGGCTTGTCTATTTTCACATGTACCTTTGTTTGAAGAAACACGGTGAATTTGGGACAGAAAGCCTAAGCTTTTGTACCAATATCCCCCGTATAGTTAAAGATATTTTGTATTTGCTATTTTATTCTGATTTGTTGAACAATATTTTTAAGGTATTAAAATATCTAGCATATACAATCTTTTTCGAAATGACTTATTTTGAATTAGACATAAAAATATTACTGAAAAGTTGTCGATATAAACAAGATGTACTTAATTAATTTTAAGAAGAAATGAATGGTGGCCATTTTGAGAATGGGTTTTCCTTGACACCGCTAGGATCTGATAGATACCGTGTACCACTTGACACTGTCTTCAGAAACCGGTTTTGATGCCTAGTAATAACAAGCAGTAATATTACAGTGATACTCTTAAAAAAAGAGGAATTTCTAAATAACTGTGAGAAGACTTTGATCTTTGAATTAATGTGTAGCATTCATTTTTAGACCAAAGGATTTGAGTCTGAGCCAAAAACTTAAATTTTTTCTTAGCCCTATATCTTTGCAACCTTATGGTGTAAACCTTTGATATTTCAAACTGAGTAAATTCGTCATAGTTCATAGTTTAAAATATCCAAGGTTTAAGATAAAGTGATCATAAAGATAAGATAAAGGGATTATAAATTATAATTCCTCTCTGCAATATTTTTCACAATAAAAAAAATTTCCAAGAATTTCTTATGGTTAATATAAAAATATCCAGATGCTAGCCTAATATTTAAATAATTCAGAACCATAATGTAGCAAACATTTTATTCATCATTATTTTTAATTTGTTACATTCACCAAAGAACAAACATTTTAACAGTTTTCTAAAAATATGATTGAGTTTAAATCTCTGTTTACCTTAAGTAAAGTAGAAAGGGAAATGTTGAATTCATCTGAAATGCCATTCGTCGAACAAACACCTAGGCTCCGAAGTTAATGAATTTAAGCTGCGTCTAAAATCCCCCAAAAACCGGTTTCAATTGAGCGCCGGCTTAAATCTTGAAAAATTTAATACAAATTCAAGTGGAACCAACAAAATTTGAGCCGCGGCTTAAATTTAAACCGCTGCTCAAATTCTTTAAATTCGGCCTCCAGGCTGGCTCAGCTACATTTTGCCTAGTCACAATTTGCCTAGTAACATTTTGCCTAGTCACAACTTGCCTAGTTCACTTTTGCCTAGGTAACATTTTGCCTAGGTAACTTTTTGCCTAGTTTAAGTTTGCCTAGTAACATTTTGCCTAGGGTAACATTTTGCCTAGGTAACGCAAGAGCATGTTTTTTGCCTATTGCTTTTTTATAACAAATTTTGTCAAAAATTAAACATTTTTTTTAAGCTTAACCAGCTCAATTTTAATGAATTAAATGTTATAGGACAATTGAATTGTATCTTGTAAAGGTTATATCTTTATTTATCATTATTTATCTTATTTCTCAATCTTTTCTGTGGCTTTAATTTTCAGCAGCTTGTTGGTAAGGCCATGGTTATTCTTATCCCTGTAGTTGGGCTTACCCCACATGGTAAGCCCTGCAGTTATCATGGGAGCCATTTTCAATGTGTCTCTCGATCTGATTGGTTTATAGAAAATTGAATTATCAAAAAAAATTGCGCAATTTTTTGAAGAAAAAAAATGCGGATTTTTAAAAAATATTATCGGATTGTTGAAAATTTCTTTGTGAAAAAATTATAGATTAGGCGAAAAATTCGCTCTTTTGTTACTCTAGGCAAAATGTTACCCTAGTCAAAATGTTATTAGGCAAAATGTTACCTAGGCAAACTGTTACCTAGGCAAAATGTGACTAGGCAAGTTGTGACTAGGCAAAATGTGACTAGGCAAAATGTGACTAGGCAAATTGTGACTAGGCAAAATGTAGCTGAGCCTCCAGGCTCCGTTTAATTCAGCCAGTTTAGCAGAAACAGAAGCAGTACAGGGTTTATCAACCTTTGCTCTGAAAACTGATTAAAAGTATTGGTGCTACTGGGATGTCAAAAATAAATTTTTACTTCCGCAAAATTCCACCAAGACCACATCACATTGTAAGAACAAGAAAACAAAAATTAGGAAAACAAAAGAGTGTGTCACAAGAATGAGATAAAGAATTGTTTGTAGACTATTATCTATTTATTTTATAAAATGGTTTAAATTAAAATTAAAAATTAAATGCTGAAATAAAAATTCAAGAATTTATCCCAGCTAAGCTGGGCACGTTAAACTTTTTTTTTAATTGTTGTCTTTCGTAAATATTTTTTGGATTGAGTATCTCTTCGTTTTTTAATAATAAGGTTTTATTCTCCTTAATTTTATACACGGATCTTTGCTCAGCCCTAATCCTAATGACAAATTTCTAATATATTTACTTTTAAACATTGGTTGGATATTTTTTCTTTGTACGTGGAATGATGTAGAAAAGAGAATTTTTAACAAGAGAATTTTTAACAGGAGAATTTTTAACAGGAGAATTTTTAACATGAGAATTTTTAACAGGAGAATTTTTAACATGAGAATTTTTAACATGAGAATTTTTAACAGGAGAATTTTTAACATGAGAATTTCTAACAGGAGAATTTTTAACAGGAGAATTTTTAACAGGAGAATTTTTAACAGGAGCATTTTTATGGTACATGTGTATATTTTTGGAGAATTCTGGTATATTATAAATTTCTATTATATAAATGAATTAGTACATGCCTAAACCATTTAAAAATAATTTAACCGTACAATTTGTACTGAAAAAAAAACAATGTAAAATTTTCTCTTGAAAATCAGTAATTATCGGACTCTGCCTGGATTGGGGAGTCCTTACTGTAACCCAACAGTTGAAAACTGCTACTTTCTAGTTTTCCTAAACATGTTATTTTAGAAAAATGGATTTCTTCATGAAACAGAAAAATAAGTTAATTTGTGCTAAAACAATCACATAATCAGGGAAACATGAAAACATGAAAAATTAATACTTCTGGATAAAAAAAGATTTGAAAAAAAATAACAAAAATTAAAGGAACTGGGCTTTTGCCAAATTCTGATTTTCTAATCCTTAATATCTTTGCTAACCAAAGTTTTTTTATATTTCAAACTTTGAATATTGTTAGATAAAATAATATAAGTTAGAAATATCAAAATCTTTCATAATCAGGTTGCAAATATATAGAGATTAAAATTTTGAGTTTGTGTCTTCAAATGAAAAACTTGACCTGAGAAGCATAATGCTGGTATATAACCCGTCCATTTTGGATCCCAGGTTATTCTGTTGAACTTTAAAAAAAAACATATTTTTAAATCAGATTTTAATTAAAAATTATTGTTTAAATGAATTACCCGAAACTTAAATGTTTTCATCTTCTTGTCCATTATCACTTTTAGCTTTAGAGTCATCAGCTGTTTGTTAAAAAATACTTTTTACAGTTAAAGGGAAGTCTTGATAAATAAAAAGGGGTCGTGGACGTATTTCAAAGTTACAAACATTGACAACAATACCAATGTATCATAAGTCTGATATTAGATGTGAACCTAGAGTCCTTTACCCCGTTCACGATCTTAATTAAAGAAAAATATATGATACATTAAATCTTTTAAAATCATAAATTTTAAAATTTTGAAGTATTGTTCTCCTTTTGAACTTGTAGTTCCTCGGTCAAATTATTAAAATTTGTTATATTTTGCTTCCAAGGACCAAAGTGTGAGATACCAAACTGAAAAGAAAACAATAAATTTGAAAATTTAAAATCGAAAATTCTTTTAAATCAATTTATTTAAATTTAAAAAAAACATGCATTCAAATTTCAGGAATCGGGATCATTTTCCCCCTCTTCTAACTTTCAGAATTTTAGTCCGAGAACCAGCAACAAAGAAAAGGGTTAAAGAATAACTTTGTGAATCATTAATGGCACACTTATAAATTATGCAAAATTGCTACGCATTTTCAAATTTTTTGACATTTGCATAGAGGTCCATACCCAGGGATCATGTAATTTTCGCAATTTAAAAGTAGCCCCATTATGGATATCGAGACAAGCGTTTTAATCAGCGGTAATTAACTTTAAAACGTTGACCTCAGGCTGTTCAAGTTTTTACCTTTTTAAGGGTATTCAATGTAAAATCTCCTGCAGGACATATTGTGAACTCAGGGGCTAGCGCCAACTCCATAGGTCTCACTTCACTCTCAACAGATGTCGGTCTACAATAATGCACTGTTAGAAATCAAGCAAATAATGTTGGGAAAACTAATTGCCCTAAAAAATTCGATATTCCAACAAAAAGTTTTTGTTAAAGTTGGTAAACTCAAATTTCCGTATAAAAAAGATCGAAACTTTTGTATTGAGTATCAATTATTTGAAATACTTGATCTCAATATTCAGTTAGGGTATAATTATAAGTTACAGAACAAAAGATTAATCCCGAGATTAGAAAAGTTCTTTTTTGGATAAAGTAGAGAAAAATCAAAAACCGGTTTATTTAAATTAAGAGTCGTTCCCGTTTCTGTATATTAATCTTAAATGGCGCGCAAAATTTCAAATTTACCGGTTTATCATACGCGATTCTAATTGGTTAAATTTTATACACTTTTCAGGACACAAGTACAAGATTAAGTTAGTCTCGATATTAAGAAAAAGAAAGGATAAAGCATTAATCTCGATATCCACCATTCTAAAGTTCCTATCTCTGATTATATTTAGTTTTAAAATTGATGAATTTAATGATTTACCGTTTTCGAAAGAAAGAAACTTTATCCAGAAAGTTTTGACAAAGTAAAGTAAAGGAAATAAGAATCGCCATTATTTTGAGTAGAATTGGAAAGTTCTTCGCGCATTTTGTCATTTTACCGTGTCTTGTACAAGACTGGTTATATTCAAGAAATGTGTGAAAACAAGTAAAGGTTTCCGATACCACATAATAATTGCATTTTTATACAAATACTTAATTGCAGAAAGTATCACATCATATAAAATATCATAATACAATTTTTTAAGACTATTATTTAAAAGAATATTTTCCCCTGATTAGTATCTTAAAAGTTGCTTGTTAGCACAAAGGTCCAATACTTGAAAACCCTTTAATTAGAATAAAAAATACACTTGACAGCATCCTTACCTTAAACCCTTCAGTTTATTGTTTCTTATTAAAAAACAAACTAAGCTATTTACTGAAAAAAATAATGATGGTTGTAAGTAAAGTACAAAAGACTGTAGGGGGGGGGGACATAGATCTCGAGTGCTATGAACAGTCGCAACTATTTTCTAGTCAGGGTCAAGTTAGAAGTGTTTTGCCCTTTGATTTTAACTCTCTAACTCACGTTTTTTGTAGCCCTAAACACAAAATGGCAAAATTGTCATCGGTTTTTCCATAAGAGCTTACAATGAGGCCTTGGGATCATAATTAAAACTGCTGAGAAACTGGTTTAATGTAAATAAACAGTTCATAGTTGCTAACAATAATATTTCCGAAAAGTTTTTCTAATCCACGAGAGTGGAAGGGGAACCGACTAAGCGAGTTATTAAATTAAAATACAAAAGTTTTGACCTGTCCTTACAACTTAATGATTTATATCTTATAATACGTTTTCATATATTGAAGAATGATAATACCTACGCTTAGTAAGAATTAAATAAAAGTTATTTTTATTTTTAGTTGTTCTATTGCGGGGTTAGAGGTGAGAGATGGTGGAACTGAAAACAGTCCCGAAATCGGAACATTTTGCAGGTGCGTGATTTTCCTTGACCAAACTTTAACAAAACCTCAGGGATTCTACCTTGAATATTTAGGGATCCACCCCACAACCTGGAGAGTAGGGATTCTATAATGTATATTTAGGGATCCACCCCACACTCTGAAGAGTAGGGGTTCTACAATGTATATTTAGGGATCCACCACACACCCTGGAGAGTAGGGATTCTATAATGTATATTTAGGGATCCACCCCACACCTTGGAGAGTAGGGATTCTACAATGTATATTTAGGGATCCACCAGACACCCTGGAGAGTAGGAATTCTATAATGTATATTTAGGGATCCACCCCACACTCTGAAGAGTAGGGATTCTACAATGTATATTTAGGGCTCCACCACACACCCTGGAGAGTAGGGATTCTATGATGTATATTTAGGGATCCACCCCACACTCTGAAGAGTAGGGATTCTACAATGTATATTTAGGGATCCACCCCTCACCCTGGAGAGTATGAATTCTACAATGTATATTTAAGGATACACCCCACACCCTGGAAAGTAGGGATTCTGCCATGTATATTTCGGGATCCGCCACAGACCCTGGAGAGTAGGGATCATACCATTTATAATTAGGGATCCAACCCACACCCTGGAGAGTAGGGATTCTACAATGTATATTTAAGGATCCACCCCACACCCTGGATAGTAGGGATTCTATAATGTATATTTAAGGATCCACCCCACACCCTGGATAGTAGGGATTCTATAATGTATATTTAGGGATCCACCCCACACCCTGGATAGTAAAAATTATATAATGTATATTTAGGGATCCCCCCACAACCTGGATTGTAGGGATTCTACAATTTATATTTAGGTATCCACCCCATACCCTGGAGAGTAGGAATTCTACAATTTATATTTAGGGATCCACCCCACACCCTGGAGAGTAGGGATTCTACAATGTATATTTAGGGATCCACCCCACACCCTAGAGAGTAGGGATTCTACAATTTATATTTAGGTATCCACCACACACCCTGGAGAGTAGGGATTCTACAATTTATATTTAGGGATCCACCACACACCCTGGAGAGTAGGGATTCTACAATGTATATTTAGGGATCCACCACACACCCTGGAGAGTAGGGATTCTACCATGTATATAAGATATTATACAACATCAAACTTACCAAACAACGGTTTCAAGGCAAACATTAAAATTGGTAAGTTTTTTTATTTTTCAAGTTTCGAAATTTTGAATTCTGTCAGATTTATCAATCTAACCTTAAAATATCAATAGTTTACACCGTACCAGATTGCAAGATATCGGGATTATAGAAACTTTTGCAAAGATTCAATACCTTTGTCGCGTTATTTGGCAGAAAAGATATATTGCTTACTTTAAAACTTTTAAGGAAAAACAATTATGGATTTTGTTAGAACTTTTAACACTTAAAAGATAATACATGTTCAATTCAAAGCCAAACTTTTTAGGGCCATCTACGCTAACTTTGAAGTGTAAAAAATGGCTAAATGTACATCGGAAAAATGTAAAAATTGCTGTCAACATATTAACATATGGCACATGTGTTTATATTGCATGTCCATTTTCGAGGGCTTATCGAAATAGCCACTGCAGTAACCTTAATTATATTGTTCCAGGAGACTGAAGTAACGAGATATCCAAGTAGGAACTATAACCCTTTATATTGTTCCAGGAGACTAAGTAGGAAAGAGGTATATAAGTAAGACAGGAACTATAACCCTATATATTGTTCCAGGAGACTGTGGAGGAACGAGGAATATAAGTAAGACAGGAACTATAACCCTATATATTGTTCCAGGAGACTGTGGAGGAACGAGGTATCTAAGTAAGACAGGAACTATAACCCTATCTATTGTTCCAGGAGACTGTGGAGGAACGAGGTATCTAAGTAAGACAGGAACTAGAACCCTATATATTGTTCCAGGAGACTGTGTAGGAACGAGGTATCTAAGTTTAAGACAGGAACTAAAACCTTATATATTGTTCCAGTGGACTGTGGAGGAACGAGGTATCTAAGTAAGACAGGAACTAAAACCCTATATATTGTTCCAGGAGACTGTGTAGGAACGAGGTATCTAAGTTTAAGACAGGAACTAAAACCTTATATATTGTTCCAGGGGACTGTGGAGGAACGAGGTATCTAAGTAAGACAGGAACTAAAACCCTGTATATTGTTCCAGGAGACTGTGTAGGAACGAGGTATCTAAGTAAGACAGGAACTGTAACCCTTTATATTGCTCCAGGAGACTGTGGAGGAACGAGGTATCTAAGTAAGACAGGAACTATAACCTTATATATTGTTCCAGGAGACTGTGGAGGAACGAGGTATCTAAGTAAGACAGGAACTATAACCCTATCTAGTCCTGGGTATCCGGCTCATTATGACAATAATCTGAACTGTGTCTGGAACATCATAGGCCCAGCAGGTAGAATTTAGGAAAATGAGACGTAAAAAGTTGTATAAACCAGTGTAAAATCCGGTTCATTTCACGTGCCGGGCCAACTTTTAACCAGCTAGAGCAAGAAGTTTAGTGCTCATGCAGGCTTTATAAGGTAAACCGGGACGGTACACTAAATGCATCTGCCCCTTCTGAGGAGATTCTAGTGAAATATAATAGTAAACGTAATTTAATGTGAGTCAGTTTATGCAAAAAATTAACAAATTGTCCATTACCTTTTTAACGTGTATTTAGTGCCAGTTCTTGTAGTTGCTGAACACAAAGGAATATTTTCTGTTAATTTTAATTTTGATTTAATTTTATTTGATTTTCAATCATAGTTTGCGAGACACTGCACTTCCTAAAATTTGAATTTGTTTGGGTCACTTCTTTATATTTGATTTTGCTCAGGTCACTTCCTTATATTTGATTTTGCTCATATCACTTCCTCATATTTGATTTTGCTCAGGTCACTTCCTTTTATTCAATTTTGTTTAGGTCACTTCCTAATATTTAATTTTGCTCAGGTGACTTCCTTATATTTGACTTTGCTCAGATTACTTCTTTTTTTTTGATTTTTCTTGTATCACTTCCTTATATTTAATTTTGCTCAGGTCACTTACTTTTATTTAATTTTGTTTAGGTCACTTCCTAATATTTAATTTTGCTCAGGTGACTTCCTTATATTTGACTTTGTTTCGGTCATTTCCTTAGATTTAATTTTGCTCAGGTCATTTCCTCACATTTTATTTTGTTTAGGTCATTTCCTTATAATTAATTTTTCTCAGGTCACTTCCTTATATTCAATTTTGCTCAGGTCACTTCCTTATATTTCATTTTGTTTAGGTCACTTCCTAATATATAATTTTGCTCAGGTCACTTCCTTATATTTAATCTCATTGCTCTGAATCTACCAAGGATGAGAAACTGTTCAGAAACAGATTATTTACAAATAAAGGTAAACCCAGATACTTGACGTAAACCCAGATACATGACATAAACCCAGATACTTGACGTAAACCCAGATTCTTGATATAAACCCAGATATTTGACATAAACCCAGATACTTGACATAAACCAAGATTCTTAACATAAACCCAGATACTTGACATAAACCCAGATACTTGACATAAACCCAGATACTCGACATAAATCCAGATACTTGACATAAATCCAAATACTTGACATAAACCCAGAAACTTGACATAAACCGAGATACTTGACGTAAACCCAGATACTTGACATAAACCCAGATACTTGACATTACACCCAGATACTTGACATAAACCCAGATACTTGACGTTAACCCAGATGGTGTAGATGTAGAAACTTATGAATAACGCAAATTGATATAATTTTAGAAAGTTTAGTTTTGTTATTATTTTTCATTGTGTTTTAATGAGTGCAGTTTTTTTTAAGGTGTGTTGTTTTTTTTTTTTTTGTTTTTTTTAATAGGGGACATATACATTTCTGAATAGTGTAATAAATGAAAACTTGTGAATTGAAGTGAAAAAAACAATTTGTTAATTCTAAGATTCATGTTTTGCCTCACTAACTCTTTTCATGCACACTACTTGAAAAAAAAAACAAATTTCAGCATAAAGTTTAATTTCCATGAAAAAGCCCTACCTTATTTGTCGTCTTCCTGAATTTAAAGGTTCAGGTACTCTGTCCTCCCTCTCATACGCCTGTATGTGACTATTTCTAGCTAACTTAGAAGCGTAATAATATTCACATATTTTACTCTATTTTTAGAACTTTTTGTTAAATTAAATTCTTTCAGATTTTTCTATATCATTAACATCAATTAATATCAATTCATTTTGATTGTTTAATTTATCTATTAAATTTTGTGATTAAGGATGAGAATAGTACTGAACCAGTTTTGCAAACGTACTGCGGGAACCAGGCGGGAGGAAGCATCGATACAATAACAAACACAGCTCAAGTCATTTTCAGGTTTATAGTACAATAAAAACCATCAAAATAATCAGAATTTCATAACATTACTTTTTAGATCAGATGGCCTAGGTCAGGAAAAGACTGGGTTTCTTCTAAAAATTAATGCCAGCGTAGAAGGTGATTTGAAATATTACAAATAAGAATCCTTTAAAAGATTATTATTTTTGTATAATTATTTATATAAAATCATAATAATAATAATGATGATGATGAAAAAATAACCATGAATAATAATTTATTATATACTGGGCTTTTAGGGCGCTTCGCACCTATGTTCTATTTCAACTTTTAATTGTGGCTTTATCTGTGAGCATCAATTCTCTTTGTACAGTATAAAACAAAAACAAAAAAAGTTTGCGGATTTCATAATATTTTTTCATGCATTTTCAAAATTTTTCAAAAATAAACTACTTTTAAACATAAATTTTTAAATTTTGATCCTTCATAAACCTTCCCTGGGGTAACGTGAGGTCCTACACAAAATTTGGACCCTATCGGTTCAGCCGTTTTGACGTTTATTGGATACAAACAAACAAACACCCAGACAAACAAGCTAAATTTATATATAGACTAGCCTTAGAGGGCGCTTCGCGCTCATCTTCTAAATTAATTGTGAACATGTTCTCTTTGTGTACATCGTAAAACAAAACAAAAATAATTCGCGGATTTTCACAAAAAATTTCGCGGATTTTTAAAATTTTCAAAAATTTAATGAAGATCGAATTTTGATGGAGACAAATATTTGAAATTTTGATCATTCATAAACCTTCCCTGGGGTCCCTAGATGTCCCACAAAAAATTTGGGCCCGATCGGTTCAGCCGTTTTGACGTTTATTGGATACAAACAAACAGACAAGCCAAATTTATATATAGATAGATATAGATGATATTAAAAATGATAAAAATAATGATAATTCTAGAGTGTGGAGGTATACTGGAGGGTATGACCGGTACACTAAGATCTCCAGGATATCCCAATGGTTATCCGCATGCTCATATCTGTCAGTGGGTCATCAAGGCAGAGAGGGTAAGTCAAGGCTGAAAGGATAAGTCAAGACTTAAAATATAAATCAAGGTAGAGATAGTAAGTCAAGATGGAGAGCATAAGTCAAGGCTGAAAAGATAATCCAAGGTGAAGACCGGACAAATCAAGATGAACAGGATAAGTCAAGGCTGAAAGGATAAGCCAAGACTGAAAAGAAAAGCCAAGGTGAAGACCAGATAAGTCAAGATGGAGAGGATAAGTTAAGGCTGAAAGGTTAAGCCAAGATTAAAAAGATAAGTCAAGTCTGAAAGGCTAAGTCAAGGCTGAACGGATAAGTCAAGGTGGGGAGAGTAAGTCAAGACTGATGTGATAAGTCAAAAAAGGAAAGGGTAAGTAAGAGTGGTGAGTGTTAAGCTAGGTGTAGACTTTAAAGGTTAAGTTAAGTCAAGATAAAGTAAGTGAAGTCATCGGATGGGGTAAGTTACTATAAAGGGAGATAAATGAAGGGATAAGGTAAGTCAAGGGGTCGAAATCATGATGAAGGGGTCAAAGTCAACAGAAAGGGGTTGAAAGGGAATGAAGTCGTTGGGCGATTATAAGGAATAATACAGGGAAGGTCGAGGTAAAGGGGTCGAAGTCGAATAAAAGGAAGTCAAGTCAAGACTCAAGAGGGATCGAAATAAAGATGAAAGGAAGAATTGTTATGGGAGAGGACTTCGTGAGTATAAAGTAACCTACTTTTTCTGTAAGATAGTTCTCTAAAAACTCTTACAAAATGATAATTATGGAATTTTCAACTGATAATTATGAAATTTAAATGCGTTATTTTTAGGGTCGAAAAGTACGACTGACTTTCCAAGATTTTGATCTTGAAGCACCGTTAGCCAGGCATAAAATCATCTGAAATAACAATATCAAAGCAAACAAAAAAGTTAATGAAGATAGAAGACATATTTAAAACAAAAGGATGATTGAAATGTACAATAGAATTGGATCCAATTCTTCTCAGTGTGTTTATGACTTCCTTCAGGTAGGACATTTTCTTTTGTATTTTCATTTGTAAAAGATCTGTGGGATCTTCAGCTCAGGAACTATAAACACTCACCATGCATATCATAGTTTTCTCATCCTCATATATTTGTAACCTGATGTCGTAGACATTGGATATTTCAAACTCAGAATTCTGTAAGATCAAATAGTCTATTCTATACGCCCATTTGTATAAACTTTGTATAAACTTTTATTTTATTAGTTTATTGAACAGTTAGCACAGCCTAAATTCTTTAACTGGAGGTACAGTGTACACTGTACAGTCTACGTGAATTACAAAGTGTAAAGAATGTACAGTATGTACACACCAAGATTCAAATATATGTACGGGAAATTCTGAATATTAAAAATCGTTATCTGTCAGAAAACTGATAAATCATTTTTATGATTCGTTTTAATTTTTAAAATTTAAAAAAAATTCATTTTCCTTATTTATTTTTTAAAAATAAATATGTTCTTTCTGCTTTTTTTAAGGATTTCATTTCAGATGAAAATAATCTTGAAATTGCGAAATCTTAATCGTTTCTAAAAATAAAAATAAAAAAATTTCGATTTTAAAAACATGCTTCTTAATCTTCAATTTTCATAAAAGTATTTTCCAAAAATAAGAATCCTAGTGCCTCTGCTACTTCTGTATCTGTATAGGTTAAAAGTGTTAGTATCGACAGCTAGAACATAAATCTTATACAAATAATAATATTCACAAAAATGCCCATCACGCTAACTTTAAATTCTCTTAAAAAGTTAGGCATTGAAGAAAAAATATTATGTCTATGAAGAGGGGCCGGGGGATATTTGGTTTATGTTTATGAGTAGGGTTAGCACTTCAAAGATAGGATAACGACTAAGAGTAGTATTAGGTTCAGTCTGTTATTGGTTCCGCTGCTTTCTTGAGAGTAGAATGCTTCATTGAACGCATAACTACCATAATTCGGGAACCTACAAATAATATTTCAAATATTTAGAGAAACCTATAAATTACGGGAAAATAAAATATTATGGTTATGACTAATGAATTTATTTAGATGAAAAAATAGTATTCAAACCTGGGTCTAGATACACATCCTCCTGTAGGACAGTCATCCCCCTCACATATATCACAGATAGTTGATGGTACCACGTCATAGAAGGATCTAGCTCGCTTTGTCTGATCATAGTAATCGTAAACAATAATTGGAGCGGGTCTTTGATTGGCCACCCGGTGTGTTCTAAACGCTTCAATGGTGGGACAAACTTCGCGTTTCTCGATAGAGTTGAAGTAGATGATAATCTTGGTGTCTTTGCGGTCAGTTTCCACGCGTTTAACTCCCTTGTACCTTCGGAGTCCAGGTAAAGAGTCCTGGTTGACGGTGAACCCACTGGGTAGGTAAACCTCTATGACTGACATAAAGCTGCTGGACACTGTGGTGTTCTGGATAAAGTGGGTGCACACAGTGACCTGCATGTGATGGGAGTCTGATACTTTAGTTACTTGAGGGTTTACAACAAAGCTTGGCCAGGCTCCGGTAACATTGAGGTTATACTGATATCCAACTTCAATCACAGCCAGGCCATTTCCAGTGGCGCGGAGTTTAACTTCTCTTGTCTCCTCGGGAAGAATACGCTTCTGCATGGTGGTTGGATTCTCAGAGCTGACCTTAAACCTCTTTACATTGTCAAGGTAAGCATACTGGATGCTCATATCCGTATTCCTGTCCTTAATACTGAACCCTATACTGAACTGGGTTAATGCCTTCAGTGCTACATAAGTATCTGAAGTTGATGCAAAGCTTCCTGATGATGCTTGTTGTGTGAACAACCAGTTTGTGACTGGAACAGCATCAGTAATTGACTTTCGTTCTGTCAAACAGAGAAGAGCATAGGCGGTCATCTCAATATTAATTGTGTTAGGCTCCTTCTGCCAAGGGTTCCTAGACCAGTCTTCAGGTAGTTCTCTTTCCCACCAGGTCTTTCCATCCTCTCTCTTCTCCAGACTTTGAAGAGTAGGCCAAGCTTGGTCCTTAGCAGGGTGCTGAGCAACATGCAAGGCATATGTTACAACACTCAGCTCATAGGGATCCTTTAGATCTTGCCAGCGTAGAGCTACAAAGTCGATAGCCTTGTTCATACTGTTCCTCAATGTTGAAGTTAGATTTCTCTTGTTTTCCAGGAATCCTAATACTGCAAAGGCAGTCAAGGAAACAGGGTTGGATTGTATAGTATGTGATATTTGTCCTTCTTCTTGGAAGGATCCGTCAGGTTTCTGTTGTTTGACCAACCAGGACAAACTACGATGGATAACCTGTGGGTCTACATCTATATAGGCTGATACTCCTTGAAGAGCTCCGGCTGTTTGTGAGGTTAACCAAACACTCCCGAATCCATCAGATTTTCCAAAAGGAGAAAATGATCCGTCCTTTCGGAGAAAATCCAGTTGGTTCTGATATCCTAACTCCATGATGTGTTTACTCTTCTTCAATATCTCCGGAGTAATCCGTCCAACAGCTGATAGATAATCCAGGAGGATAAGGTTTGGAACCAGGCTCGCTAGATTTTGCTCTCCACAACCTAATTCAAAAGTCATGATTTTTTTAGAAGAATACAAATTAACTTGGCACCATAAAAAATCATTTGAAAAGTAAATCTCTTAAAGTCAACCTGTCGGAAGAGTAAACAGGTTTTCTATGTTGTTAATCACTGGACCAACAGGATCTGGAACAGCGGCAACAAAAACCTGTAAAACAACGTATTCTAATTTTGTCTTTTTCTCCTTTCTTTATTTTTAGAAAACTCACCTTTGCAGTTTGAGGAACTGCATATTTTGGAATATCCACTGTTATATTCATCTCAATCTCACCTCTATAATAAAACATAAAATAATGTTTATCAATCAGAATTTATAAAAATCAAGTTACACTCACTTATTAGTTAAATCCACTAACTGTGCTTTGTTTTTGTAAATAACTTCGCCTTCCCCTTCAACCCTTAACAAAATTGTTGTTATTAATTACATCTAAATTTTTTTTCTTTACCTAAGTTTTTCTATAAGAATATCCTGTCCAAATGAACTTTTAGCAGTAATCTTGAGTTCAAGAGTACCTGTAAACAAAAAGTATATCTAGTACTGAAAGTGAAAATTGTAATAAACCATGTCTACGAATTGGACGAATATAGAAATATATACGTTGGATCGATTATTATTTATTAACTGTTAATGATTAAATATGTTAATTTACTCGCAAACTTGACACAGTGAGATATGGCATTATATTTTTCTGATTAACAAATCCCGTAAAACCATGGTGGGTTGATAAAAAGTAGATTGAAAATCCATAAACATAATTCACAGAGATCCATATTCATTATTTCACTGCAGTATGAAGTGTATAAGCTTATTTATTCACCTATTTTTTGTGGAGTTATGATGAAAGAAACAGGAGTGCGAGAACCTGGTCGTATCGTTATTGTTTTTGTTCTGAGCAATTAGAGATAATATAACTAGTCTTAAATTTGAGCATTTTAAGCATATTAAAGCATATTTCAGAATATTTGAGAATCTTTGAACTTTGTCAACAGTCTTTTAAGCATTATTAAGCATATTTTAGACTAAAGAATATTGAGCATTGTACAATAGAACATCATGCTTGTTGTTGGAGCAGGTTTTATCTAGTTTGTTTTACCAAAACCATATTTTCTTGGTCAGTAAATAATCACATATTGTAACTTTTCTCTTATTTTAAGAAATAGTATTTTAGTAATTATATTTTTGTTATAATTGTATTATTCTATTTTCCTATACAGCTCAATAAAAGTTGGGTCCTAACAAATATCAAAATCATAAGAAAAAAGGGGGAAGTAAGGATTCATAAAAAAATGGAAGATTTAACAAAAAAGTTAGTTATCATTATCAAAAGACGTTAAAAAATGCAAGATATATGAGTTTTTGGAATAAAAAAAACGTTGAAAAATTAATTATACCGAATTTTGCTAGAATTCGATTTATTTTGATATTTTCCTCGATTTCGTTTGAATCTGGAGTTTTGGCGCCAAAATTAAAATCCGAACCGTTGGGATTCTCCAGGGTTACGTCAGCTGAGATTTCTTTACTGAAGAAAAAAACAGTTGCATATTAATATGATTATTAAAGGGAGTGACCGGCGATGTATAGTATTTAAACTGTAAATGTAGTATTGCGGAGACATTTTTTAGGATTCATTTGAGACATATAAAACACTAAGTTTGAGCGCAAAGTCGACGTTCAAAATCAATCCATTTGGGTGGTTACGTTTTGAGGATCGCCATTTTTTGAATTATTAAATAACGTAGATAATTCTCAATAGAAATTTGTCAATAAATCAATGTTAGAATCTATTATTTATTTTTCTGCATATTGAATTTCTTACAAAATTCTTCAAAGGTCGTCTTTTAAATAAAAATTCCAGAAAATGTTTGAAAAGTATGAGAGATTACAAAACTAATAATTGAAAAAGATTACTTATTTTAGATGATGAGAGTTAACATTTATTTTCTCAACCTAGGTTCCTAAACATCTAATTAGTTTACTGTAGAATTTGTGTTACATATTTTGTCGTCGTTATTTAATAATTCTAAAATGTCAATTCTCAAAATGTAACCACCCAAATTGACGATTTTAAATGTCGACTTTGCGCAGAAACTCAGTAATTACTAATTATAGATCTTTAAAACCGTTTTATATTTCTCAATTGAATCATATACAATTTATCCACAATACTACATTGCTGGTCACTCCCTTTCAGTACAATTTAACAAATATAGTGAATAAGGATAAAAAATAAAATAGGGATTAAATTTAAAAATAAGTAAATTCTAAAAACCTGAGATAGTTGAAGACGACCATCTCAACTGCTAAAGTTTCCCCAACTCTAACACTAAAAATATTATTTTAAAGGGACAGTAGACATAATTTAATGTGATTTTCCACTTTTAAAAGTGTACTTTTCGTTTTTTTAGTCATTGAAAAGGGATTCTTTTAATTTCTCCATTGTTTTGGAAGCAAGAAGCAGTTACCTTTGTTGAGAAACTAAGATAAAAATAGAAAAGACAAAGGTTTTAAGAGTGTAGTTGTAAATCTGACATGGCAGTCTATCATTGTAAGATAACTTAAAATTACGTTTACAGTCCTTTAAAGAATCGTTTTCAAATGTTATTATGCTTTTCATGCTGATACAAAAACACAGTATATGCGATTTCCAGTGGTCCCAGAAAAAAATTGTGCTTTGGTTGCAAAGTCATTTCTTTCAACAAAAGATCTAAGTTTTCTTAAGATTTTTAAAATAAAATTACATTTTTTAAAGATTTTCTTTACCTGTAAGGTAGGTTAGCTAGAACATAAAAAGGTTGGAAAAGTTCCAATTCAGAAAAATGTTCGGATACCCCTATACCATCCAGTTGGTTTACAGCGAACCCTGATAAAAAATATTGAAAATAAATTGTAAGACAACAATTAAAATTGCAATGATATAAATAGATAATAATAAAAATGTTAATACTAATAATTATAATGATAATGATAATGATAATGATAATGATAATGATAATGATAATGATAATGATAATGATAATGATAATGATAATGATAATATAGGATGAACCTGAAACAACCCATGTTGTATTTGTGAGATCTGGAACTGGAACGGTCAACAGAGCATTTCCTGAATAAATTCAATTTAAAATTAATCATTACAATAATGCTTCTTCTGCCTTCAAATATCGATGAGAATTTTGCCATTAATTTCAATTTTGCCAACAGTCCAAAAGTCGCTGCGCCACTTTTTAGTCGACCCAGTCTTAAAAATTATGCAAATTTTCACAGCTGTCCGGATCTCTCCCCCAACCCCCTCCACCCCTCCCTACTTCATTGAATCATTTTACCTTCTGAGTTTGTTGTTGCGTTGGTAAACAACCAGGTTTGAGGAAGATCATTCCGTAGAAATATTTTCGGAAGATCGTCCACCGGCCTTTTTCATTTACAATTCAACATTTAGAAATTAGAATTCGAGGATTTCCAGATGTCATGTCAGATAACTTTCACTTTCCCACCCATTTTAACTCATTTCATGCAGATTTTTCACAATATCTGTCTCTATGGCATGGAATGTGAATATGAAAACGTGTTTAATGTTTTTCCATATGCAATCATTTTTATTTTATTTTCCATTATTGAAGTAATCGAATAAAGTATTTTTAAAAAATACTAAATTTTTCAATTTAAAAAAGACAAAATGTTTTCTTTGTTTCCTTGGAAGTCTTGAGAAAGCATATGGTCCTTCTAGTGGTGGTCGTGTACCAGTCTCGTACGCTACTCCTGGCCCTTGATCTGGGTGAACACTAGAGGCTCCTGGTGGCAGAATTGGACGGTTTATTGTTCGGTTTTTCGCGGTCAAATTATCCTTTAATATTGGCAGTTAATATAATTATTCTGTGGTATAAATTATCAATTATTATTATCATTAAGGCAAACATCATAATTATAAAATCTTATATTTGGTGATTTTTAAAGAATGATTTATTTCATACAAAAAATATTTGTAATACCTGGATACTGTTTGGGGTTTGGGTCAGGAATCCATTTGTAAAGATGACAAGTCCAGATTCCCTGTACACATCTGTACTGCTGCCGGCACCAGTATGCCAGTACAAGGATCCCTGAAAGCAAGGAATAAATGAGGAACTTTCATAAATTGATGTGTACTACAGTTTCTGGGAGGAATGTAAACAAAGCTTTGCCTAGGCGGTACTGTGTGTGTCTACATTTCTCCCAAAAATTATTAGACACTATTTAATGGGATTTACTGTTTTTTTTCCTTGCCTTAAAGTGAGGAATATACCATAGCCTTGTTTACAAATAAAGCGTACTGCAGTTTCTTGTGAATTTGTACATAACTTATCTTTCATTATATAATTGTAATTTTAAAAGAAAGTTTGTTTTGGCTAAATACAAAATAATGAATGTCAACTGAAAATGTTTTTAAGTGGAGCCTTTTAAAAATGAACCAAGTTACTAAACCGTTCTAAACCGACCTGTTGGTTTTTTATAGTTTCCACCCAGGGATAGAAGGTTGGGTCACGACCAGCATTGTAGCTCTTCACCTCCCTCACCAGGTCACGCCGGTCAATATCATGACCAGCCTTAGATCAATCAATAAATCAATCAACCAACCAATTCAAATATTTCTTTCTCAAAATTCTTAGAAACAAATTTTCGAATTTAAAAATCTTGAATATTATTATCTATAAATAATTTTAAGCAGTCACTAAATCAATAAAATGAAAGTTATATTTGTTCAAAAACTTGAAAACGACCTCAGGCTGGAAGACAAGAAAATGTTCTACCTGCAAGGACCTCACACTCTTGTCGATTGCTAGAATTCCGACAAACGAGTTTGGTTTGGCTCTGAGCTCAATATCAACTGTAGTTCCTAAATAAAAAAATTATGAAAGAAATATTCAAATAATTATCTTGGACTTTTATTATACCTGGGGAAATTTATCTCCGTTAATTTTTACATAGAAAATCTCAAGGATATTTAACCTTACCTGCTTCTTGTCCATACTTATCTCAAGGATATTTTAACCTGAAAATCTACTTCTTGTTAATGTTTATCTCAAGGATATTTAACCTGGAAACCTGCTTCTTGTTCATGTTTATCTCAAGGATATTTAACCTTGCCTACTTATTGTTCATATTTATCTCGAGGATATTTAACCTTACCTACTTCTTGTCCATATTTATCTCAAGGATATTTAACCTTACCTACTTCTTGTCAATATTTATCTCAAGGATATTTAACCTAGGAAACCTACTTCTTGTCCATATTTATCTCAAGAATATTTAACCTTACCTACTTCTTGTCAATATTTATCTCAAGGATATTTAACCTAGAAAACCTACTTCTTGTCCACATTTATCTCAAGGATATTTAACCTAGGAAAGCTTGTTTCTTGTCCATATTTATTTCAAGGATATTTAACCTGGGAAAGCTTGTTTTTTGTCCATATTTATCTCTAGAATATTAGAAAGTGCTCCATCGACCTCAAAATCCATTGCATCACTAACAACTTCGCCATCTTGTCTAATAAAACATTTAAATTTTAGTTTTTAAATACATAAAAAGTTTATTGGATAAAGGCTCTAATTTTCTAAAAGCTTCTTATAAATTATGTTCTTTATTATATTATCATAAATAATAATTAACTTTACTTTTCGCAAAGAATTATAATCTAAAGATAGTTATTTCGGAGGTGTACGCATTTTTGTGCTGTAAAGTTAACACAAGACGGATGTCACAGCCTGACATGAGATCCATCTTTTACACAATAAATCTATGAAATATTCTAATCATAGCATTATCAAAATTTTCAAAACTAAATGGTTTTATCCTCCTCAGATACTAGAGGAACACTGATGCATCTATTCTTGTTTACAAATACCGCCCAGAGAGAACTAGTTCCAATTAATGTACGCAGAGAATACGCCACAGCAATTAACTTTCCTTGCCTTATTACCTTGGCATATCGGAAGTCGGAATGTTTGTGTTGAGTGTCGTTAATCTAGACCAGGATTGATCAGGAAATCAAACGTGGACACTTTTGAATTTGAGAATAAATGATTGATCCCCTCAATTAAATTTACCAATGCGAGTATGACCCAGACGGGATATTGAAGAAAAGTAAGAATAATCCAAAGGTCTGCATACCATGGAAAACACATAAATGCTACCTTCTGTAAATATTTTTGATCCATTAAATTATTAGAAGATATAAAGAAATTCGAAATTTTTAACAAAAATTTAGATAAGGAGTATATGTAAGATATTCTTAACATTTAGTTCTTCTACTATGTTGGAAATTTTAAAAAGTTATTTGATTTTTTGGAAAAAATGTTAGGATCATTTTAACTGTGTAAAAACGTTAAGCTAATAGATAAGTGTTTCGTTTAAAAATTTTCCGAAAGAAATTATTTGAAAAGAAAAAGTTAAAAAAAAAACCTGATATAGGAAATAACAATTCTTGCTCTGGGACTCATATCACGGGTCGCAGGAAGTACAAACTCCTAGGAAAAAATACATTTAATGGAAAATTGTTTATTGTTTATAAGATATCTAATTATATATAAATATTAAATATGTTCTTTTTTTCCTTTTTTCCCCGAAGAAGGAAGAGAAAAAAAATAAAAAGTAAAATGAAAACAACAAAAATTCAAAAAAATTTATGTATGATGTAGATGAGGCAAAAAAGCAGAAAAGGTCAAAAGGAAATCTGCAGTCAGGACATATTAAGCATCTTCTGTGTTTAATTATAAAAAAGACCATTAATCTTACATGTTTCGTATTTATTGGGTTTCTTATTGTTCCAGCATTCAGAATGTTTCCTCGTCCAAGTACAACATAACTATATCAAAATATATAAAATTACATTTTTTAGAATATAAAGAATATGAAGTTATAAACAATATTCTTGATTGTCTAATCTTTATATCTTTGCATGTCAATGTTGTAGACCTTAGATGTTTAAAAATATGAGTTATGGTGGCTTAACTATCATCTAAGTTTGAAATATTGAATTTGTATCCCATCAGGTTGCTAGGATATCAGGATTAGAAATTTGTGTTTGTGACAAAAACTCGGCAACTTTTTTAAAGAAAACAAATTTTAAGTTGATGTGAAATATTTCTAAAAAATGTGAGAAAAAAAATTGATTTTGCAATTTGAGTTTACCTGAAACTATCAATTTGAATTTACCTGAATCTATCAATTTAAGTTTACCTAAAACTATCAATTTGAGTTTACCTGAAACTGTCAATTTGAATTTACCTAAAACTATCAATTTGAGTTTACCTAAAACTATCAATTTAAGTTTACCTAAAACTATCAATTTGAGTTTAACTGAAACTATCAATTTGAGTTTAACTAAAACTATCAATTTGAGTTTACCGGAAGCTATCAATTTGAGTTTACCTGAAACTATAAATTTGAATTTACCTGAAACTATCAATTTTAGTTTACCTAAAACTATCAATTTGAGTTTAACTGAAACTATCAATTTGAATTCACCTGAAACTATCAATTTGAGTTTACCTAAAACTATCAATTTGAATTTACCTGAAACTATCAATTTGAATTTATCTGAAACTAATAATTTGAGTTTACCTAAAACTATCAATTTGAATTTACCTAAAACTATCAATTTGAATTTACCTGAAACTATCAATTGGTTCACTTGAAATTATCGCAATATTCACGTTCTCATTTACACGCGGTCTATCTGTAGCCAGTAGCCCCTGAAAAAAACATGTGGTAGACACCAGACCAAGACTGTATAATTAGCTGGTTACTCTCGATGCGCTCCAATCAACGCGGTTATAGTGTATAGAGTGATGATGTACGCTAATCCTTTACTTTTATAGGCCATCAACTATACCGAGAGCGTACTGCATATTTTTAATTATGAGTAGATTCTGGCCTAGCTAATATATATATCAATATTAGTAAACAGTTGTAAGTGTTCAGTACAGCTAACTGAGCACACAGGTAGAGAACTATCATCCCCCTTGGCTCCAATGTACGGAAAATATCGTCTTCTAAGATAAATAGAATAACCTCATAATGACTTCACTGATTAGAGAGGGATCTATCTATCTTAGGAGACGACATGTCCCGCATCGAGAATTCATCATGATGAAAATTTTCAAAATCAGGGGTGTATGCAGGAATTTATTGAGGGGAGGGCTTTACAGCCGAAACCCCCAGAAATACAAACCAATTTTTCCTACCCCCATGGCCTCCTTTGAATATTTTTTTTTAATAGAGATTAAATAAACAAAGAATCTTTGCAACCTCATGGTGAAAACCTTAGATATTTCAAACATAGATTATTTGATCTAACAAAATTCATAGTTTGAAATATCAAAGGTCTCCGAAATTGGGTTGGAAAGATATAGGAATGATAAAATCAGAGTTTGTGGCAAAAACTCAGTTCTTTTATTGTTCAGCAACTTGGCGATATCACCAACTAAAAAATGTTGGCTTTTAATTCCAAAAAATAATTATCCTAGTTTAGGTTTTGATGGCCTAAATAAGTTATTGTTTTCTGTTTGTAGTCTGTAGATAAGTATCCAGTAGTTTTAAACTTTCTGTTCGGGGTTTCTGTTTAGTTAATAAATGACATTGAAACTTTTGAATATGTTTTCAACCCAAAATTCAAACTTTTAAAATAAATAAAAGGTAAAAAGAAAAAATTTGGTAAAACCTGAATATAGTTGTTTGAGTTTGAAACTGCTTTAGGAATAGTACTAAACCACTGGCTCTGATCCCTGAACAATTATTATCAATAAATATTAAAATACAATTGCTTTCGAGTAATTTGATATTTAATCAGTATATTTACTTTAAGGTTGGGTTATATAAAAAATGATTAAAATATTAATTGATTTATTATATAATATGCAAGCTTGTGAACCCAGCTTTGCCTGCGAAACTAAAATTTCTCTTCATAAGGCAACATTCTCAACTTTCAAACAAAAAAAATACGATTTAACGTATATTACATTTAGATATATCTCCTTTAACCCACTCTTATTATACGACAACTTTACCGCTTGCAATTTTTCAAGAACACTCCCATTGAACTTGATCTAAATGAGTTTGTATGTACTTTACCTATATTTTGCCTCGATTCCCAAAACTTGTCCAGAACTCTCTAATGAATTAATCAATTTAACGATTTGACAATTAACATTGTTGAGCTGAGTAATTTAGCTTTAATTGGTTAAAATTTTTGCTGATGAATGAGTTAATTGGTTTATTGATTAGATAATTTGTGAGTTAATTTGTTTATAAGTTGAATAATGAAGATTTAATTTGTTTATGAGTTGAATAATCAATGGGTTTATTGGTTTATGAGTTGAATAATCAATGGGTTAATTGGTTTATGAGTTGAATAGTAATTGTGTTAATTTATGAGTTGAACAATCAAGGGCTAGATGATTTAATTCTCGATTTTTCGATTAATTAATAATTTCCTTTAGGATTAAAGAATGCTAGTCTAATAATTCCATCTTGAGGAATAGGATAATCTACGACTGCGTAGCTATCTGTATCACTTCCAAATCCAGACTAAAAATTTTAAAAATAAATCAATACTGGCTGAAGTGCCCGGCGTTATCCGTGGAATTCTAGAAACACTTGAATAATAAATTCCAGGGAACTTCAGTTTTTAATCAAAAAATTCTGTCAATTTGGTTCACCCGTTTGGCTAGCTATATCTAACATATCTATATATATATATTTGCAAATATTCAAATTTATATATATATATGAGCTAAGAGCTTTATCATATAGAAGATGTATACGTAGTTTGTTCTACAAATTACAAATGCGAAATAAAAGAAGCCTCAAATTTCTTAAATATGTTTACCGATTATGATTGACGAAATTTAACCCAAAATTCTTAAATTGATTTCGTCCTTTCGATGTGTAATATTTTTTCAAAAAAATTTAACAGAAATGAACAAAACTATAAATATTCATTCTATTACATTATTTTTTGTTTAACCTTGACGGAGACTTTGTTGAGATCATCGAAAACCGGTTTTCCATCTTGTGTTGATATTTTTAGATAGCAGGTGTACGGCATCCCAGGCTTAAATGCGTCTCCTACAGACAAAATAGAATTTTAACTCCGGTAAAATACGCAAAAAAAATGAGACAGTACAGAAACTCGTTTATTTCTACAGTGGGGTTTGTTGTGTACAACACTTTTTGTTGCTTTGCGATGAAGGGGAAAATGCTAGAACCTGCAATTATCAAACTGGTTTCGGGGGTATATATAAACTAAGCTAAATTTTCATCGCACATTCAAATTCCATCAGAACAAGCGACTTGACTTGCATTAGTATCTAAAACATATAGCCAAACAAATAAGTATAAAGCATTAAATGCAAAAAACTACATGAAATCTTAGATAAACGGTTCACATTACAGCTTTCAAACCTCTAATTTACATTGGGGTGAGTTTTTTTTGGTGTAAAATTTTTTGTTTTTTAAAAGTGTTGTGATTTGTGCAAATTAATTGTTACCTGTTTTAATAAGCTCAAGCTTGTATGCATACTTGTAAAGCATTATCGAATTTGTGTTATTTTGACGCCTGAACACAAAAACTTTATTTTTACCAACAATATTAAAAAATATATTTTCAACATCATATTTAAAATTTCTATAAAATATTGTTTTAATGTTATTCTTTTCCTTTTTGTTTTCTCCTCCTCTACCACTACATCAAACACTATCTCACGGGTATAATCATCAGTCAGTTCCAGGTCCTAGATAGATAAATAAATAAATAGATAGACAGATAGATAGATAGACAGATAGATATATAGATAAATAGATAGGCAGATAAATAGATGAATAACAGATAGATTGATGAATAGACAAATATATTTATAGATAGATAAATAGATAGACATATAGATAGATAGTATAGATAGTATAGAGGATAGATATGTAGATAGGGGGTTAGATAGGTTATATTTTTTTCTATTGTAGAAATGCGTAATTCACTTTTGTAGAGAAACATACTATAAAAAAATAATTATGTTTTCAAAATTTTGAGACCTTCAATTTCAATTCATACTTCATCCGAGAAAAGTTTTTAAGGTTACCGTTTTGAATCGGACATTGCCATCATAGCATGGATGGTTACTTGAATTTAGGCTTAGTGTGCCTTTAATAGATGAATAAATGAATAAAGATATTTTTACCTTGGCTAGTTCAAATTCAACGTCCACCTTTCCACTAAAATAAGAAAGATTACATAATTACTTAGATTTCAAGATTTAGGGTTTTATATTATTAATTATGAAAATAAAATATACATTAAGAGTAAAAAAGATTTAACTTTCATTGCCGCTTGTATTTATTATTTTTATTACTTCTTATTTGTTAAATAACGATTAATTTTACAGTGGGGGCAATGTAAACAAACTCAGAAGGTTTATTTACATTCATCGAAAAAACTGCAGTACACTGTTTTGTAAACAAATATATGAGGTTTCTGTATTTTTCTTGGTAAAAAGTTTGATTAATCTATTGTTTAAAAATTTAAATTATTAACCAACCTGATATCCATGGTTTGTCTCAATGGTTTGTTAAAAATAGGCTGTATGTAACCAGACTATAGACAGATAGATAAATAGAATATAGGTAGATAAGTAGATAGATAGATAGATAGATAGATAGATAGATAGATAGATAGATAGATAGATAGATAGATATCACTTAAATCTGAACAACTCTGAAAGTAAGTGATTAAATGTTTATACATCCACGACTTTTAAGTGTCGCGACGCCTTGGCCTTTAGTTTTACTAGCTAACTTATAATTTTTGTATCAAGCTATATACATTATCATTTGAAATCTGTACTGCACTTGTTTATAGCTTAAGTTTAAAAGAAGTGCTTGCAAAATACTGCTCGATTTTTGCTTGAGAGCGTGAACATCTTGGTTCGCAGTGACATATAGATAGGTAGGTGGATAGATATAGATATATTGATATCTAAATCGATAGCTAGGTAGTTAAATTGATTTGATTTGAAATGTTACAGGGGGATTCATAAAACTGTGGAATAGGAAGGCGAAATTTGAACCATTTGATGCAGCTATAGAGCAAATAGTTGAAAATAAATTTGTTTATTGTTTATTCGGACTATTCGCAAACATAACTTGGGCCCACAGTAGTCTTCTTAATCCACAGTTAATCCAAGAAAAAATAATACGCCTAAATTCAAAATGTCTTTAAAAACCATATTCTTTAAATTTATCCTCTTTCCTTGTATCTTGGATAAACTGCAACAGTTGCTGTTCCTTGAACAGGTCTACCAAGTGCATAGTTAGCCCTACACATTAAGAATATTATAGGTGAAGGGACGGCTAGCGTAATCTCTACTGTGACGCCCCAATGAAAGTATTGACAGCACGATTCACAACGATACTCTTACTACTTTTATCTGAGAAAAAATGATGAAGATATCGTCGTTTTTATATCTTAAAACGTAATGAATTCTTACGATTTCATTCATTTTCTGTGCCGCTTAATTCCTCAAGTCTCTAAAAAATGAAAACCACATTAGCTTAAAGGGTATCGTTGCAAAATCAGGCATTCAGCTTTTTACATGGAGGGTCATTTGAAATTAAGTCAACAGCAAGGATGTAATGCATTACATCCTTGGTCAACAGTCTCTAACTTTAGTGTTAAATTGTATGCATTTTGCATTTAATTAATTTCCTGAATACCAATCTAGCTAATTATCTAATTATTGGGAGTATTTGAACCAGGCATCAATCTTAAACATTTAAAAATCACTGACACAAGAAAAATCACTATCAGTTCGCTTATATGATGTTTGAGTAAGAGGACTGCATCCCCCCCCCCCCCCCTCCAACAACTAAAATTCTAACTATTCAAATGTGGGAAGAGCACAAATTCTGGAAGCTAAATTCTTGCTCACGCTGTTCTAAGAATTGAGTGGGCCAGGGGGAGTACATTTCTATTTGTAAGATTAATGCCTGTTGTTTCATGTTTACGTCATTATCTGATTCATCAATCCTTTTTTACAAATAATTTCACAATATTAAGAAATGGGGGGGGGCAGTGGAGGGATTGAAGCTTTTAAATGTCCAAAAGCATCGAGCTATCATACAATTTGTTTGCATAAGTTCCACAAATATGTCATCAATCTACTTGTCCTTAAAATGAAAAAATATTGGCGTAAAATTTTCTCTAGAGGATAAAAAACGGAAATATGTTTTGTTGCAAAAAAGGAAATCAATGTTTAATGTAAAGTACTAATCATTGCAAACTCAAAGCAAAAGTTTGTTTGATTGGGAATCACCTGGTAAAGAGTATAAACCTCAAAACTCCTCTCTAGTCCATAATTTTTCACCCAAGAATGAGAAAATCAAACTTGCTTGATTACGATATCAAACTTACTTATTATGTATTATTTTAATAGGGGGAACAAAAACAAATAAATTTTCGTTTGTTGTGAACCAGCTTTTAACAATTTTAAAAACATTTTCTAAAAACAGATTTAAGTGTCTGCAACAGTGCAGACGTCATTTCTAGTGATCCTCCATTTATAGAATGGCATGTCCGATTCACAACCGTATCCTGATATGCTTTGTCTGATCCAGAACGCATTATGTATCTGCAATCACATTTTTTCAACATTTCTGCTTTAGAAACAATATGGAGGAAATTGGCAGAATTGAACAGTTTTCAATCTAGTTTGAATCTAGAGAAACGACGACATTTTCCAAATCATTGATCAGATAACGGTTTAAATGAATGAAAGGGAAAGAGAATAGAATATTGTATTCTCTTTGGTCTCTTCACTTGAAATTACTTTATTATATATTTAAAACCAACCTTATAGTTGCAGTGACCTTGTCCTTGAAAGAAGCCGAGGGTGGCAGGTCAATATCTACCTGAAATATTTATAATTGTATTGTACACATTTCCTGTCCCAGCCCGGTCTATATCCATTTCCTGTCCCAGCCAGGTCTGTATCCATTTCCTGCCCCAGCCCGGCCAGTACCCAATTCTTGTACCAACCCGGCCAGTACCATTTCTTGTACCGGCCGGGCCCGGCCAATACACATTTCTTGCTTCAGCCTGGCCAATACCCATTACTTGTACAGCCCGGCCAGTAACCATTACTTGTACCAGCTTGGCATAGTAAACATTTCTTGTACCGCCCAGTCAGTAGTAGTACCAATTTTTAGTGGTGGATAAATTGTACCGTCGTTCTCACCAGTTAAAGGGACTGCCAACGTAGTTTCAAGTGACGCTTCATTTGTAGTATGGCATGCTAGATTTACAAATGCACTCTTTAAACCTTTATCTGATCAGTAATGTTGAAGATTTAACGTTGGTTTTTATAACTTTTTTAGTGCTTAATTCTGATAATTTCTCTATTGTTACTGAAGGGTCACCTAAAATTACGTTTACAGTCCCTTTAAACCTCTTAACCTTTAAATTTATTTTATTCAAAAATATTTATATTTTCAATAATCCTTTCACCCCCCCCCCCTCCCGCCCAATGTCTAGCCACGCCCACAACCCAAAGTCAGGACTGAAGAGCAAGGTTGGGTGGGCGGACCAGCTCTTTATTTTATCGTTTAACAAAGTTTAATACGTTGAAGATACACAACGTCATTAAAAAATAAATAATATTCAGAGTAATATAACGTTTGTATCTTGTTAGATCTGTTTTTAATATTTTATTCTTTAAAAAGTTCCTTCCAATAAAATATGCAAGATTAAAGATTAAAGCTTCCCTCAGGAAGGATGTGAAAATGATTAATAAAAAACGACGATAATATTCTTGCTGTTACTGCACGTGGATTTAACGGTTCTGTCAATATTTCAGAAAGCTGTGACTTTCGATCACAATTTGACCCCTTATACATCTTTTTTTAGGCTTTCTTTTAATACTTTTTTGTCGGCATATACGTTTTGAATGAAAAAGTAACAAATAAACGAATCCGTAAGTTTAACTATTGTTGAATTATAGACCAAAACACGTTTGATTTCAAATAAAAGAAACCGAATGCTTCTCACTATGGTTAGTCCGGGGTGACTGGGATACAGGTTTGATTTTGCAAGGGGGTGAGCTAATTTAAAGGTTGGTATCGAGGGACTTCGTAAATATACCTGGAATTTTGGTAGAACGTATTCTGCTACCAGAAACTCTTTTGAGAACATCTGTCCATTTACCTCTACAGTTAGATTCCAGCTACCTAGATAGATAGATAGATAGATAGATAGATAGATAGATAGATAGATAGATAGATAGATAGATAGATAGTTAGATATCTAGATAGATATCTAGATAAATATATATCTAGATAGATATATATCTAGATAGATAGATATCTAGATAGATATATAGATAGATAGATATATAGATATCTAGATAGATAGATAGATAGATAGATAGATAGATAGATATCTAGATAGATAGATAGATAGATAGATAGATAGATATATAGATGGATGTTAGGTAGCCAGAAATAATGAGGATGTTAATAGATTAGGTGTACTCTCCCTTTAAAATTACCTAAAACAGGTTTCTCTGAGATCTCGACACTTTCTGCATACACGCCCTTTAATAAAATTAATTTGTATAGTTTTTCTACAAAGCTAAAAAATGTATGGACCAAGAACATTTATAATTCACATTAGGCCGCAGTGGTCTACCTTAGTCGTGAAAACTCGTTTCCATTCTCGAACCAGGCTTCCGCTTCCGTCCCTCAAACTCACATCTATACTTCCTAAAAATAAATTTATAAAAATTTATAAAAGGGTTTAACATTTTTTTATACCTGTTACTGTGGGCTTAAGTTGTGGTGACAGAATAATAGTTCTGAATTGTACCGTATTTCCAGGCCTGATAATCATAAAAAAATGATAATGATAATGATAATAATAATGATAATATTAAATAATAGTGGTCGTGATAATAATGTAATTAATATAAACAATCAACATACAAATATATTATTTTTCAAATTTTTTAAAAACCTTCGTACTCATAACTAGGCAGCAGCTTACCATTGGCAATTTATATACATTTTTAAATATATTTTAAAATTTTATATATAAATGTGTTTTTTTTGTTTTGATCAAATTAACGTTTAATCGGTTGAACCGATCTTGACTCCATGGGGAAGGGTTTAATAAAGAAAATGTATTTATCAACAGAAAATCCACTAAATTTTAGATTTATGATAGATTTCTTAAAAAGGTACCTGTAAATAGATTTATCTGTTTGAACAAGAACAGAATATCCTTTTCCCATAAACTCTAGGGGGGTCGAATCCTAGAAGAAAAAAATTGTTTTATATCTTTTACATTTTAATTGGCTCTGTGGTTTATGTTGTGTTTTGCTGGTTTTGCGTCATTGCTGTTTTCGTCATTGTTGTAGTTATTAAAGTTGTTGTTGTTGTTTTTATTGTTACAGTTCTTGTCGATATATTTTTCATTGCTTTTGTTGTTGTTCTAACTGTTACAATTGATATTGTTCTTGTTGTTGTTTTAGTTGTTATCGTCACGGTCATTTGAATTGTGATGATTATTATTCTGTAGAGTATTTTGTGGTGTTGATGTTGTTGTTGTTGTTGTTGTTGTTGTTGTTGTTGTTGTTGTTGTTGTTATTGTTGTTGTGCTACCTTAAATTGTATTGGATTGGTTCCTATGGCCTCTAAAGTATAATCACCGTCCTCTAGTTCTCCTACACTTAACCTCACAAGCGAGGTTTCACCAGGGGGAACTCGGCTGGCCTCCCTTCAAATAAATAAATGTTTTAAAATGCCTGTTTTGTATAAAACCCTTTTCACAGCCCTTAAAACTTACTATATTTTTAAACATAAATATTAAATCTAAAATTTTTATTTCTAAAAGTTGTTAGTTCATCGTCAAAAAATACTAACGATCCACCACCAGTTATATTAAATGTAATGTCAACAAGGGTTTGGAACCTCACCATCAGGTTACTTTAGTTTGACGTGATATATTTAAATTCAGTTTACTTTAGTTTGGCGTGATATATTTACATTTAATTTACTTTAGTTTGACGTGATATATACTTACATTCAATTTACTTTAGTTTGACGTGATGTATTTACATTCAATTTACTTTAGTTTGGCGTGATATATTTACATTTAATTTACTTTAGTTTGACGTGATGTATTTTTGAGGGAAGTGTTTGCTTCCTTTATAGGTCCAGGTGAAAAGATCAATATTCATATAAGGATAAGGAATTATCAAGTTCTCGATAAGGATCAATCTCAGGATGGGGAATAAGATCAGGATCAGGATCAGGAACAGGAACAGGATCAGGATCAGGATCAGGATCAGGATCAGGATCAGTATCAGGATCAGGATCAGGATCAGGTTCAGGATCAGTATCAGGATCAGGATCAGGATCAGGATCAGGTTCAGGATAAGGAGCAGGATCAGGAGCAGGATCAGGATCAGGATCAGAATCAGGATTAGGAACAGGAACAGGATTAAGATCAGTATCCGATTTAGGATCAGGATCAGTTGAAATAAAAATAAAGGAAATAGAAAAATTAGTTTTACTGCCCTGGTTAGGTTCAGGATGAAAATCAGGATAAATGAAAAATTAACCAGTTTTAAATCAGATTAAGATCGGTGATAATTACCTAATTTCGATATTTTGTCCAGATTTTGATCTGCCGATAATTCTCAGTTCGACTTCCTAAAAACAGGAGCATCAAGATTGTCTTTAAAAGTAATCAGAACTTTTGTGAAATGAATTCATGTCAAGAAAATAATTGAATTCGCACATTGTAAATATAGAAGGACATTATTTTAGTTGATTTCATGGTTTATTTAGAAAATTTCTTAACCTAGTCTAGCCTAGTTCAGTACCATATATGCGTACTGAGAGTTAGTCCAACAAAAAGTATGAAAAAGCAAAAAATAAAAAACCATTTTTTTGATAAATATGAGATATGACTCACTGACTTTTAATCTGGACTTCTAATTGACCGTGATTTTCAAAAATGAAAAATTTGGCGGAGCAAATGGGGGTTTATGAATTTCTTAGTTGAAAAATGGGTATCATTGAAATCAGCTGTAATATCTGAGTTCTAGTAATTGGTAATATTACAGAAGTGAAAAGTTGTTCAACATTTAAATAATTTTTGTTTAACCTCTATCATCCTCAACTAAGCTATCGGTGCGTTCTGCAGTACTTTTCAGTACACTGACCGAAGATATAGTAGCGTTTAGTGGAGAATGCTATGGTTGGCTATTGATAAATCTTAACCTCTATGGTTGGCTATTGATAAATCTTAACCTCTATGGTTGGCTATTGTTAAATTTTAACCTCTATGGTTGTCTATTGATAAATCTTAACCTCTATGGTTGGCTATTAATATTTTTTAACCTCTATGGTGGATAAATGAAAAGGTTATGAACTACAAACTTGAACTGCCTTGTCTTAAATTACAATTCTCCAATGATAATAGAGGAAGTTGTTGTTATTTTAAATTGTATTATTTCCGCTCAAACATTACATAAAATGCATTTTAAGCGGAAAAGGAATTAAATAATTTTAAGTTTTACAAAACTATAGATCTCAACCACTTTTGAAATATATAAATATATTTATATATATATATTCCTCCCACCCACACCTTTCTACACTATATATATACGCTGTATACTACCTACGTGGATAAATATAGCGGCCTTGGATATATATAAATATATTATACAGCCTGATACAGGCTTTATATTAACTAATCATCTTATTTATCGGCCTATTTCACATATTATGGTATCTCTAGTAGATTTTGGTTTATTTATAACAGACTAATCAGTCACTTTGACACTCCAGGTGTTGATTAAAATCACTTGCATGACGTCACTTTAGCATTGACGTGGTCGGGTATTTAAAAACAATAACCTGAAGATCTCCTCCAGTGCCATCTACAGAAACTGCAGCGAAATAGTTAGTATTGGGACGGATAGATCTAGGTGCTAGAACTGTATAGGATTCACGAGTATACCCCTGGTTTAGTAGAACCAGGAGAAGGAAACCAACCGCTGAGGTCTGCATGGTTCAAGGTTCAGAGCAGAACTGAGGAGTTAGAACAGGTCCGGACGGACATCTTGACGCACTCACTATATAGATAGATAGATAGATACGTAGATAGGCGCCACAAAAATACAACAAACTCAACAAAATACAGATGTTTTTTACCGGATTACTTTGCACTCTCATAATCCTTTCTATAAATATTCCTTGCATATTCTTTGGTTTACAGATAGCGAGTGTTGAAGGAAGGTTTGGAATTGATATTTTATATTGTTACATAATTCAAATCTTTATCCTCATCTTGTGTCCTTGAATAATCATTCTTGTAAATTCACCCCCCNTCCTGTTATCCCCCCCTAGCCTCCTTTGCCTCCCCTATAATTAAAGTCTAACCCTAATTACTACATTGATACCGTTCTTGGGTAAAGGGTAAAGGCTCACTGGTTTTTAAATCAGACCTCCAATTTACCATTTTTAGATATATCCTTGAGAAACTTGACATCTAAATCTAGATCTTTCAAGAAAATACGTAAACAAAGTTGAGCCACTTCTCTTGATCTTAAACTGCATGCACGAGAAAAGCGGTTAACTTAGCATATGTAGTTCATATACCTTTCGCTTTTCATAAAATTTGATCCCAGTAGGCCACTTTATTGAATGGAAACAACAACAAAAGAAGACGTCAGAAAAGAGCTAAACGCGCAAAAGAACGGTATCGTAAAATTTACAAATCTTCGTTCTTTTACTTATTATGCATTGAAATATTATGTACTTAAATATCATGTATTCAAATATTATATATACTTACATAGCATGTACTTTCTTAACATATTTTAACTTCCATAATTACATATCATTTACTTACAATTTACATTGAATATAATAAAAATACATTCTTACATACTTAATTCCATATCATGTACTTTAATAGCATGATACCACAGACTACACAGACTGGTTATTTCCTTACACAGGGTGGGCTAGCAGGCCTAAGTTGGCCCGGCACGACATGCTACGTTTTTACGACAGATTTTTAGAGTGCCATCTCACGGCCACTTGTTGAACATAATACCGATTCAGTTTTACAACTTTTAAAGAAATACTCCAATTTTAAACATGAATTTAAAATATTTATGAATTCAGGCTTTTTTAAAAGATTTTGTGCCTCGTATCCAAAGGATCCTTAAATATCCCTGAAAACAGATGCTTGCTAATGGTTGTGTAAAGTACTTGACACAATACACGTGAATTTAATGGTTCTGTCAATATTCCAGAAAGCTATGACTTTCGATCACAATTACTCCAATTAAACATAATTTTTCAGCCTTCTTTCTTAAATACTTTTTTGCCGGCATATATGTTTTGAATAAAAAGTATTTAACAAACAAATCCGGAACTTTAAAGATTGTCAAAATATAAACCAAAACGAGTATTATTTCCAATTGAAGAAATCAAATGCCTCTAACTCTGGTTAGTGGGGGGTGAATAGAACATGCTGTAGAAAATATCGCATATTTTAGTTGATAAACGATCTCTGTAACTCTCTTATCTCTGCATGATACCTACATGTACATGTACATGTACTTTTAAAGCATATGTATCTATCTCTTATGTACTTATAAACTTATATGATGTAACATCATATATGATGTACAGGTGTTCAGTGGTGCAGAACAAGCATTGGGTACAACTGCATTTCCTAGAATACCTGTAGGAGGAACGAGAAGGTAGAATTTATCTTAAGCTTATTTTTTGGGGGGTTTTTTTNAAGGATGAATAGGGGTTGAGTTTTGTAAGCTTAAATTTCCTAGAGAATTACAAATTAAAATTTTCGGATGTTTTACTTTTAATTCATTGTAATTGATTGTTCATTTCAAAATTAAAAAAAAATATATTCTCATATAACGAACTGCAAACTTGCAAGATTAAAAATAATGAATAATTATTCGATTCGGGAAAATAATTTAATTACTCTCAAAGGACGAAACTTCAGACATTTCAGAGACGACTGTACGAAATTTATACTGTCTATTTCCTCATATTCATGATTCCCCACTAATATAAAATTGTGGTTTTCTATGCTAAATAGTTTAATCAGCTATTTCAAGACTTAACTTAGTCTTTGGATCGTCATATCTTTAAATATTCAAGTCGTCTTTGCAGTCTCATCCTTATAACCCTTTATATGCACAATTCTTTTATATTATTATTAAATCTAATTTTTAATATCATGTTTGAATAACAATTTGGTCATCATCAATACCTAATTTTCAAAAAACGGGGAATTTTAAACTGTTCATGTAAAATGTTACAAACTGAAACTTTTAAATAAACGAAAAAAGCAAAAAGAGTTCCTGAATTTTTTTTCTCTGTCAAAGAGACTTTTTTCTGAAAATGTATTTCATTTCCATATTTGATATAAACTTATTTAGATTCTAATTTTCTCTTAATGATATTTTATTCGAAGGTGTGGAGCAGTTTTACCCGACCCTGTCTCCTCATCAGGATCTAGCATGAGGGTCAGCTTAGTTTAACGGTTTATAAGATAAGATAAGATAAGATAAGATAAAGTTTATTGC